CAAGTCGCAACAGAAACCCATACTCTGAGCCTACCGCATAGTACAACGTGGAACGAAACGATAAAGAAGCTCAGAGATGATACGAAAGTTCCGCTATAAAAACAACAGCTCCAACATTAACAACCGAAATGGCCCACTATTTTTGCTGGTACATTCCAGGTGGATGAAACCATTCAGATGTTAAGAATAATTTCTCTTTATGTATGTACGTAAATTCAAAAGTAAGATTTGCTCCTAACAGGGTCTTACTAATCTTCTGGAGAAGAAATGTAGTAGTGTGTTCATGCATGTGAAGATTCGGGTTTCGCGGCACCCGACGAAAAATCAACATGAAAGAGTGGAAAGTTTTTTTTTCTGCGTACCAGCTTCTCCGCATCAGGTTACACAACAACTTAATCTTTACTCAACAAGAAAGGCGGCAAAATGGCAAGCGTTTTTCATTCTTTTTCTGAGGAGCCCACATTTCAGGTTGGCTGGCCATCCATAGAGAGACCATTTGGCCTTTACTTGTGGCCAATATTTTCCGCCGTGTTTGAAAAAGTGATTGGATACCCAGCTGAGAAATTCGAATTCGTCCACCGCCAGACGTTTTTGGCTAACGGTTACCATGCTCTTAGCGTAATTGCTGTGTACTATATCGTGATTTTTGGGGGACGTGCTGTCTCGAACGCGTTGAATGTACCAGCTTTGAAGTTGAATGTTTTGTTCCAGATGCACAACTTAGGCTTGACCATGGCTTCGCTTATTCTCTTGCTTTTGACCATCGAACAGTTAGTGCCTATCTGGTACCATCACGGCTTGTATTACGCTATCTGTGCCGAAGGTGCGTTTGCGCCAAAATTGGTCACTTTGTACTACTTGAACTACTTGACGAAGTACTGGGAGTTGATTGATACTGTATTCTTGGTATTGAAAAAGAAAAAGTTGTTGTTCTTACATGTATACCACCACGGTGCCACTGCTTTGTTGTGCTACACACAATTGACCGGCTCAACCTCTGTCGAGTGGGTTCCAATCTCTTTGAACTTGGCCGTGCACGTGGTGATGTACTGGTACTACTTCTTGAGTGCACGTGGAATCCGTGTTTGGTGGAAGGAGTGGGTGACTCGCTTCCAAATCGTGCAGTTCGTATTGGACTTGATCTTTGTGTACTTTGCCACGTACAGTCACTTTTCTTTCAAATACTTCCCATCTTTCCCACATGTGGGTGACTGTTTTGGGCTCGGAGTTGGCAGCGTTTTACGGTTGCATGATTTTGACCAGTTACTTGTTATTGTTCATTTCCTTTTACATCAAGGTGTACAAGAATGCTGGCAAAAAGAGGGCATCTAAGAAGGCCGAGGGTACCAGTGTTGGTGTATCCAGTGGTACCGAAGCTGGCTCTACTCGTCCACGCTCCAGAAAGGCATAATTAATCTAAGACTTGCGTGCCTCAAGAGTGCATAATATACGAATACTGGCATCGACTCTTGCTGCAACGAGTGCTAGAATATATGTTGAAGCTTTAATTGAACCAGGAGATTTATCTTTAATAGTGGTTTTGCACTGGCTCTCGTGAGCCGAACAAGAAGAAAAAAAAGAAGTATTGACTGAGTAACTATATTTAAATCGAATAATACGATTCTCAATTTAAAGTCGTCAAGTATTGAATACCGGAGTGAGAATAGAAAATGATTCCAGGTTCTGCTATGGTTTGTTTGCTAGTACAGAAACTGACGGACAGATCACTAATATCGAACGAGAATGATTAGCAAAATAGAATACGGTAAAAAATAGGCAAGCGCAATGCATACAAACAGACAAGAAGAAGCCATTCAAAATTCAGACAATGAAGGTGCTACTTAGTCGTATAATGTATGGCACAACTAAATGTACGAGGTGAGGCAGATGAATAATCAATCAATGCGGAGAAGAAAATTATTACGGGAGCGGAATTAACTAACAGGGAACAAAAAAAGAACTGAGGGCCGACAGTCTTCCGGTTTAGGAAACGGAGAGGCAAATCAAGCCGGAAGTTGGCCACTCTAGGTTGGTTTCGGAGATACTAGAGCCGGAATTTTCGGACGCCACCCAGCAAAAATTAAATCTGGTGCCCCAGACAAACAACAGCAGAAGACTTGTATATAGCGGCGCGACCCCAACGGCCCTTTCGCTAGTGGCGCGACGCGGAGAAGATCTACGCGATCGGAGAACCGGCGATAAAGTGTCCCATAGCAAACGAGGCCCAGTAAAAAAGTGCAAAATGCAAATCTCGAGAAGGGCCAACAATGCCCACAAATAATAGGTTCTCCACATACACGGAGCTATGTCGGTGCTCCATTACATTAGTCGTGATATCCATCATCATACTACTAATGATTCGCTGGCATCATAACAAACAGACCTTCGATCAGCCATGTACGCCAGAGGCTGTCTCGGGCTGGACTCTTGACGTGCCGCGGCCAAAAGAACGGCTGTTGCGGGCGCACAGCCTGCCGGAAACACGCGGCTCGGATGGAATCGTACCAAGCCGTGCCGCGCCTCTGATGTTCCGCCGCGCCCCTTGGCACGGCGGAGATATGCGGACATAAAGACCCTCAAACGAGGTGGCGAGGAGACATAGTCAAACTCATTGACATGGGATGACAAGCTAATAAGTTTCTGGTGGGAAAAAAATTCCCGAGTGTACATGGGATGCGTCCAAAGCGCACCAACTGACTATAGGGGTACCTCGGAAGTGACAGGGTGCATACAGCGCGGCAACACTCTCTGTGCCGAAGAGCACAGCCGTCTGCTCCTGTAAATAGAGACACCGGAGGAGGCGGAAGGCGGAAAAAAAAATGCCACCGGCGTCCAAGCCACCGGCCATTTATATTGCGTCGCTTGTCCGCCACTAAAGATTTAGGTGATACCAAGCCAAACTTTTTGTTTCCTCAAAGGCTTTTATACATTTACTTCTTTTCCCCCCTGGTGCTCTTCAACATCACAGACCACCTTCTCGCATCTACTTTGACAGGCGTCTATCCCCACGGTGTTTCTATCTCCTATCTCCGCCATGGCCCACAACGTTGCCTTTCGCCTTCCCCCAATCAACCTGCTTTCTTTGGACCTCCCGCTACCGCCTCCGAACTTTAGCCAACACCAGTCGCTTCCACATTTGGTGCCACGCCAGTATGGGACTTGGCCGGTGCCGGTTGGCGCGCCGTTTGAAGCAAAGCCGCATCAGCCGCTCGAAGCCAGACAACCTCCATTTGGATTGAAATTACATCAGAACTTGGAACCTAAATTGCATCAGACATTGGAGCCTACATTACCACCAGCATCAGAACAACATTTGCCTCTGACATTAGCGCCAAAGGCGCAACTGACGTCGGAACCTGAATTGCAAAATGCGCCGGCCCCTAAGATGCAGTCGTCTTTTGATTCCTCTGCGCAACCTGCATTCGAGCCCAAGTTGCAGCCAAAGTCGAGGCGCCAAGTGAACCGCGCCCTGAAGCGGCCACGTTGGCGGAGCCCGCACTGCAACCATTGCGCGAGCTGGAGAGCCAGACGTCGCCTCGCTCGCCTTTGCTGCGCGATGCCTCCCCTGCAAAGGAATGGAAGCCGCGCAAAAAGCGTCAATGCCCCGAGTGCCATCTTTATTTCTCCAACTTGGCGACCCACAAATCCACGCACTTGAAGCCTACATCACGCCCACATGTGTGCAAATTTGCCAACGTGGGTTTGCCAGACCTAACGATCTTTTCTGCACTTCAAGTGCCATTGGAGAAATGGGCGCTGACATGGCAGTTCGCTGTCTTCAGATGGTGCTCGTGGCGACATTGCTGCCACACGCTGGGTATTTTCAGTCGGTGTGACACCTACAAAAACCACTTGAAAGCCATCCACTTCCAATACCCCGGAGGCACTAAGAAAAGCCAGCGCAACCAAGTTGCCGGCTGTTGTCGACTCTGCCAGGCGCAGTTCCGCAATGTGGACGAGTGGATCTCTTCGCACATTGACACCAACCAATGCCCTTATACCCGCAGTTCTCTGCCTGAGTAGATCGGCATAGCCAGCAGTAGCTAGTCATCGGCACCTCTCTTTGGTGACCATTTCCATGCAGCTTAACTCTTATCACCGCACTCATTTCCTCGCATTGGGTTTGCCAAGGTGGCACTCATGCTCATTCATATCATTTATAGTCACGAATAACACATACTACGGGTTCAGTTTATGCCATAAAATTTACTTGCAGTGGGCCAGTATTTCTCTCCATCGTTCCCAGTCTTCGCCGATTTGCAAATGTACATCCCTATTGCTGTAGGCCAAACGTTAGTATAAAAATGACAGTAACCCTATACTGGACCATGAATTGCCCCATTGGCTTATTGGCACATTTGGAGCGCAAATGCCATAAAATATTTTAAATGCGTAAAGAGTAAAAGAATCATTTTCTTATCTACACTTCGGCCGGTTCTTCCTCGGCTTCTCGGTCCGCAGCGCACTAATTCTGCTCCACCAACTACATGCTTTCTACCATATTAAAAACCGTTGTGGTTTTATTTTTGGTTTCCACCTATAAGACGCTTCCCTTCGCGTACTTGATACGTTTCTACGCCCTTGTATTCAAACACATTGTTGTACACAAAAATGCTTTTATCCAAACGAGAAAAAACACATTTGGATATGGCTCTTCCAAGCTTGACATATTCAAGGCTGTGTCTTACTCCACTTATGCATCGCCACTAGAAATTGACATGTACTTGCACAAGTCCAATTCTACCTATTTGATAGACTTGGACATTGCTCGTACTTCTTTTGTGTGTCAATTGTTCCAGAAATTGTTCATGAATGCTTGGTTAAACGAGACTGGTGAGTTCAAGTCCCAATCGCTTCAAAACTGTCCGTACATCCCCGTGGGAACAATTCAATGTGTCTTCAAACGCGAGATTAAGTTGTTCCAGCGCTACACCATCACATCCAATGTATTAGCTTGGGATAACAAATGGCTTTACATTCTACTGAAATTTGAAGCAACAGATGGCAAGTTGTGTGCTCTCGGAATTACAAAGTACGTTTTCAAGAAAAAGGGTAGAATCACTTTGAGACCCAGAGAATTCATTGCGGAGTGCGGTATGTACAACGACGAGGTTGAAGCGATCAACCAAAAGAACTATGAATTGGTAAGCCACCTTGAATCGTCTGAGGGTTTAGAAGAACTAGCAGCAAGAATGGAGAAATCTTAATCGCTATCTACACCATACTTATGCGGCTAAGAGCGGGTAGATCTTATATAAAGTATGCGACATAGATACATGTGGTTCAGCTACATTTAATTTCAATATATAATTCGAAATGCATTTTATTTATTCAATGAAGCTCAATTACTAAGCCAAACCAAAACCTTCGTGTCCCTCAGTGATGGCCAACAAAAGAGAACCTCTCAACGTTTCGTATGTTTCGTACGCCGGAAGATCTATTTGATTGAAGCATGTGTGAGATGACGGTAACCTGTCAGTGGATCCGTAATCACGATGAATGCTGAACTTGCATCCTCCATTGGCACCACGCAACTCCTTGAACCCATTTAGTGGTACCTTCGAAGTACCAGTGGCAAATTGTAATAATTTGGCCCGTTCTTCGTTATCGAAAGACTTAACAGACCTCCAGAACCATTGAATTTGCTCTGATGATGGTGAATAATTGACATAGGTAGTATTGTTTTGCCAATCTTGTACATCAATATCTGGCAATCCACTAATCAACAACTCGAGCTCTTGCTCGTCAAAAATAGCGACAAGGTCCCGAGGAATGATTTCGTGGAATCCTGTAATGAAATTGTTCATTTGTTCCGCAACAGATGTTTGGAGTCTATATTCCACGACTAGTCTCACGTACTCTTGTTTGTTTTCTTCTGTCACAGGTATGTTCCGACCGTTGGGAATAAGATCAATAATTTTGTGTTCGCCATAATCATCCGTTTCAACAGAGAAATCTTCAGTGATGATGTCTGTAATATCATTCTCCAACATCCACATTAAGGATTTGAAATATTCCAAGTCAAGGTTCTCCATATCCTTGAGAGAAACAGGTCTGTCCAAGATCTTTTTGTAAACAGCTCTGCTAAAATGACAATCTAAAAAGCAATTGTCGAAGATAGCTTTTCCTATTATGCGACCAATGAATTTGAAGAAGGATAAATGCTCTGGATTAATATAGGATGTCCGGTTAGGATGGAATGTTGTTTCATCACTAGCAACCGCTGTGAACAAGGCATAATCTGGATTGAACATTTGACGGGATAAAACTTGATACCACTCTCTTGTAACTCCACCAGCATCAACGCCAGCTTCTCCCTTAAAGTTTATCTCCAAGACAGCATTCCTGAAGGTATCAACAGACTTGAAAAAGAGTCCACGATATGAATCAAGGAAAACCTGATCACGACGAATGCTAATTGACAACTTTTCATTTGAAGTCACACCTTCATGCAATTGCCGATCAAAATAGTTCTTTTTGTTATCGAATTCTAACACTTTCGGATTTCTTACTAACATGCTGAACGGCCCACTCATCAAGTTAGGATTAGCACGAACCATTTGATTTAAAATCTTTTTATGCTCATCAGTAAATGAGAAAAACAAACTTTCGATAGGCTCCTTCTTGAAATCAATCTTCCGGGCTTCGTATTTCATAACATCCTTGATCTGTATTTCCTTCACCTTGCTGTGTTTGCACACAACCATAAGGGCCTCAATCAAAGGCAACAAAACCGTGGCAACCTTAGACAAGTTTGTATTCTCTTCTAGAACTCTCAAGCACTCACTTAGAGCGTCCCACAAGTTACCAAGCTCAAGATGTTGGTAAAGTCCAGTAAGTTGGTCAATTCCTTCCCGTGAACTATCAACATTTTCCCCAGTTTTTGATTTTGTTTCAAACATGTAGTCTAAAGCTGTCAAGATCCTAAGTAGTTTTGCTTGATCAGAACTTGGAGCCGTGAAGCTGTTGATGAACTTTTCATCGCCGTCATAATTGGTACCACTTTTCAACCCTTCAGTTAAGCCTCGTAAATCTTTGATGATACGACGACCCAAGTTTGTTGCTTTCTCCAGAAGCTCAACTGAAAATACTTTTTGAGCATTTTTCAACCATGAAAGATGTTGCATAGCGCTAATTGTTCTTCTAAATGTTGTGTTCACGCACTCGTTAGACGTTAGGATGCGAACAATTAGACGCAAGTTGCTGTCTGGAATGAAATTGGTGTCGAAACTTGGAGGATAGCTCTTTGACTTGTCACTCAAAACAAGAAGGGGCCTCGTTCCGAAGTGTAGTACACTTGCAAGCAAATCGATGAAGAAATTTTCTTCCCTCAAAAGAGGGTTTTCCAAAAGCTTGAACAAAAGGTTGATAGGATACCTTTCCTCGCATGTCGATGGATTTTTGAGTTTCTTTTTCTGCATATGTTTCTTGGAGATAAATGCATTGTCATGCTCAGTGAGCAAAAAAAGACGCAAAGCAGTATTCTTTTCAAGCAAGTAGAAAACCGCTTCAATAATTTGCACACCAACACTTACTGGAGTGGCATCGATAGGCAATGATGTATTGGTTGATTTGACGTGGTCAGCTTTTGCGGATATCTGATTAAACACCTTCTCCAAGCTTTTTTGATTATGCAAACCGTCATAAAGAATGGCAATCAACAAACTCATGATATCCGCCCTAGTTTGTTTGTTATTGCACATCTGTAGAAGAGTCAGATAGACATGGTCCCGCTGATTGACTGGTTGAGGTGCAAAGAGAAGACGAACTAAACTTGCAACGCCTGCCCTATCGATCAAAAGGAGTTATGAAATTCCGAAGCTTCTTCTTTTGGGGTTGATCAGAGTTACCCTCTTGGACATGAGAATGCGCAGTACTTGGATCATCGATGTCTTCCTCAGATTCGTCCAAATCGCCCTCTCCTAAGTATCCAAAACGACCACCAGCAAGTCTTTGAGAGAGTGATTCTTGATGTACAATTTCGTCTCTAATATGCTCAGGAAGAGCGTCAAGAAAATCAGGATCAATTTCAGGAACGTCTTCTTCCATACTCGACGCCTGTGCTCTGCGCTCCCGAACATGTTCAGTAAAAACCTCTTCTCTCATATGTTCTGGCAAGGCTTCAAAAAATTCCGGATCAATGTCTGTGCCACTAATGTCCACTTCACGATCACCAATTAGTAACATAACTGGTTCTCTGACTGGAGGGGGATTTGCTGCCAACTCCAATTCACGTTGTCGAGCTTCTTCCTCTCTTTTCTTCTTCAATTCTTCCTTCTTTTTTCTTTCTCTTTCCTCCCGTTCTTTTTTCAAGCGTTCTCTTTCTTCCTTCTTCTTTTTGATTATCTCAATGCTGTCATCATAGATAGCTTCCTTGATTCTGTGATGGACTTCATCAAGAAAATCTTTCTCATAGTTGCTAAAGAAATAGGAAAAAGCAGTTCTCCATCTCTCTATTGTTGAGCGAATGAACATATAATCAAAAGAATTCTTTGAATGAGCAAGGTTCTTATCATTAAAGAGAAGTAGTGGATCAATTAAGGCGTCGTTACCATTAGGTCCAAGGCCAATGTGGATCGAACCTCTAAGGGTCCTATCAGAGAGATGTCTCCTATGGACCAACTCCTCAAACAAGCCCGAAACATTCTGATGAGTGATGGGTCGAAGAGCATCAAAGAACGAAGTAACAAATTCTCGCGTTCTAGACCCATGGTCACCTTCGAAATCCATTTCAGTGCCATCCATTTCTCCATTGCTTTCGTCTTCTGTACTCAAATCCTCATCATAATCAGAGTGAAGGCTATTAAACTCACGATCACTAAAGTCATTCGATGGGTTTGCAAAGCGTGTCTCATTCTCATTTTCTGAACCCTCTAATTCTTCCTCGTCTCCAAAAGCCTCTAACCAACCGTCTAGTTCATCATCGTCATAATCCATTTCCTCTTCATCTTCCTCTTCCTCATAATCTCCGCTGTTTTCAGTCTCTCCTGCACTATTATCATCGAAGCCGTAAAAGTCAGAAATATCACTATCATCATCTTCCATTTCAGAGCTGCTTCCAGACTGAATGGCAAGCTCATCGATAATTTCTATGTCATTTGCACTATCATTGCTGTCATACCCTTCTAACTGATGTTGCAAGTCTTCTTCCAGCATATCGTCGTCTTCTCCTGATTCCATGTCTGACTCACTAGAGACACCACTTTCAGACTCATCTTCAGACATCTCAGATCCTGACATCATGACGTCAATTGGACCTTCATCATAATAGTTATCTTCTTCTTCTTCTTCGCTATCAAGGTCAATGTCATACATGCCAAGCGTCGAATTTCGGAAAAGATCAGGTGTTTCATCTCTGTCCTCAATCTCTTCAATCTCTTCTTCATCCAATGAGTTCGATTCAAATAATTCTGCATTTGCAACTTTAATCTTGGCTAAGTTTGAAAGGGGCTTTAGGCCAACTTTCATAATCCTGTGAATGTTAGGGAAATTTAAATCTAAGCGAGCCAATGCAGTTGTGATTTGGTTTGGTAGCTGATTGTCAAAAAAGGCCGACGCAATATAGAAATGATCTAATTTCGTAGCATTTTTATCCAAAAGGGGATAACAAAGCTCTTTAAACTTAGTTGAAAGCAAGCATCCACACATGTCAAACAAGTCATAAAGCTTACTGTATGTCAAAGAAGTTGGAACTGCTGCCTGAAATAGTTCCTTGAGAATTTTAGAGACAACGTCCATCAAAAACTTCCTCACAACCATCATGTCAGGATCTTCCTTCTTAGGATTGGATTCATCTGGAGCATTAGTAACGGTCGTTGATACTAAGGCGAGAATTGCAAGTTTCGCTAGGGAGGATATTGCTTCTCTCCTTTGAAATTCTTCTCCGGTAGGAGCAACAAATAATTGACTGGAAATGAGCTGATGAATGAAAAAATTCAATGATGTGGAGCGTGGCTTATTGCTCTCATTCGAGCTATTCTTTTTCGAAAAAGTAATAAACTCAAGTTTTGCTTCTTTTGACGACCCAATCAATTCTGTTATAGTTTGCAAAAGAAAGCACATATAGCCAAACCTTTTGTTCTTCAATAAAATTTCAAAATGCAGTTCCTTCTTCTTCTTCTCATCATGTTCAGGTTCGGGGGTGGTACTTGTTTCAGGCGTTGACACCCAATCCTTCTTGTAAGTATCCATAACTTCAGTTAAAAGCAAATGTACTAAGCCCGTTGGAGGATTCAAAGCGGGGGTATCACTCTCTTCAGTCATGTCCACATCATCGTTCACCGACTTGATCTCATCTTCACGTTTCTTTTCTAATAAGAAAATGAAGTCATGCCCATACTCATCATCAACGAGTCTTACCATATTGGAGACAGTTTTGATGTATATCTCTGGATCTCTTCCACACAAAAATCTTGTGTCGTTAACTAAAGACCTCAAACTATGTCTCCCTCCCTTTTTCATATGTTTAGTGACCTCGGCTGAGATAAAGCCCTCGACGGTAGTAGGAGTTTCAAAACAAACCCGAACCAGCAATATTAACACATCCTGAAGACTTTTATACAAAGTGAGATCATTCAGCTCCATAAAGCCTTGCATGTTAACAGTTAGATGATTCATGAGAGAAGACTTAGCAACCTGCATTCTAAATTTCTCTTGTTTTCCAAGCAAATACATGAACCGGCACAAGGTTATGGCTGATCTAATGTTTTTTTGGGGGGAGAGAATAAGAACAGCAGAAGCAAGTCGCGAAATCAAATCATTGCTGCAAGTTAAATTTGGCAATAAGGGAACATCTAACAAGAAGTTGGGTTTCGCTTCACTTAGAATTGGTTCAAGTAAAGATAAACCAGATTGGAAGTAATCAGAATCCACAAGATCCGGTCTCTTTTCGAGCTCTTCAATGAAAAAGTTCACAAATGCAAGATAAGATGACTTAACAGCTGCTTCGAAGGTCGTAGGTATTGGTCCATGAAAAATTAACTTCTCCAACAAAGCGATCGCGGCAGAGAGACGGCCCATATTTTGTTCTGTTTTTTCTTCGCTCAAAGATTCTATTGATTCGAAAAGAGCTGCACATGTAGTACCTACAATTTGACGATCTTTCATAATCAATGAGATGATAGGCACAATGGATTTGCAAACCATGGCCAATTTGATCAACGTGGAAGTAAACAAGGCGTTACTCTCGTTTGCTTTATCCGACTTGAAATTTTGAACCACATGCGTATTGATCGGTTGATACGCAAACAAATTCTTCACTTCATCGAAATCAACTCCCATGCATTTTTTCCAGTCATCACTATCAGTAGCGTCAATATTAATGACTAAATCATGAAGGTTACGGATAGATTTTGCCTCCTGCAAAATTGTTTTTGCGCCCTCCTCAGAGATTCCGACTTTATCCATCAAATACCGAATTTCATCTTTGACCGGCGAGATCCACTCTGACTTCAATGGGTAATATTCATCGACAGGATCCACCGTCCAGGTATTACGGATTATTGTGACTAATGAATGTGCAGTTGAGTCCAGTAAATTCTCAAAGCCGGAGAAGTCATTCTGTTGAACCATTTTTGACTTCGATCCCACGCAGAAAATAATGAGGCGCATACATTGCACGGATACTTGGGTAAGTATTCCATCAATCACATTCGAATCACCATTTCCATAACCGTTATTGTAAAAGTAGGAACTGAAAGGTATTTTTGAGACCAATCCTGGAGTGCATAATTTCTCGAGGAAAAGTAGGGCGTGGTCCAAAAAGTTCGCTTTGATAGAGACGTCTGAGCATTTAACATATTTTGAAATCTTGGCGTCCTCCGCTTGAGCGGGCAACATCGAAGTTAGGTTATCAAAAGTGACAATTGCTGTATCCACGATTTTTTGAACAATGTCTGTAGTCACAAAGTAAAACAGTACCAAAGGAGTAGAGAGAACTTCCTTTCCCTTATCTTTGCTTTTAGAGATAAATGATATGATGTTCATAGCAATCAAACTATAATTCAATTTGTTTGTTGAATTAAGCGAATTGCCCGCATCCCACATATCTGATAATGAAACAGCTAAAGACTTGGTGCAATCCACAGCATAACGTCTCCAATCCGCATCAAAGTAATCCTGTCTTCTTTGCATACAGCTTCTTGAAATGCAAGTAAGAATAAGGACAATGTTAATCTGCAACCGATTCATTAAAAACCTCAACTGTAAAGTGTTTTTGAATTTAGCACTGTTATTAGCATTCGCAACTGGGTTGCGAGGAGGTTCTTTGGAATAGACCAACAACTGTGGAGAGTCTACACCTACCTCAGTCACCGGTGAGGTTTCATCGATAACTTGATGTGGTAATGTAGAGCGAATGTTTATCTCCTCTATGATACAACGGCTCATGAATTTGACTAAATTTGGTATGAGGGTAGGGTTTGATCCAAGATAATTGATGAAAGACAAATAACGATCGTGCACCATAATCGTAGGGTTTAGATAACTTTCGGTGATACCATGCAAGACCGTATTGACTGTGTTGATAGCTTGTAAAATAGCAGTACCTTTTTCTGGGCACTTTTGGAAACATTCGAAAAATGAAGCCTCTCCTGAATGCGTAGCAAAGGACTTGATTATAGGGGTATCAACCAATTTATCAAGAAGTTTCAATATTTCGGGAAATCCATATGTTTTCTCTTCATCGTTGAGATATTTGAGAATTGACAAGAAGTTGATCATAGTATTCGTTGACACGTAGTCGTAAGGAGCGTTTGGCAATGTTAAAAAGGACTCCCAGCTCTCGAATGGAATTTCCTTCACACATTCTTTACCCCACTGTCCACTGTCTTGAAGAAGTCCACTTAAAAAGCTAATAACATTATCGAAAAGGTTAGAGCCATGTACTCCTTCCCAAGAGTTGATTTCCTCCTGAGGCTCATCGTCGCCATTCGGGGCATCATCCTGATTCCTGTAGAACATAGATTCACCCTTGCCGTATAAGCATAATGGTCTTAACTTTTTATTAGCAAATGCCGGAAATCTGTCAACAAGATCTTTGATTTCTGCCATAATAATCGGTCTTAAGGTAGGGTAATGTCTACCAAGCTCGTCCATAGAGCATCCAATGCCAGTACTTGCGTCAGCTTGAACCAATTTCTTAGCAAACTCCAATTCATAAAATGATTTGAAGTACGTTTTGATAGCAGCCGAATCAATTACCATGGACAAACCTTCCTTATTCAAAGAAATTGCCCCCAATATTTCGAGTAGAGACATGAGTAACTCATGCGCAGGCATAAACAACTCCAGGTAACGAGAAAGAATAGTCGAAATCACGTTTGCTTCCTTCAAGATAGGAAAGGCAGTTGGTTCATTATGGATGATGTACAATACATCATCCAACGTCGCTGCAACAACAAAAGGGCCAAATATGTGAGAATTGGATATGATTTTGTTGAAACTAATCAAAATCGGAGAATCGAAAAGATTTCTCAAACGGTCTCCTGCTTCAGATTGTATAAGGTTGGATACGACTTTGAGTAAATTTCTCAAATAATTTACTTGTCTGAGAGTAATTGTGTAGTAGGTCACAACATCTTTGGGAGGACCGCCACCGAAATCTGGGTTGTCCAATGCAAAATCAACTTCGTAACTAATTGTATCGATCAAAAGTTGAAATCCATTATTAGAAGAAAACTCTGAAATTAAATCAGGAGAAAGTCCCAAAAACATGGATAAAGTGTTTAATGCTGCTGAGCATGTCCACCTGTATTTCGTGTGCACATTCAAAAAAGTCATCAATTCATTCAATAAGCCACCGGAAGCGAGTCGCGGTAACAAAGATTTGGATTCAATGAAATGGCTGAGTAGTGTAAAATAGATAAGGTGACTTTTCTCGAAACAATCCTCATCCTCATTTCGAACTTTCTTATTGATATGTCTCAAAAGTTGATACATCACACCATGACTGACATTTCCACCGAGATGACGGACCAATTCTGTTCCCCAGACTCGCTTCGAAGCAATACAATCAAGAGTCTTCACTGCGAAATAAAACACGTCCGATGGGACAATTGATGAAAATTCTGGAGATATAAGGTCCACCAAAAAGCTCAAAATATAAGGCTCGGTTTCAAAAAAGTTAGCCGATGTGTAATCGGTGTTGCAAACCAAACTGGTAATTGCTATAGCTGCACATTTCATTTTGAGAAGTTTGACTCTCAATTCCAAAGAGTCATACAGACGACTATTGAAAGCCTTTGCGTTCAGAGCCGCCAAAGAAAAGCTGAACCAGCTCTCCTTTGGCAAGCACTCAGACCCTTCGTCTAAGATTTGCTCAAAAGACAACCGCCTGACTTGTTCTTCGTTCAAGTAAAAGTGTGCAAGTCCTTCCGCGGCCTTTGGATTGTTGGTTTTCATTTTCTTTTTGGTCTTGGTGGAGGGCTTAATCTCCAGCGGTTTAGAGTTGTAATATTGGAACGAAAGCTGTTTCCACTTGGATGGATGCTTCTTTGTTATATCAATTGTATCAACCAAACTGAAATGGGCGCTTTTGTTGCCATTTTCATCGGGAGAAAGCGCATTTTGCTCAATTCTTCTTTGGAGGAAACCTGCTGGCACTGGAGGAGGGTACGATTTGGCAATCTCAAGCACTTGTAACCGAGTGGCTTTAGGAAAATTAAATCTTTTACTGCCAACCAGGTTATGTTTTTCTCCTAAGAAAATCGCAGTTTCCAAAGCAGCAAATCTAACGTCAATCGAGGGTGTCTTGATCAATTGAAAAATACGTTCCAGGCTAGAGTATATGTAACCATTAGTACAATGATCCAATAGCATTGACGTGAATCTCAAGCACGCTACCAAAAGGTCTGAATCTTCCGGAGAAATCTCTCGAAGTTTTGGATATGCCTCGTCTAAGCCATATTTGGAAATGTGTTTCTCAAAAATATCGTCAAACAAGTTCAAAACATTAACCCAGTGCAAAAGATCACCTGTTGGTTTTTCCCACTTCAAATTCTCATTGAGTTTTTTTGCTAATAAGGAGTGATCAATAGAACATATCTCATCGATCAATGCCAGAAGCGGCTTTTCCTTTTCAAGCTGTTGCAAATGTTCTCTCTTCGAAATGATCATGTTGATGTGATGAGGGTATCGTATTCTATGCTCTAGGAGCAACGATCTTCAACTATAAGTTATGTTCTAATAAAAAATGATGGAAACCTGGTTCAATCGGCTTTCTCGAAGATCAGTGTGATATGCGAGACTATGAACAAGTGAAATCTTTATTCAAGAAAATGAAGTTCAAATAAGAAAGGTATTCAATAAAGTATCCAATTCTTCCTTCTGATAAATTGAGTTTCAACTAGCACAAAGAAAGAAGGTTTAGAAAGTTGATTGAAATGGTTTCATGGAGCGATTGAAGACCTTCAAGGGACAGGGCACTACCAGAAGAGATGTACTGGTGTTGCTACCCATTGCTTCTTAGTATTTTACTACTACATCCAGCAGTATACCATTTACAGTGAAAATTCTGTGTTCTATCCTTACATTTTACTGAATACCAACTCTTTTGATTATATATATATCTAAGTTCGTTTGATTCCCACATTATTCAGTACTCGAGCTCGCATCTCCGAACACAAACCACCCATCATGTCATCAGTCAAAAGCAAGAAGTCCATGCTCCCACCCATCAACTTGATTTTTAAATACTTACAACAACAATCTGTTGTGACGATTTGGCTTTATGAGCAAACACAGCTGAGAATTCAAGGCAAAGTGAGAGGGTTTGACGAATTTATGAACATAGTCATAGATGAGGCTGAAGAAATTAGCACGAAAGATGGATCACGAGAAACGCTAGGCAGGATCTTACTAAAGGGTGATAACATCACTTTGATTTCTAGTTTGGATGTCTAGTGAATTTGAAAGGTGCATTTAGAATAAGTACATGAAGTTATATATGTATGAAGGAATAGACTTTATAACATTTAAAGCACATAAGACAATCAATCAGACTTGAGTGATTGTTTGGCAAAATCCAGCAGGTTGGGATTGGAAAGATCCTGTCCTTCCCCCTAATTTTTATGTTTTGTTTCTGACTCTTCTCGAAGTGTGCAACGGAAGTCGCCGTGACAAGTAGAAGAGTCATTGCCTTCCGATGGTACAAAGCTGACACGTTTCTTCTTCTTAGGCGACTCGTCTGCAGACGTTCTTGTTTTGCCTTGTCGTAGTTTGCTTCGCTTAGCTCTCTCCTCTTGAGTCACCGTTAGTCGGTACGCCTGAATTTGTTCCTGCCGAAGAAGACGGATTTCTTCTTTCTGGCCACTTGACTTCTTCTTTAAAATAACATCTTCCTCCTCTTCTTCGGCTGCTGAAGAGCCTGGACACTTCGGCATGTTCTCCTGGCCATGGTAGAGATCGTTCGAAATTCGCACTTCAGTATTCAAGAAGGTGTTGGTATAATTGTCCTACTTTGGAATCGTCATACAGATGACGCTTAATACATCGTTAACATTCTTAAAAAAAAAAAAAACGAAAGCGACATATGCCACTGATTCCATGAGCAGATATTCATTATTCTGTTTCATTTTAGGTTGAATTAATGGTGATTTACTTTAACTCAAATTATACTGATGAATACATTAACGGTAAGAAAAAGACACGCTGCTTACTTGCCTCAATAACTCTCGTTAGATTTACTTTCTTCGTAGATACATTCAATATGGTATTAATGCTGTTCAAGAATCATTGAAAGGTTCAATCTCTCCTCTTGGGTGAAGACCGTACCTGCACCTGTGGAACTCCAAACAACACGTCTTTTGCACTAGCGATTTCTTTCTCTTCTTTGCACTTGCTAACAGCGCAATACATTTGGTCATATCAGAAGCTAGATCTTTGATTCAAGATGAGCAACGCGTATCGAAGGGATCAACCAGCTGGTGGTCGGCCCTCTAACGTCCAAAATGGTGCTAATATACCGCGTCCTAATGCGACAAATCTACAAAAGAGTTCATCAGGCCGTCCTTTCACGGCGATTCCATACGAAAAAGAAGAAGAGGAGAGGATTCAGAATGCTTTGAATAAAGTTTTGGGTCCCGAGTACGTCAGTTTTCGCCCCGGTGGAGGAGGGCAAAATGTGTCATACATTGAAGGTTGGAAAGCACTAAATTTGGCGAATGAGATTTTTGGTTTCAATGGCTGGTCGTCGGAACTTATCAGCGTTCAAGTTGATTTTTTGGACTCACATGGATCGGGGAGAGTGTCTCTAGGTCTCTCAGTGGTGGTGAGAATCACAATCCGAGACGGAACATTTCATGAGGACTTTGGCTATGGATTCATCGAGAACGCCAAAAACAAGGCTATGGCATTTGAAAAGTGCAAGAAGGAAGCATTTACTGATGGGTTGAAGCGTTGTCTACGGTGTTTCGGAAATGTTTTGGGCAATTGTCTTTATGACAAGAGTATTATCGCCAAGATGCAAAAAGTCAAATTGCCGCAACCTGAGCTTGAGTTTGACGACTTCCACAGAGATCCCATCATTTTGAAGCGTGAAATGGAGAGAAAAAGAGAGCACTCTGCTGCTCATGCGACGCCAAAACCGAAAGAAACTGCTGCACATCTACAACCAACTTCAGCAAAGACGCCCCTGCCCGCTGTTTCGCATCCGCAGGAAAGCAAACCTGCGCCAAGTATAACTCCAGCAGTGGTTAAGGGTTATGGTTTGGATGACTTTGATGACCTGTTTCAATTCAGTGATGACTTGCCTGCTGATCCGAATGAACTCAATGATGGATTGGATGAATACGAACTTGAGTTGCTTCAAAACAGAGAAAATCAAACACCTGAGGCTCAGAATAATACAGTAAGAGCTCCAGAACAGGTTTTCTTTACAAGCTCAAAGAAAGCCTTGGATGTGCAGAAAACCCCTGATCTGAACGTGCCTGTTTATGATCATAAATTCTTATCTAGCGGCGTGCGCCGAACAGTGGATCCATCGAAATCCGTAAAAATCCGGCGTGCCGAACTTCCGACGGTTCCAGGTAGCCAGCTTGCATCGGAGCGCCCCTTTTCTCCTTCTTTATCAGGAGGACCTCAAATAGGGAAGCGCCCCTTAGGTATGCCTCCGTCACAACGTCAGACAACAAAACGAGCTCATATCACTTCACAGAGCACGAGGGAACAGGAAATAACGGTACTGGTTGAACAGGGCTAGCTATATAGTAAGCGGAACACATCAGTAAACTTTGGTAGGTGAGATCTTTACTTGCGGCAGAGGCTTTAAAAGCCTCTGTTGATCCTCAGTGCAGCTTTGAGGGGTTTAATGGTGGGCATGTTATAGTGTTCTAGATGTACTGCAAACTATCTTATCTATCAACAGTTATTTAGCTTTCAGAGATTCAGCAAAAGATTAAGTTGCTATTTTGGCAGCTTCCCTGAGCTCAGAGAATATCAATCACCCCAAGTCTAGAAATTAAGCATTTCTCGGTTCACCAACCTTGTACTATTAACTTCATGGGATAAGAATAGGACCAACTATATGCCTGCATGATTCGCTCTAGTATAAACCCCACATACTCCACTATGGTCCAACTGTTGACATCCATATGGCCACTTCTCCAAGTTACGGGCCCTTTCAATGAAGTTCCAGAAGAATACTCATTTGCAGACGCTTGTGAAGCTCTAACGCATGCGAAGGTTCTAGTCGTGGGAGCCGGAGGCCTTGGCTCGGAAATACTAAAGAACTTGGCTCTTACAGGCTTTAAACATATTGAAGTTATCGACATGGACACAGTCGACGTTTCTAACCTTAATCGACAGTTTCTCTTTCGGGACAAAGATGTCGGAAGGCCGAAATCAGAGACAGCAGCGAAGTATGTTCTCAATCGCATGAACGATCCAACATTACGCATCATTCCACATTTCTGTAAGATTCAAGACCAACCCGCCGAATTCTACAAGCAGTTCACAGTGGTTGTTTGTGGGTTGGACAACATCGAAGCACGTAGGTGGATTAATGCCTTACTAGTGGGGTTTGTGGGTCCCGACCTCAGTAACCTAATTCCATTAATCGATGGGGGTACAGAAGGTTTCCGGGGCCAGTCAAGGGTTATCTTGCCCACGTTAACTTCATGTTTTGAATGCTCCTTGGATATGATATCACCAAAAACGACCTATCCCGTATGCACAATAGCAAACACTCCTCGGCTTCCAGAACACTGTATTGAGTGGGCATCTCAGTTGGAATGGCCCCGAAGATTTCCAGGTCGAAAATTTGATGCTGATAAAGATGATGACGTTGATTTGATGTACCAACTATCTTTGGCGCGTGCCACTGAGTTTGGGATCGAGAATGTTACTCGGAGCCTAACATTGGGCGTTGTTAAGAACATCATTCCCGCCATTGCATCGACGAATGCAATTGTTGCGGCTTCATGTTGTAATGAAGCATTCAAAGTTGTGACAAGCTGTAACCCAGCTCTTTCGACCTACATGATGTATTCTGGAGATGACTCCATTTTCACGTATACATTTTCGCACACTCGAAACACGAATTGCAGTGTATGTTCTACTGGAGTCAAGAGAATGAGAGCTAAGCGATGGTGGACTGTTGCTAGATTTTTGGAAGAGCTAGCGACGAAACAAGACATCTTGGCGAAAGCTCCCTCCGTCAGCAGTGCTCGCGTCTCGTTGTACATGAGACAACCTGCTTTTCTAGAAACACAGACACGGGAGAATTTACTGAAAAAACTCAGTGAATTAGTTCAAGTGGGAGAAGAGTTGGTGGTAACAGATCCAAGTCTTCCTGTACCCATTCGGTTAGTCTTGGATCTGTTTGAAGGATCAGAACAAGAACCTCTAGATCTTGGCTCCCTCCTACAGTAGATTTGTGTTCCATGGGCCATCGAGATGAGTTTGCTCATTAGAAGTTTTTCATCTCAGTGAGAAGCAATTTGTTGAAATCTCTGATGTTGTCAAGATAGAGATGGTGGCCAGCATTTTCAATTTCACAAGTGCTACTGCGCGTTGGGTCTCCATAATGCTCATTAATCATTGCTGAACACAATTCACCACCTTTCCGGTCCATCCAATCTTCTTTTCCGTAACACCATAGAAGTCTGCATTTGAGGGCCTCGACACCTCTTTCTATAAGAGGATGTCTTGCGTCAGCACCAGGAGCTAATAAATAGTTCAACATATACTCACCGGAACCGGGACTTTGGAAAATACCGTAGGCATATTTGTGGAGTAGTTTAGCCTCCTTCGCTGGTAAGTTAGCAAACCGTCTGGAGGACCACATGCTAACGAGCTTTGACCCAAGCGGCCCGGCATTCCGTACTAGAGAGAAAGGCGATATATTTTGTTCCCATAACCTCGCAAAGTACGCTGGAACAGGCACTTTTCTCCTGTGCTTGATAATTGCACCAGGCGAAACCATGAGCATTTTCTTGCAAAAGCTTGGGTCTCGTCTTATGCCATATGTAGCCATCAAGTAAGCACCCATGGAATGTGCCATGACTAAATTCTTTTCTGGGGCTTTATTCAAATGCCGAAGGTTTAACCACTCTTGAAAAGAATCATGAAACCAGTCTTCCACCTCGTCCAAGCAGGTGGGCGTGAATTTTGGCCGTGATGAACAACCGTAGCCCAATAAATCTACTGAGTGCACCACCCAGTTGGGCAACAGTGCCACTTGATCAAAATTTTTTAGAAAAAAACCGAGTCCACCTCCATAACCATGCACCATGATCAAGTGATTACAATTTTCGTACAAGGCGTCCTGTTCTACTTGGGCCTTACCGTTGAACGATGGAGGATGTATGACAAACTCGTTGATCCGGTGGCCCGACAGAAGCGTTGTTTCCACCACATGGCCTCTCCTACCTTGAGCATCCGCATTCGGGAAGAAAGGTAATGTAGATAACAAATCCCATTGGAACTTTAGTGGATTATGACGAAACGCATAATCGCGGAACAGCTCCTTAGTAGATAGGGGGAACTGAGATGAAAAAAGCTTACTTAGTGGCACAGACGTAGGGTGCGTGGATCTTTTGTAGATTTGCTGGCCTACCGTCAGATCTGTTGAAGCCAGTCTAGACAAGCACTTGCGAAACCTGCGCAGAGCAAAAATACCACTTGATGGAAAGCCTTCGATGTATTGAAGCAGACGAACGTGAAAGGACGACATCACGGAGCAGATAACTGCATTAAAAGCTGGGTTTCAATGAATACAAGAGTTCGTCTAATTGCTAAGAGTTCGGGTTAGAAAATATGCCTGCATGTAAAAACAGGCCCACCTTTCGCCCATGTTGTTCGTACATCCTACAACAATGTCATGTATGCCCCAGCAACTAACAAGAAACCGTGAGATTGCGTACTGTCATTGGAAGGCAATCATCTTGGAAAAGAAAAAAAAAAAAAAGAATAATTTCAAGTGACACTTTCTCGTGTGGTACATTCCTAAACCGGAGCCGAAGGTGCATTTGATGAATTCTGTTTGGTCTTTCAATTATGTATGCAGGACCTGGCGTGAAAAGTAAGGTGCAAAATTAGAAAATAATGGAGCCCATATGCCCCAAAATTGAAACAAAAAAAAAAAAAAAAAAAAAGGAAAAAAAAACCTCAAGAAAAAGTCTATGTGTTACGACCATGTCAAAAAGCCTATTAAGATTAGATGAGACATAAATATACCAAGACATCCAAAATGCTTCTGTTATTACTTGAACATGGAGTACCAACAACCTAAGAAATACAGAGCACCTGGATGTCTCTAATGTCGTATATTCATTTTATCTGATGGCATCTCCCTAAAACATCTTCGGAAGGGGATAATATCGCCTCGATCTTTTAAGCGCCAAGCACGACATCATGCGTGGCCATGCTCAAAACGTCTGCTATGGAGGTTTGCATGGTAGTTTCAGCCAATCGCGTAGCGGTCTCTATGCACAAGAGACAGCCGTACTGCGTTCACTGGATAGTGCATGTTAAAGCCCGGTACAAGTCTGTTATTGGTTACATGTACCGAGCGTCGGGCATTTTTTATCAGATACATCTGACGAGTAACGCGCGGCGATGTGCGTTTTTATATTTAAGAGACGCATCCCCTGAGCCATTTTTATTTCCCTTTTCTCTTCTTCTTTAGCCTGTTCTTACATTCCACTGGGGGACTATACATTTTGACGGAATATGAGAGCCTTTTCCGTTTTCATCTTTGCGTTGCTTTACAGCTTCGTTTCTGCTGAAACTCACACATGGTACTTCCAGACTACATGGGTTGATGGTAACCCTGATGGCGTTTTCGAACGTAAAGTTATGGGTTTTAACAACACTTGGCCTTTGCCCACCTTGAGAGTTAAGCAAGGTGACAGAGTCCAATTGTTTTTGAATAATGGTTTTGATGACAGAAACACTTCGTTGCACTTCCACGGTTTGTTCCAGAACGGAACTTCTCAAATGGATGGCCCAGAAATGGTTACTCAATGTCCTATTGCTCCTGGTGACACCATGTTGTACAACTTCACTGTTCCTGATCAAGTGGGAACTTACTGGTACCACTCTCACACTTCCGGTCAATACGGAGATGGTTTGAGAGGTGTCTTCATCATTGAAGAAAAGGATGGAAAATACCCATTCGAGTTCGATGAAGATGTTGTTTTGACTGTTGGTGAATGGTATCATGACACTGCAGATGTTTTGATTCCAAAATTTTTGAACAGATACAATCCTACCGGTGCCGAACCAATTCCCCAAAACACTTTGTTCAACAATACCAGAAACAACACTTGGCACGTGGAACCAAACAAGACGTATTTTGTCAGAATCATCAATGTTGGTGGTTTTGTTTCTCAATACTTGTACATGGAAGATCACGAGTTCGAGATTGTTGAAGTTGATGGTATTTATGTGGAAAAAAACTCTACCAGTATGATTTACATTACTGTTGCTCAGCGTTACGGTGTTTTGATTCATACCAAGAATGAAACTGACAAGAACTATGCTTTCATGAACAAGATCGATGATGATATGTTGGATGTGATTCCTAAAGATTTGATTTTGAACTCTACCAACTACATTATCTATGATGAAGAGGCTGACAAACCAGATGAGTACATGGTCGATGAACTTGATTTCTTTGATGACTTCTACTTGACTCCTCTCAATAAGGAGAAGCTTTATGATGAAGCTGACCATGTTGTCACTGTTGATGTTGTCATGAATAACTTGGGCAATGGTGTTAACTACGCTTTCTTCAACAACGTCACTTACACTGCTCCTAAAGTTCCTATTATTGGTACTGCTTTGTCTGCCGGTGAATTTGCAACCAATGCTTACATCTACGGTAACGTGCATGCTGTTGTGTTGCAGAAGGATGACGTCATTGACATTCGTCTTAACAACCAAGATACTGGTAAGCATCCTTTCCATTTGCATGGTCACACTTTCCAGGTTATTGAAAGAGGCGAAGGTGTCCCTGATGACCAATCGCCTGTAGCATTTAACGCATCTGACCATGCTCCATACCCTGAATACCCTATGATTAGAGACACTGTTTATGTCAACCCTCAATCTTATGTTGTTATGAGATTCAAGGCTAACAACCCAGGTGTTTGGATGTTCCACTGTCACATTGAATGGCATTTGGAACAAGGTTTAGCCCTTATCTTCATCGAAGCTCCAGAGGAAATGCAAAAGACTGAGTCTCAGCAATTGACTGATAACTTCAAAGAAGTCTGTAAGAATGTTGGTGTCAACTTTGAAGGAAATGCTGCTGGTAATACTGCTAACTACATGGATTTGTCTGGTGCTAATGTGCAACACAAGCCTTTGCCATCTGGATTCACAGGTAGAGGTATTGTTGCTTTGGTCTTCTCTTGTATTGCAGGTGCCTGTGGTATGATCGCTATTTCATTCTATGGTATGGCTGATGTCAAGAATTTGGAAGAACATGTTATCAGAGACTTGGATGTTGACCTTGATCCTGATGCTGAAGCTGAACTTTTGTCTGAGGGTGAAGAGCAGGAAGCATCTAGCTCAACTCCCCGTATTTAAATGTGAACTTACACCGATTTCTGGATGAATGCTGGTTTTGTCCAGCAACGCTCGAGAGGTTTTCAATTTTTGTTAATGTGTGTGTGTTGAAAGTTTCTCTTGTGTCTGCTCGGCGAGATTATGTTATTGAAAGCACTTCCAGGATTGTTGTTGGTTTGTCCCAATGTGTGTTTGAACGGCTCGACTTTTTTTTTATCCCCTCCCCCCTCTCCCCCACCCCCTTTTTTTTAAACCCAACGTTTATGTTTTAATACGAACCCGATAAATTTTGTTGTAGTGCTCATTGTTGTGGACTCAATTACGCCTCAGTTTGTTTGTAGAAAGAAAGCTACTCGAAAGGCCGACAAGAATAAGAAGAAGAGCAAGAAGAATAACAAGAAGAAGAGCAAGAATAAAAAGAAGAAGCAGAAGCAGAAGTTCAATCTGTTGGCAGTTTACGTCGGTGCTATAATGTATACCAAGGTGAACAAGATACACTTTACTCGGTGTAAACCTGCACTTAGTTGCTTCATCAATTCGATTCAACATTCGTACGGAGAATCTTCGTCATGTTTGAGGCTGTCTATATCGCAGATAGACAAGAGAACTTAGTGTACGAGTATCTCGTTCAGCTGCATGCTCCGCACTTACAGTTGCTTGTTAACTACCTCAAGTTGAAGAAAGAGGAGAAGAATGATCCAAGTTCTCAACAAGTCATGGAACTAAACAACCGTTCCTTCGTTTGCTCTTCGATTACTCAGCACCTTACATTCTACGTTCTCTGTCTGAAAAACTCAGAGGATGAACTCAATCCGTTGACCCCTTTTGTCTTCTTGGACAGGCTTCTCGAGGTTATGCAAGAATACTTTGGCACTCCCCTATCATCCACGAAAATTGATGCCAACAATGATACACTTACTTTGATTCTAAATGAAATGATTGATGATGGGGTACCGCATATAACTGATGTCAACAAATTGAGAGAATTAGTACTGCTGAAGAGTCTTCTTTCAAAAATATTGAGTACCAGCAATGAGTTGGCGGCTGCCGCAACAAATAAGTCTTTGGCATCTTTATCGAGTATATCCCGCTCTTCTCGAACTCAAGACTCTATTCCCTGGAGGAAATCAAATGTTAGGTACACTAATAATGAAGTCTTCGTTGACATCATTGAGACGGTCAATGTTATTTTGAAGCCCAAGAGTGGCCGTCACGTTCAACCTTCAACTCACAACTTTGACTCTGCATTTTATTCGAATGCTTTTCTTGGGACTAAACTCATTCCAGTGACGGGAACTATTTTAGGAGAAATAGATTGCCTCTGCCACATCAGTGGAGTTCCGCTGCTACAAGTTGACTTTAATTCAGCAGCTTCTCTCGTTGGTGTTCCTCTGTTTCACCCATGCATTAAACTTGACACTTGGATGAGAGCAAAATCTTTGTCTTTTATCCCACCTGACGGGCAATCTACTTTGATGACTTACCAGGTTGATATGGATACCTTACTGGAAAACGCTCAGCTTGGTATCCTTAATCAAATAGATTTTCAATGTCAGCTGGAGCTTGGTTCTAGACGGAACGAATTTGAACTCCGTTTTAACATTCCGAAGCATCATGCAATTAATAAGATAGATAGTCTCAGTGTTGAAATTATTGCTGGATACCCAGACATCTCTAAGAACGAGGAGAAGCGTCTTGAGACTTCAAACGATGAAATCTCTAATATGAAAAGTATTAGGGTCAGTCATGGTGACTTTCGCTACCAGGGTAATGGAAAAGCAGAATGGTCGATTAAGAACATGATTACTGGTGTTCAACCCATCCTCAGAGCTAGTATCATGACTTCTAATTCAAATGATGATTTTTTAGATTCTTCATCGGAATCATCACAAAAGGAAAATCTAGATTTGGGTGTTCAGCAGCCTGTTTCTCCATTGTATTACAAATTGAGATTTACGTACAAAGGTAATGTACCAAGTGGATTGAAGGTAGATAGCCTTAAGGTTACAAGCATCAAAGGATTGGGTGAAAACGTGAAACCGTATAAGGGTGTTCGGTATGTAACCAAGTCTGGAGACTACACAGTGAGGACGAAATGAAACGTTTATTGTACGAAGCCTTCAGGCTGATGATGAATAAGTGAAGCTCTGGAACTATCACTGAGTCGTCCTAAATAGTTAATAGAATTTGTCCAGATGCATCCTCTTTAATTTGCTTTCTTACTCTTTTTCAACTTTTCCTTCTGTGCGTTCTTGATGATGACATTGCCAATGAATGCCGTGACAGCAAAAACTGCGCTTACAAGTAAAATCAATGGCAATTTGATGGCATAGTCTCTTGGAGGGAATAAATTTTGAAGCAAGCTGTCGGTCTCAACGAAATGGTAACACTCAAAACCCAAAACGCTGTAGTATATAAAAACAACGGTGGCGACTGTAAGCATACCCCAAACCAACAAGCTTATCACAGGACTATTTATTAGTAACAAAACTCAATATCGCTTAAACAACACAAACATACCATGTCTCTGAGGAAAATGATGCAATGATGATGTTGTCTTGAGGAATAGTTGACGTGTACAAGATCCGCACCCGTACATCCATTTGTCGTATGGTTGGCTAGTCATAGAACGAAACTTTCTAGTTTGATGGTTTCAATAATGTTATAAGAGTGAAAGCCATACCTGTTTTGTGCTGATGCTGAATATTTGTGTGATATTGATCATTGTTTGTGGTTTGAATTATTATTCTATAAACTTCATTTACAAAAATCATTAGACGCGAGCAATGCATGTCAAAATGGTAGCTGTGTGGAAAGAATGATTTTCCTTAATTTCATCTACATAAATTGTTAGACCGCTTTCATTGCATAAGCCAATATGGTTTCAATATGTAATCAAGATAGTCATTAGGGGACTCATTAGGGATGCTTGCGAGACCAGGCAATTTTGCTTAACAATGGTCACCATTTCGCGATTCTTATATCCGAAATCACTTCCACAGCTTTTCATGTTCAACAAACTTAAACTGAGAAAAGCACCGCTTTCACTAAGTTCTGTAAGCAATGCTATCAAGTCATCAAGTTCAAGCTCGTTGACTCCACAGTTGGAATCAAAACATTTAAAGGTTACATCAGGCGATCAGCTTGGTTTACCTATGGGATCCATAGACGCTATTGCATTTGATCCAGTCCAATCACTTCTAGCGGTGGGCACCAAGGCGAAGACCGTCCACGTTTATGGTCAGCAGACTGTTGAGGTTGTTTTTGAGCTAAATACTAGAGCGGAGATTGCACATTTGAGATTCTTAAAAGGCATATATTTGGTATGTGTCGAAACATCAGGCACTATAACTATATTGTCTTTACATTCGAAAAGCATTTTGTCTACATACCTGGCTCCTGGGACGATTACCGCGGTGGAGTCTGATCCTTCTATGGACTGGCTAATTTTTGGGTTGGCCAATGGTTCGTTATTCTTTTACGACGTGGATAGATTCAATCTTACGCCGTTTAGAGTGGATAATCTACAGAAGGTTGTTTTACCTAAGCAGAAACTATCACCAGTGAGAAGTATCCAATGGCATCCCAGGGACATTGGTACTTTATTGATAACGTACAGCCATTGTGCTATTCAATTCTCAATTTCTGGTGGTGGTATCAAGAATTCATTTACGTACATTCTGGAACCAGGAACCAGAGGTTACGCACATTCGAACGGATTTGCCACTGGAAACAAGAAAAAATTATTCGGATCACCCAAACCGGTAGTGTGTGAAATGAATGAAGCACATTATCATCCCAATGGATTACACGTCGTAACTGTACATGCAGATGGATCATTGGTCTTTTGGGATGCTAATGATGGAAAGCTTTTGGAGGCCAGAACAGTGAAAGAGACTGGACTTCACAAACCCGGAGATGCAGTCCAAATCGAAGAAAACGTTGGTATAAAAGCAAAATGGATTGCGGCACAAGACCCTGAAATCACTTCTCTTCTTATCACAGGCTCATCTGCAACTTCTTCAGACACTGTGGACATACTTGATTTTGGATACACCCTCAAATATTCTTTAACATCTCATGAGAAGCAAGGTGCCTTCTATGCTAATCCTCAAGAAGGTAGACGAGTTATAAAGATTGATTTTTATCAGCGTAATCGTCCAGAGGGCACACGGGAGGTGATCAAGGATATCTTACCAGTCGCAGCAGAGGCACAGCCATATTTCAATGGATGCCACAACCCATCTCTGGTCTTCTTCATTTCGAGTTTGGGTTCCCTTTACTACCTGAATTATACAAATGGCCGTCTTCAAACGTCGTCTCTTCCTCCATCATTGTCTTCTATTGTTCCGCCGATCACATTTTCAGATGCACAGTTGGTTAAAAGAGTGGAATGGTTTGGTTTACTTCCAAGTAAAAGGACAGGCTATAAAGGAATGCTTACAGGAGGCGCTTCCGTGAACAAAGGGTATCCAAGGACACTTGGAGCAGATGAAAATCTTCACAACATCTACATTACCGGACATGAGGATGGCTCTGTGAATCTATTTGATATGACGAGTGGCGAATTTCATGATGATGAAGCACATGTACAGATAAGTTTGAAGGAAGTCTTGGATGTGGAAGGCAGGTTCAGCAGTTACTGTATAGTATCGATTTCTTGCAGTTTTGAAAGCAGAGAACTATTAGTTGGTGTCGGGAATGGAAACGTTGCTTTGTGCAAGTTCATGAAACCTAATTCCAACCCTATTACTTCAATCCCATCTGATTATGAAACGTGTCCAGTACTTCATGAAAATGGTGACGCAAAGATACGTGACATTTCAAAAAGGTTACCAAACTCTTCTCATTCATCGTTTGCACCATTTGCATTACTTGTACTTGGTGAAGAAGATTATATCACTTCCATGAAAATGTCCAACGCAGGCTTTGGTGCCATAGGATATAAATCAGGAAAACTTGTGGTGATGGATGTAACTCGTGGTCCAGCGGTTATCTTGAACCTGAACATTAGACAACATTTGCCTTCGGTAACGGGCGAATGCTTTGTGACCGCAATTGAATTTGCAATTATGGAATATGGACAAGATGGATTTTCTTCATTGATCATGATCGTGGGAACGAACGCCGGAGGTAACTTATTGTTGTTTAAGATCATTCCTCAACCTAATGGTGGATTCCAGGTTGCGTTTGCAGACAAAACTCTTGGCTTAAACTATAAGAATGCCGATCCTGATAAACCCTCTGGATTGGACCAACTCATGCCAATTAATGCTTCTACTGGGGAGTCAACCATTGCTACTCTTGACATGTTTAGGAAATTGGGAAAGGGAAGTGCTATTCCGGGTTACATTGTTGTGGGGTCTTCAAGGGATTTACGTGTTCTTAAAACCCCGAAGCAAAAGTTAGCACATAAAGTCGTGGATGAAACATGTCTATGCAATGGTGTTGTCCAGTTGAGAGATAGGGGGGCGGTTTTGGTGTCGGTCACAGAGTCGGGGTTTCTAAAGTTATTTTCCCTTCCTTCATTGAGCGAGACAGATGTAAAGATTCCGAACGAGATTTTCTCGAGGTTGAAGAAGAGTCGTATGTCAAGTTTGTCTTCGGGCTCTACAGTATTGGGAACAGGTGAAATACTTATTCAGTTGAGCCGAACTGAAGTCATGAGTTTGCTACTTTATGACGAATCAAGAAATAAACCACAAAAAACAAAGCCCACAGACTCATTGTTTAATGAAAATGCTATTATTCCACCTAGACCTACTGCAGGAGCTATGCTGTGGGCCAAGGGTCAGATCACTTTGACGTCTACATCTGACCTAACATCTCTAATTGCCGGCCCAAATAGAAGGCAACCGAAGCACCCGGAAAGTCAATTAGCATACAATATTAGCCCCGAAGCGAATCCAAATCAAACATATGGCGCGTATAACGGAGTTTCATCAACACCAAAGCCGGCAGAACCCTATGCCCAGCCAACGAGAAGAGCTACGGCTACGAATCCATATGCTTTTGGCACACAAGGTTTCATGAGATCCATTCGTGATGGAATTGATTCGGTAGAAGAGAACGTGAATTCTTATGCCTCTGGTTTATCCGAAGCGATGACAGAAACTGTTGAAGGCCAGAAGAAGTCTCTTTATTCACTGGCTTTGAAGAGTAAGTTTGGATTTTAGAAACGAAGCTAGTTCTTTTCATCTGTAGAGGTTACTCGCTGGCGTAGACGTACCACATGACAAGTAAAGTTACATTCGTAAACAGAACAGTAGCAAAATCTATTTTCTAAACAATTCAACTTGAGCAGCAGAAGTACACAGTGGAGGCTTACTTTTGCACTTAGCTTCTGAACACAAGTTGTATTTACATTGTGCGGTCCTATCCTTCTTTACATACAGTTGTTTAAAACAACCAGAGTCGCGCTTAATTTTCTTCGTGGCCTTGTATTCTAGAGGCAGACCAAGTTTACTTTTGCTGTTCGAGACATTTTCAGCACTACTACTGTGTAACTGGCAAATTACTTTAGTCATTCCATTGTGAAAACTCTATGGAACAATTTACAGACCTGGAGAAGCAGAGAAAGATGCAAAAAGATCCACTTTCTTCTCATGATGAAATCAAGCAACAACTAGATGTTATTGAATTTCAAACGAAACAAACTAATGCAGATCTAGAGCAATTGTTCGACAGACTGAAAAATAATAACCAGAATTTGAATAAGCTTCTTGAATCCATATCTAACTATAGCAAAGAGGTCACTACTGAAGGAAATGCTACAAAACACGACGTCACTAGGATTTTAGAGAGGTTAAAAGTACTTCCTGAAGAATTGATTGAGACAGTTATCCAAAAGTGTATGGATAACATGAGTTTTGAGCTAATGAAACAAGTTACAGGGACAGTTAATAAAAGCAACGAGACCATTGCAAATCGATCAGACGCCAGACAAGATCAAATCAGTCGCCAATTGTCCTCTATTAAAGACATTCTCGATAAATTAATGACGGATTCTCAAGCTATAAAACGCCATATCGATGACACGGATACCATAAAAAGGGAGGAGAAACATGCTCAAAGCACATTATCCGGTGCAGAGGTTGTCAAATTGCAGACATTGGCTGAGCAACAAATAGAGTCATTGAATCTCTTGAAAGAAAAGCTCACTCAAAAAGAAGTCGATTCAACACATGATAGTGTTAGTACAATGGTCGAAAAGTACACCAATCTACAGAAAAAGTACGACACGCTATCAATCGCATATAAAGAAAAATATCAAGCATTCATGAGATTAGAGGAACACTTCAAGAATTTAGAAACCCAATTTGATCGGATGGTTTCTAAGATAGAAACAAAAGACCTCCTGAAATATGGAAAGTTGCAACAGTTACATGCTACCCTGATATCGCAATTGGATAATCTGCCGCTGCTCTTTGTTCAAAAGAAGCGCATTACCAGTATGCCAATCAAATCTCACGAAGCAGCAATACATGAACCAATACGAAATCAATCCATTCACGAAGAGTATTGATTTGTATGCTTTACTATGTACAAGTTAATTTGCAGTGATGAACTCTTTTCCGTCCATGAATGGCCTCAACACTTCAGGAATACGGACTGATTGGGTCGTAGGATCATAGTTTTGTTCTAATATGGCCACAATCACGCGAGGAACAGCCATAGCCGTACCGTTTAATGTATGAACATAGTCCAACTTTCCAGATTTATTTTTGAATCTGATTCCAAGACGCCGTGATTGATAATCTCCACAATTCGAACAGCTTGTCAATTCTCCATATTTTGCTCTTCCTGGCATCCATGCTTCACAGTCATACTTTTTCATAGCTGGCGCCCCCAAATCCGTCGTGGGCATATTCAAAACCTTAGCTTTGATACCCAAGCCTGATAGTATAGAAATTTGAAAATCTTTTATTTCTTCCAACTCTTTTGCTGACAAATCAGGATGAGTGAAATGAAATAATTCAACTTTGGTAAATTCGTGAACTCTGTATAGCCCGGTTGTATCTTTGCCTCTCGCCCCAGCCTCTGCTCTATAAGCACGCGAGACACCCACATATCTTGTAGGAACCTCAATTGTCGAAGAAGAATGTAAGGCTCCCATTGGGATTTCTGCTGTTCCTGTGAGAGATAAAGGTTCGTTCTCTATAGCATATACCTGCTTTTCTCCATTTTGGTCTCTTGGTTTGAAACCACAAGCATGGACTACCTCAGATTTCACTATTGACGGTGGGATGACCATTCTGTATCCTCGAGCTCGAGCTTGTTGCAACGCATACTGCACTAGAGCTTGTTCCAACAACGCACCGTCGCCCACTAGATAATACCACGAAGACCCAGAGATTCTGGAGGCAGTAGAGAAATTCATAATGTTTAACTTTTCCCCAATAGTTTTGTGATCGTATGTCGTTGGAGGCATCTCCAGGGAGATTGTTGATTCATTATCACCTCCGATAATGTCTACAATCTCGGGGACGAGCGGATCCTCAGGAACTGTAGGATCCAACCAATTAGGCAACGCTTCAAGAGAACGATGAACGTTTTCTGACACTGTCTCAAGGTCATTTTCTATGGACCCAATCTGCTTTTTAAATTCTAGAAGCCGATTCTGCAATCGTGATATATCATCTGATTTCTCAGCATTTTTCATTAGTTGGCCCAATTGTGCGCCCAACTTTTTCCGTTCATTCACTAAACGGTTTCTTTCGTTTTGAAGATTGATTTCTTTCTGTCTGTTCTCAATCACATAGGAAAGATCCAGCTCTTCGCTTCCTCCGCGTCTCTTGATGGATTGTCTCATTTCATCTTGTCTGGAGATGATGGACTTGATATCCAATGCAGCACGCTTTAGCGCAACAGTATTCTTGAATGTACTGACACTGCGTTGGAAGTAATATGAATGTAGCATAAATCCAAACTGTGTATATGTGTTATTAGCAAGAGTGAAGATATTCCAACGTAATAGCGATTCATTTTCGCGCCTCATACACACCATACACTAATCGTTTCCTATATTGAATGAGCTTCTTAGTGAAACATGATCTATTTACAAGTTGCCAATGATCTGCATTGCTTCGGCATCACCATTTCTTAGTTTTTCGTCCCCCAATGCGTCTGCCAAACAGTTCCATGGGTCCTTCGTTCCACCCCATTTGAGAACACTCTCTTTGAACTTCTCTCCCGCTTCTCTGCTCCATGGATCGCTCTTGAAGAGTCCATACCAAATTTTGTCAGCAATAGCACGGTCTAACAAGTAGGAGTAGTAAACCGCCCCGTATGAAAAAAGATGAGGGAATTTTCCATGCCATGTGGAATACTCATCACTAAAGACTCTAAGCTGTTTTTCCAAATCGTGGTAAATTTTCGTGGAATCAAACTTTTCGAACGCTTCTTCGTCGGAAAAATCAATAATATTCTCATCATGTAAAACTTGGTCTAAAAGGGCCATTTTGGATTGAATGTAAGTTTCGCATTCCTTGAGCATATCACGTCTCACTTGATATTGTTTCAACAACTTCTCGCTCAATGGCTTTCCTGTTTGATGATGTTTTGCAATCTTGCATAAGACTCTAGGATCATTACTGAACTGCTCCATCAAAACAGATGGAAGCTCAACAAAATCAGTCAGACATCTAGTTCCAGACAAATTATGAAGTTTTGTGCGACCAAGCATTGAATGAATAGCATGTCCCATTTCATGAAAAATTGTGTCAACTTGCTCTAAAGAAAGAAGAGTAGGGACGTCCCTGTCACAGCCAGCGAAGTTCTTAATCGTGCTTGTTTTTGGCATTTGAAAGTTGCACACCAACGATATAACAGGGAGTTGATAGTCTTCCGATTTGTTCAAATGAACCAAATTTTTCATTTCGACCTGAGATTCTGTACCCAAGTCAACATTAAGCTCACGAGAACAAACAATAGTGAAATGGGAGGGCAAAACCTTGTTTGACCAAAAGTCAACATACAAATAACCAATATGTTCATTTGTAGAGAGATCAACAAATCCCAATTTCCTGACTTGATTTTGATCCCATGTTTCGCCTTTGCTGGTTCTTTCAGGAACGATGCTCACGTTGTAGATACTTCGAACGAGCTTATCCAATCCATTCATCACTGTACCGACTGATAAGTACTCAGAAATATTTTCTTCAATCTCCTCTTGCGGGTTCATCGCACTCTTTCGAGTTAAGAGATAATCCCTATCCCACGGTTTCACTTCATCCAACACTTGATCAACCCCAGCATTTGGATTGAAATCGTCTTTCGCGGCATACAAACCTTTAAGTTCCTTGATAACCCCGTTTTCTTTCAGGAGTAGACTTTTCTCCAAGTTTTTCAAAAAAGTAATCACATTCTGAGGGGTTTTGGCCATCTTGTGTTCTAGTTGATAATGTGAAAACGATTTATAGCCCATCATATTAGCTAGGAGAGCTCTATATTTGATGAAATTGTTCAAAGTTTTGATTTGGCTTTTGGGAGAATTGTGTAATGCAATCCAAACTTTTTTTCTTAAGTACTCAGAGGGACAGTGACTCAAAATTTCATAGGGAATAGTGCCAACTAAAGGAATAGATACTTCAGTCTCTGTAGTTTTTGGTGCCCTCGACTGCATATCCATAATGCGCTTCTTTAGTGATAAACTTGAAACCAGCTCTAATTCATGACGTGGTACAGAGCACCAATATGAGTCCAATGTATGTATATCATTATTAAAAGCAGAGCCCAAGAGCGAGATTTCTTGAGTAATTGCCACAAAGTTATCGCGTGTCTGTGGGTCCATAGCGATACCCGATCGCTCAAAATCCTGACGCAAGTATTTGCCCACCTCGATCTCTTCTGTACCTAAATCATTTACAAGGTCCAGATCCAAAATATCGGCAAGCATTTTGTAGAGATCAACATTCGTGTTGAGCTGATTCATGTATTCGAACATCATCTCATGTGTCTCCTGAGCTGCATCCACCCATTTTTGGCTAGGATGAGCAACTCTGATAAATTCTGCAACATCAATCACTCGACAGAGTATATCACTTAACTGATCTAGTTTGCGGATGTAAGTGAGCTTTCCAATGTCAGTATTTTTCGCATCTATAAGCATACTATCGACCAAGCCTTTAGCTTTCGAGAGCGATTCTTCACTAAATTGGATCAAGCCCAGGGGATTCTTGAGCCTGCTGTTCTTAAAGAGTCCAACATTAGGCGATGAAAGATATGAGCGCCCTGCCAGATTAAAGTTGGTGAAATATTTCTGACTGTCAAACAACTTCTTTAATGGCTCTGCACACGAAGTAACATAGAAGCATTTCAGTAACAAGGACGGCCTTAGCTTCGGCACTGAAGTTCTAATGAGCATAGCCATAGAAGTCAAAAATGCACACTTGAGAACGATACCTTTTTGCCAGACACATATGCACTCCTGGATGACTACCAGTCTTAGACAACGAAATCATCGGGATTCGATTCGAATAGTTTTTCGGCAGTGCAAATCCTTATAAAGAAAGAAAAAACAGTGGGTTCGAATAGTCATTCACTTTATTCTAGTCTTTGTTTTTCGTCTGAAACTCCTATTCTGTGGAATTGAAGCTTCCTATAAGAGTCATTACATATGCTATTATTGCAGGCCAGAAACGGCATTGAGCGCAAAAATTATGCCTCTTCCTTCCTTCTTGGAACAGACATTATCATTCCATTTTTGCCCGGTTTGTATGTCAGTTTTTTATGATGTAGTGTACTCAGTTCGTGCATAGCAATATGCATTAAACCGCGTTCAGAGACAATAATAGAATAGAACGAACTTACCTGCGGCGGAAACCCCAACAAAAAATTTAGAAAAAAACATATGTGCTTCCCAGGCAGAGACAATTTTTTGTTACTCGAGAAAATATTCAAGTGGGTTGTTTTGTGCTTTTTGAGAGTCTTATCGTCTTTGTCTTTTTTCTTGTGCTTTATCTCTCTGCAAAACATGCCATACATGCCTCCTTTGCGCTTCATGCAGTAAACCTATGCCAGGTGGTTAGCTCGGAAAATGGTGAGAAGCGATCGTCTACATTTGCCTTTCTTATTCGGTTCATTGTCCAAATTTACACACCCACTTTTAGAGTGGACCCCGATAGATTTTCCTTCAAATGTCTGGTAGCATACCCCCTCTGGGTATGGCTCAAGAAATGAATCCACAGTCGCCGATTCCTAGAAAGCGAACTGCTCGGGACTATCAATTTGGTAACAAAATAGGCGAAGGTTCCTACTCGACTGTTTTTCTGGCTGTGGACCTATACAACAACAAAACATACGCCATTAAAGTTCTTTCCAAGAAGCATATTGTGAAGGAAGACAAAATCAAATATGTGAATATCGAAAAGACGACTCTTCACCGATTAGGGCAGCAACATCCAGGAATTGTCCAGCTCTACTATACATTTCAGGATGACCAAAGCCTCTTTTTCGTGTTGGATTTTGCTGAGTATGGAGAGCTTTTGACGATTATTTCTAAGTTTGGATCTCTTCTGGAATCTGTACTGAAATTCTACATGCTACAGATTATAGACGCTGTCAAGTTCATTCATCTGAAAGGGGTCATCCATAGAGACTTGAAGCCAGAAAATATTTTGGTAGACTATAACTTCAAGTTGAAGATCACCGATTTCGGAGCAGCAAAGCTTATAGGGAACGATGATGATTCACAAGATGAAAAGATAAACTATGATACGGTAAATCTCAATGCATCCAAAGAGTTATCTGACAGGAAAGGATCTTTTGTGGGGACTGCTGAGTATGTTCCCCCTGAGCTTCTCAAGTTTAATGAATGTGGATTCGAAACGGATATCTGGGCAATAGGCTGCATTCTCTTTCAATTCTTCAATGGCTCACCACCATTTAAAGAGTCTACAGAGTACCTAACATTTGAAAAAATCATCAGCGTAAGCTATTCCTATAGAAATCAGGTTCCTCCATTGGTGAAAGATGTCATTGATCTGATTTTGGTTTTTGAACCAGAAAAACGTTTGACTATCCCCCAAATCCAATCGAAACAATGGTTCGCAGGTGTTCCCTGGAATGACCGTGAGTTCATTTGGAACAGAAAGGTTCCCAGGTTTGAACCTTTTGTTGCCCAATCGTCACCCCCAAAGTTCGCTGCAGTACCCCAGTTCAAAACTGGTTCAAACAGGAACATAAATAAATCAAACTCAAATTATCAGTTGCATTCCCAGATTCAACAATATGACTACAACTTAGTTCCTACCATAGGAAGTAAGAAACTGTTTCAACCCCCGACAAGGATTAAGAAAGGAGTTCCATCATCAAATTCTCCCCTACCACAACAAAACTTTGTACCAACTCATAGATTTGATGGAACACAACATCCACAAGACCGGAATTTCGTACCTCCGCCCCAAAACATTCATACTAACGCATGGGTTCTGCCACAAGGGGGAATAAATCCCCAGGCTAATCCTCCAATAAGACCGGCTCCTCAGTCAAATGGCATAAAGCATAAAGTACCCACACAATCCAATCAAGCTGAAACTGCTAGTCAGAACGCAGCCAAGGCTGCTCAGCAGAATTCCTCATCTGTACAAGCTGTCGAAAAAAGAATTGCGAATGTTCACATTGGATCCCAATCAAAACTCCCACAAGTAAATTCCCAAGTTAAGCCTCCTCAAGTGACATCAGCGAATAAATCTCCTCAGTTGGGTGCTAATAACAAGTCCCCTCAGATGAAAAACTTGAGGAGCAATACGGCATTTGCGAAGCTGCAATCCTATTCATCGCAATCCAGTGCTCCTCCGACGAGTAAGCCACCCCAATTGAATGCCATATCCGCTGCTGCAAGTGCCACAGAAAGAATCCAGCTGTCACAATCTGGGTCCCGGCCTAAAGAAAAACACACCAATCCTGCTAAAGTAAGCAATGCAAACACAGTCACATTCCAAGAGGTTTCCTCCTTGTTGAAACCAAAAGAGAAAATTATCAAACTTGATACCATTTTAAAACTGATATTGAGCAATAACTTAATAGGTAAGAAGCCAGGAAACCTTGATATTAACATGATTGAAACATTGATTAAAAAGCATGGAGAGGTTTTGAGTAGCAATATGGTTCCGGTTGTCGCATGTATCTCTAATATGGCAAGGGTATTCTTGATAGATTCGAGTCTCCAAGTGATGATGGTAGATTTGACCGCAAACGAAGGCGGCGATTATCTGATTTATGATTACGACTTTGAAAGCGTGGTTGTCGGTGATGACCGAAGTGATGGATCGAATGGCGAGGAGGTGTACGGCTATCTCATCTTAGAGTTGATCAAAGAGGGAGGTGATTTGGTGTTTTTGAAAAGATTTGACGAAACCGACAAAGCCCAGTTCCAGAATCCTACTCACGTGGTAGGTAAGACAGGTCAACATATTGTATTGGGAACAAACTATGGGTGGATTGATTGTTTAGTTTATGCTAAGCAAATGGTGGACAAAGTCTCCAACGAGCAGAAACTCAAAGGGCCGAAGATTTCAAAGAGCCAAACAAAGCCAACAATAAAAAAATCGACTACACAGAAACATAGTCGCCCTGGAGCACCAACTACGACGAAGAAGAGCCAGAATCCAAGCGATTCGAAAACGAGCACCAATAAATTTGCATACGCTGCAGCTGCAGCAGCACACAGATAATAAAAGACTACATGACTTAACTCGCAACTATGCGATAAACATTATTAATGCATCTTCGTTTTCCAATTATGATTGTAGATTTTACACCCTGACACAAAGCGTCCAGCAATAAGCAAGCAATAATGCGGTACATGATTACCCTGTCTGACTAAACACTTTTCTTGAAAGCTGCAAGCCAGTCCTTGTAGTAACATTTGTCGTTTAGTACGTCTGCTGTTTGAGCACGAATGATTGCCTCAACTCCAGACTCATTGTGAATCCAATTCTCGATGGTGGTGCACTTTGAGGTTTGTTCTTCCAATTGGCTCAATTCATTCTTCAATGCATATGGGTCTATTCGAAGATCGTGATCGTTATGGGCTTCCGCTTTCCGCAACTCGACTTTCAGCCGTATTTCTTTAGCATAGTTTGAGCAAAAAGTAATAACTTCGCTCCGAGCTCGCCACTGTGGTACAATCTTTCTATTGAAGTACTCATCACATTTGGAGCGGGGAATCTCATTCAAGTGCTGCCTTATAGTATCATCGGTGGCGATTCTGGAAAGCCGAAGGAAAGCACGGATGCGGGATGACGACTCACAGCTTTCTGGCTTCAAAAGAGTCAGAGGAGCTGTGGGTTCCGTCTCTGATGTATTGTTATTATTGTAAAACAAGTCAACCATGCCCATGGAGATCAACGAGTACTACTAATCTGGGGTGAGACTGATGTGTGTATGCATGTAGCGCTCGGAGTCGCAGAACTGGGCAAAAAAAAGAACGCAGCCGAACGAAGAGTAAAAAACCAGATGAAGGGATAACTACCAGTATTTCATCGACCGACTAAAAAGTAGAGTGCCAGTACTACAATACCAATACATCTTGAACTCTAGCACTAAGTTTAGCTTCATTCATCTGCTGACAAATTAAATATTTTTCCTAGAAGGCACTCGAAGTGTGGCTCCGACCGTGTTTGTTCAAAATTCTGATAATGTTGCAATTGAGTCAAATATTATGAACATAGAGAGATATGAACTCATTCGGTCCCGTATTGCTATTTGAATCGGCGTTGCTTGTGTTTCAGGTTAAGGAAATTAGTTGTAGCAAGAATTCTCCTGCAGATACAAACCACAATCCATCCAACTCAACTGATAGCCTGGTCTGCTTTTTAGGGTCATGACTGAAAACTCGGATTTTCGGGCTAACGAGCATGGCATTAACTATGCTTTTATGCTAGCATTATCGGCGCATTTCTCCAAGATTGAAGCCCATTTCCTGGCAGAACCGGCAGAACCTAACCAGACATTAGAAGAAACTATCTGGGCACAGGACATGGCCACCAACTTCCGCCTAGTGAATGAATACGGCTTACAGAAGCTTGCAGACTATTATTTTCACAAGGATATTGAGGAGAACAGCCCTCAAGGCTATTACAAACTGACATTTTCGTATGCTTTGGAGGCTCAATTAATAGGAACTCAAGCGGATCTGTCACACACACTTTCGACAGAACAAATCTTGGCAAAGATAGAAGAGCCAGCACCTTTCACCGGAGTTCTGCTATACACAAACCAACTCAGAGAGAAACTTTACGTTATTTTGAAGAACGCTGCGAAGGTATTTCTACAAACGCACAATCTCGATGAGTCTGCAACACCAAGCGTCTTGACTTCCACTCTTGCAAATAAGTTTGACTCATTACGGCAACAAAAAGATATATGCGAGGGGATAGATCTTCTGGCATTATCCTTACAACTTGATGCTACTGTGGATTTTCTTCGTAAAGAGAGTACGGTTGTTTGTCTGGGAGAGGAACTCTTTCCCATATTCAAGATTCTCTTGTTATCACAATTGGAAGTCGGGCGTTCTTTGAACAACCAGGGTACAACCGTACGGGACAAAGTCTTATACCTCCGAGAACTAGGAAACAATCTCATGGAGAACTCATCGTTTCCACAAGCCCTCAAAGTATACAGTGAAGCTATTCATGCATGTGACTACACTTGTTCCAACAACATTCCACAGCTCTACACGAATAGAGCTATTGCATTTATAGGACTCAATTGTTTTGCTGAGGCTACATCAGACTTGAATTTTGCGGTACGCTACGACAGGACATTCACCCCCGCGTGGGCGCAGTTGGGCTACTGCCACTTATACCAAGGGTCCGGATTTCTCGCTTTGAAGTGCTACTATACAGCGTTGCGGACGATTTCAGGCGAAATATATCCAGAAAATTTCCCTCAGAATACAGAATTGAAGCAGGAGTATACCGTGAGCAAAATGCGGAGTATCATGCCACAATTTGTCCAGAGACTAGTACAGTCCATCATCTTAACAGAACGCAGAGCAGAGCAACAGCGAGAACCATCTCAAGCTATCCAGGAGGTGTCCACAAAAGTACGTGCTATCCTTGCGAGACTTCGCTCCGTCGTGGAGCCAGAAGACTTGTCGTACTTAGCTTATTCGTACGAAAACGAAGTAGAGAATGTTCGTGCTACTGCAGCTCGATCCAATAGAGCACGTCCTAACATTTTGACCCCTGATGTGGCGCAGGACCTCATGGCAAGTTCAAATATGGAAGCGTCTGCAGTGACAATTCTGCCCGCTATGAATTTGCGTACACGGACAGCAGGAAACAGAGATGCAAATGCCGAGAGTAATACGCCACCTCCAAATGGCCCGAGAGGTACTACAGCACGATCTCTGGATAACTTGCTAGGCTTTTTCAACAATTTGGGTGAGATTTTCAATGATGCTGTGCAAGCACAGCATGACGCACATGATACCAATAGGAGAGAGCCAAACCTGGTGACCAATTCCGAACAGAATGCTGATGCAAGTACAGGAGAAGGTGTTGAATCGAATATGAGGGCTGACTCAACCAGTTTAGAGACAAACTTGCAAAACAATGATATTCGACTGGACACAAGTTCCAACTCGACTGATAGAATCCTTCAAAGAAACACAAACCAAGCGGGAGTTACCGATTCTCGTGCACCCGAACCGGAACAACGAACTTCCGATTCTGATTTCCGCAGTACCATCCGCAATTTTGTTCCTGGACTTCGGGGTAATCTCGGAGGACTTTTGAACCAAGCCCTCCGCCACCACCAACTGGCTCGGGATCTAAATTCGCCTGATGCTCAAAGAGGCGTATCTGAACAAAGAGTGCATCGTAGTTTCTCGCCCCGCATTATACGCATTGACCGTAGCGGGAATTCTGAGGTTATCAGCAGTCCTACTGGTGTACGAACGCAAGTGAGCACCAGGGGTGTCAGGTTGCCAGAAGAAGAATCCAACTCGGGCCGTTCAGATTCTACCCGTGCGCCTGGACTCGGTTCGGAAGATCCGAACCCACGGCCTGACCTGGATATGAGTGACGCAACTGAAGAACACTAATTTTCAACTATTAGCGGAAGTTCTTACTTTGTATTTAATACAATCGCAGTGAAGCAGCCATAACTATGGTGGTAATAACTTGATAGGAACATTTCGTATCTAGACGCTTGAAGCACTAGCGTTGAGAAATATTATGTATAAGAAAGTCTCACTTTATCAAACAAATACACATTCACTCTGAAAACTTTGTTTCTTTATCGGGCATTTTGCTTACTTCTAGTTTGAAGTCACCTTACATTTTACAGTTTCCTGTGCCGTGTCTACAGTGTGATGGTTTTGTCCATATCTTTCTTCAGCCTTTAAATGACTTCCTTATATGCACACACAGATAAGACAAGATTCAACGAAGTGCGTATCGCCCTTACCTAACTAACACATCATGGCCGGATTGGAACAATCACTTTTTCAGCTTAAGTTTACAGCAAAGCTGTTAAATAGACAAGCGAGCAAGGCCGCGAAGGAGGAGTTACAAGAGAAGGCAAAGACAAAAAAGGCAATGATGCAAGGAAACAATGACATTGCACTGCTCTACGCACAGAATGCCATCAGAAAGGCGAATGAGAGAGTCAATCTTCTAAGATTGGCTTCAAGAATTGATGCTGTTGCTTCGAGAGTACAAACGGCTGTGACAATGAAATCTGTCACTGGCAATATGTCCCAAGTAATTAGAGGTATGGATAAGGCACTCCAAACGATGAATTTGGAGCGTATCTCACTCGTGATGGATAAATTCGAATCTCAGTTCGAGGATTTGGATGCGCTGACCAACTACTACGAATCAGCTACCAACAACGTTAACGCATTGACCACTCCACAAGAAGAAGTGGATGAGCTAATGTCGCAGATTGCAGATGAGGCTGGAATAGAAATGAAACAGGGCTTGAACGAAACGAAGGTGGACATTCTGAGCCCTCCAGTCACCATCTCGGAAGAGAAGGAGGATAAGCTCGCAGAGAGATTACGTGCATTAAGAAATTAGTTTGAAGAAAGCAAGTATTAGTCACGAAGTATGATTAATTTTCGACATGGACGGTCATATCTGATGGTTCACCGTTCTATGTTTTTAGTCTAATTGGAATGACTGTCTTGATCGATGGTAGACATGCGTTCACTAATACAGCCGCACCTGTACTGCGAGATGCGTTGTAGACTGTTCAACTAAGCTGGAAAGACGGATGCAGTTGACACCGAGAGCCACGGATAGGGGCCTTCAAAGTATTAATCAACCAACACAGGTGTTTCTCTATAAATACCCCCCAGGATGTTTCTTTTCTAGAAACTCCGGAGAACCAATAGAAATGCACCATGCGCTCCTGTATATGTGATCCGTTAGTAATAAGAGACTGTTCCGGGTTGCTCAGGAACGTTATAAATTTGCTTCAGTATCTTTTGAACAATTCACATATCCATACGCTATGCTTGCTTCTACTCTTAGAAACTCTGTTCGTTCCTCGAGATCTGCTTTCACCTCAATTGGTGCAATTAGAACTAAAGTTTCCTTACCAGACTTGGACTGGGATTTCAATGCTTTGGAACCTCACATCTCTGGTAAAATCAATGAGCTTCACTACCTCAAGCACCACCAAACTTATGTGAATGGCTACAACCAAGCCATTGAACAACATGCCGAGGCAAAGGCAAAGGGTGAGGTCAAGAAGACCATCGAATTGCAAAAGGCCATCAACTTCCATGGAGGAGGCTACACTAACCATTGCTTGTTCTGGAAAAACTTGGCCCCTGAGAAACAAGGTGGAGGTGCTCCTCCATCGGAAGATTCCGAATTTGCCAAGAAGATTACTGAGCAATACGGATCTCTTGACAACTTGAAGGCAATCACTAATGCCAAGTTAGCTGGTATCCAAGGATCAGGTTGGGCTTTCATCGTCAAGAACAAGGAGAACGGTGGTGAATTGGACGTTATTACCACTATGAACCAAGACACAGTAGGCGGTCCTTTAGTGCCATTGGTCGCCATCGATGCTTGGGAGCATGCATACTACTTGCAGTACCAAAACGTCAAGGCTGATTACTTCAAGGCTATTTGGAACGTCATTAACTGGAAGGAAGCTGAAAAGAGATTTTTGGTTAACTAATTGCTTTCTCCAAAGTTTAGTTTGTTTATTTCCGAACGTACGGATATTTATTACCACAGTGTAGATGTGTTCAGAATGTAGCAGCACCAAGTATACAAGCGGCTTGCTTAGCGTCAACAACCGCACCTTCCATTTCTGCCTGCTGCCGGAGAGATTGCTCCTTGAGCTCGTGGTCTGCAGCTAAGCTTCGGAAAGTTCGGGAGCTCCATGAGTCCCCGTTCGCGGCTTGTGACAGAGGGAGATTATGCTTCATTTGGGTCAAATTATCTCGATTCAAACGAGATAAGCCACCATTTTGATCGATTATTCTTATATCGATTCGAATGTTCTCCAAGCTTTTTAAAAATCTTCTGTGTTGCTCGACTCTGCCCAAGGTAAATTGTTTAAGCGTTTTTTGGAACTTAGATTCTATGAAGTTGACAACCTCGCGCTTTTCAAATATCATCTCACCTGAAATTCGCTTTACTTGCATCTGAAGACTCTCCTCTGCTTTTGTAGCATAATCCAAGGCTCTCAAAGCTTCATCTACTTTGATGGGATCAAGTGACAGCTTATTCTTAAATTTTGTAGCTTGAGCATGCTTAGCTTGTGTTTGCGCTTGGGCATGAAGTAATTCTCTCATGATGAGATGTCTATTCGTAAGGGCTTCTTTAATCTCATAGAAATCGTCAACTAATGCTTGGCAGCTATCGCCCAAGGTGCCCATGTCACTAATCAGTTGAATCAAGTTCGAGTCGCTCATGATTTGAGTGATCTTCGCCAATTTCTCCCACATATTCTTCATCCCGGGATGCACTGTCTCAAAATGCGAAAGACCTTTTAGCTTCGTGGCCAATTCACTGATATATGAAGAAAGCTGACGCTCATTCTTTTGGTTTTTCTCCATAGCTCGAAGAAGGCGCTGCAAGAGCAAGTACGCTGATTTGATCATGGGCCTGAATTCTGCCAATTCAACATAGGGATCATATGGTGGTGCCAATTGCTTCAAAGTTTTCCGGACTAAGCCACTGGCTACCAGAGATTTTCTCCCACTGTTAATCACAGAATAACCAAAATCGTTCTCGATGAAGAAAACAAACTCCTCGTCCCTCACTAATATAGGGTTTTGAGTTAAGCGATCAAACCATTCTTGCCAGATATAGAATAACCGTTTATTTTCTTCTTCCCCACCAGTGGGATAAGAAGTTTGTGGCAGTGGAATTCTAGGCACAAACACTTCCAAATTGGACACAATCAAGTAGTTATTGAACTTAACGATCTCATTGTACGTCCTGCGAATGTCTTTATAAGTTCCCTGACGATATTTGCTCATTCCTGTTACCTTTGCATCGAATCGTAAAATGGGGTTCCCTGGTTTGTTGGGCTCGATATTACGTAGAATCAATTGCATCGAGTATTTGTCGGAGAAACGCTCAGGTAACAATTTCATCAATTCCTTTTTAACTAAGCTTCCACTGTCTTCATGCTCAATCTGCGTTTCTGTTTGTTGTGTAGTGGATACTTCCCCAGTCTCCTGCGTTTGTTCCACCTCATGTGAATCTTCCACCTCAGGATGTTGAGTATTAAACGCTTCATCGCTGGGCTCAGCGAAAGGATTATTATCCTCAAAATCGTCTGGTTTGAAACTAATTGTAGATGCCATGTTATGACCTCAAATGACTGGTGATGAATGTACTCCCTTGCCGCTATCTTCAACTTGGTGGGAGAACTCTGGAATGCAGGATTACCTTTACGCGTGCAAACTTCTGACAGCTATTTTGAAGCTCATTTAGAAGAAAAACATAATTACGCTATTTATTACCAGTACATAAAACGTTGCATCTTTTAACTTGCTCAAAGCCTTTCCTCTGTTATGACACCAGAGCTTTTGAAGATGTTGTAGCCCCAGAATCCGATCAAATTCAATACACCAACTCTCCAACCATTAAAGAGGCCCAAAAGACGGAATCTTTTCCAGAGAGTTAATGGCCTTCTGTCGTCAGTTTCATCACCATCAAATACATCCTGAGGGAGAAAGCCATTAAAGTTAACTATGAGGTTTTCTTCTGGGTTCTTAATGGTCACAACGCCATATTTGTCTTCTGCCTCTGACTTCGGTTTCAATAAAAATCTCACTTGTTCTTTACGTAACAAGTTCTCAAGTGGTAATTTAATAAACAACTCCATGATCAGCAAAACCAAGTTAACCATGGTGTACAAGTTTGGTGACAGATAAGAGTCAATATTGTATCTCACAAATAACAAGTATGGGGCCAGCTTGCGGAAAACTGTTGTAGAAAACTGGTGTAATATAGTCAAGAGAGTGATAGTTGGGGGCGGGTTCAAGAGCACCTTTCTTGGAAAGTGCCTGATAGATTCACGCACAGATCTTGTGTCAATCGAAGGCTCTGGGTAAACGGTTGATGATTCTGAGGAGAGTACTTCAGAGGAATCACTGGATGTAGGAGAAACAGGTTTATTAAACTGGGTGATCATTAGCCGAACTTTTATCAAGTCCAAAGGCATCAAAATCACTCCCGCGAGAACACAAGCCAGAACAGAGAGCCATAAGGATTTACCTGGTTCAGTTGAATGAGTTAAATCCAAAAAGAATGGGTCCGGAATCGACAAGAAAGGTGAGATGAAACCTGTGATCCAGGCTTCTATGGTGTGTGATAATGTGTAGTGAATGAAGGAAGCATTAATTCCTCTGAATAATGCAAAGGGACCATCCTTGGAGGCAACTGCGGCCATAATGTCAATTGTATGTTGGGAAACTGGATTAATTTTGTGTGGGTTGCGTGCTTTGCGTGGTTTCACAGTATGCGTCTCATTATTGGTCTTCTGTGGAACCGTAACACCACTAGATGACTCCCAAGGCAGTTGAAAGTAGTCGATAGCTTCATCCGCCTCGTCGGAGGAGCTTGCCGCAATATCATGGTCAGCAGTGCTGTTCGATTCAAGTTTAAGTCTTGAGCGTTTGGAAGCACTGCTGGAAGCAGACCCGTCACGGAAATCGAAGAACCCTACCTGAAGGACAAGCCGTGCTATCTCTAAAGGTTGCGAAATCAATACCTTGCAATAGTTTCGCATGAAGTTCCATACCAAGTTCTTGAAAAGTTCCAGAAAGTTGTTCACGTCAAAGTATTCCAGAAGCTCCAAGTCGTACACGTAATTTTTGTCTGTCAGTAATACCGAGACATCCAGAGACAGCACCTTCCCTATGCCCAGCAAACCTATGCTTCCGGCGCCAAAGTTGCTGGATTTTGATACATTATTGCCCAAGTACGCAACAATCGGTTTGTTCGTGGCAGTGTCCACGAGACCAATGCCGGGTTTAAAGATTACCAGATACCCAGCATCAAAAGTATCGTGGTTATAATAAGGGCGTAAACTGTTTTCCCCAGACATTGCTGGAAAGATCTGTTAATGGGATCTCACCATCCTCTAAAGCGCACTTTCGATCATTACAAACTTGATGCAGGTCTGGGGAATATTGCCTGAGGAAAATGCTTCGAAAGAACATGAAATATGGATAACCATATGAACTAAAAACATGATTTGATGAGAAAATAGCACATTCCTAATGTACTCCCCTTTTTCCTATTTCCATACACGACTTATACAATCAGCATAGAGAGGAACTTGTATCAAGTTACTCTCGTTCCCAACTAGCGTCTGTAACAAGCTTCTTTGCTCTTTGTTCAAGGCTTCGTTAAGCATTTCATTAAATTACTTCGCTTTCTTTAGTTCAGCTGACCTATTGATGAGGAATTGGCCGAGTTCGTAGAGAGGGTCCTCTGGTTTGTCCTTCGCCACTTGTTTGAGGCCTTCTAAAAGGTGTGGAGTTACGTATTGGTTCAAGTATTTTCTGACAGATGAGCCTCCCACCATCTCGTGTACTGGGGGTCCATCAAACTTTGGAATATCCTCTTCAATTGGCGTTTCCTCTTCGGTCTTTAGTTTTTTCTGCGGCGGTTCTTCCATCTTTACCAACGGTTCAGCCTGCGGGAAAGCAGACTCGGACTCATTTCCATTTTCATGCTTGGCTTCTGTCGAAATATCATTGGACTCAACGAGAGGAGTGGGTATCGTTGTTGTGTCCATTTCTCTGATGAGCGTATAGTTCCTTCAACAGTTCGCGTTTTGTCTGGGACAAAAAAACCTTGTCAAACTACTACAAAACATATAGCAGGTTCCTTTTAGGTCTCATACTTCATTTGCACGCTTTGTGAACCATTTTGTTACTGCAGGCATCACTACTCCTTACCATTAATTGTTTCCAGCTACCACAGTCTTAATTTCACCACCCAAATCGTCAAATCATGGATCCATTTAATGAGGTTGAGACAGATTGCTGGTCCCAAATTAACTCTTTGGAGACGTTTATTCATCTGACAAGACAAATAAATGAGAATGCTAAGTTGGACTACCAGAACAATTATCAAGAATTGGCTGAAACAGTGGAGGATTTAAAGCAAGCAGTCATCATCTCAGAATCCAATCCTTCTCACTTCAACTTAAGTCCATCAGAAATCGTCAATAGGAAGCAAATATTGTCTCAGTTACAGAAAAAGATGGAAACGTTAGACAATGAGTGGATTGAAAGAATAAATAACCCCCACCGTCCGAGAGAAGTGACCACCATGAGCAATAGAATTAGCGACGACGATGGCGAAAACCCCTTTAGCGATAGCCAAAGAATTAACCGCGAGTTTACTCAGTTCCAAGAACAAGAATACATCCAGTCACAAGATCTCCAACTTGATCTGATTCATAAAACAATGCAGAGCCTTAACCAACAAGCCACGTTAATGGGTGGAGAGTTGGAAGATCAAGGGTTCATGCTTGAAGACTTGGACAATGAGATGGACACAGTGGGAAACAAACTACAGAGAGGTTTGAAGAGAGTGAACTTTGTCATCGAAAAGAATAGAGAGACGGCAAGCAACTGGTGTATCGGAATACTTGTTGTTGTCTTGTGCATTTTACTAGTTTTGTTGATTGTTGCCTGATCTGTATCAAGAAGATCTTAGAAGATAAAACATCCTGAATATGTTAGTAACTAATGAAATGTAAAGTTTAGTAATTGCAAATGAGTATCAGTCAAAAAAAAAGTAAGGTAGCTTGGTTTTTTCCACACCGACAGAAAGTCTCGAGCCAAATGCACTCAGATTCATCATAATCACTGCAATCACTTGATTGTATTCACATACCAGTCGAAAGTAGCTTGGTGCGTGAGAAAAGAGGAGAATGCCTCAGTTTAAATACATTTTTTCTCAGCATCACAAAATGGTTACCCGCACATACATCAGTAGGGCAATACCACGAGTTCCTTCAGAAAGAAAAAACTGCTCCTACCCGATATTATCTATAGTGAATAAAGTTCATCGAAATTCACTTTAAGGGTCACTGGAAATTGACTCTGTCATACACAATAGGAGCTGTACTTCGAAGCGTAGAAACGCAGTTAGCTAAACCAGGCACATAACTTTAGTTCCTTAATGGTTCTGGCCTTGTACTTTGATGAGAGATATTCGTAAATATGAAAGACAACAGAAACAGTATTGACTCGATATCTCAAAGTCTTTAAACACAATAACAATCTCCCAATTGGCACTAAACATAGTAAACAGTGTCACGTGAATCATGGTGAGGTATTCCAGAACCATTATCATCACTTTCCTATAACACGTTCGAAATGTCTTCCCAAGAAAAATGTAGGTACCGTGTGGAGGTGCTGCAAATGATGTTTGTCTCGGGAGAAACAAATGACCCTCCTGTTGAGACTACCTCGTTGATTGAGGACATAGTCAGAGGCCAGGTAATTGAGATTCTCATGCAAGCCACCAAGACAGCAGCCAAGAGAGGAACTCGATCCATTGCACCTGAAGACGTTATTTTTCTTATACGGCATGACAAGGCTAAAGTTAACCGTCTAATTACGTACCTCTCGTGGAAAGATGTGCGCAAAAACACCAAAGACGAGGGTGGTGGAACTGAATCATTCATGGAACAAGAAGGAGCTGCAAATGGTGCTACAGGAGGTCCGTCTACGACTGACCAATCAAAAATGATTACTCGATACAGAAAGCTGAAGATCAGATTACCATGGGAGGTGCAGTTCATGTTTAGTGAACAACATTTGGATAATGCTGATGACGCTGATGAAGCGGACGACGAAGAAAAGGCGGCAACTCTTGCGTCTCTCAAAAGGTTGAAAATGGCTGATGAAAGAACGAAGCATATGACGAAGGAGGAATATGTTCATTGGTCCGAATGCAGACAAGCATCTTTTACGTTCAGAAAAGCGAAGAAGTTTAGAGAATGGGCCCAGATATCTCAAATATGCGAGTCAAGACCCCATGATGATGTCATAGATATTCTTGGATTTCTTACATTTGAAATTGTGTGTTCCCTAACTGAAGAAGCTATGGGGATAAAGTCTGCTGAGGAAAGGCTTTTGATGCAATCGATGCTGAAGACAGGAAAAGAAATCAACGAAAGGAAACGCAAGTACTTGTTTGATAAACCAGACGAATTAGCGAAACCAATTCAACCATATCATATTGAGGAAGCATGGAGAAGGCTACAGTCTACAGACTTCAAGCATAAAGCCGTTAGGGCATTCGGTGGTGGAATGCTAAAATCACGGACAAGACTCATCTAAAGACCCCATATTCTATTAATTTATTGGTCTAAATTGTCTTCAAAATCTCTTCCACATTTCTATGAAACTTACGCCAGTTGAGAAAATTTTCGAGAGATCGAGTCCCTTCTTCATGTGCATGTTGCGCATCCCATTTCATTATCTCCTTTTGAAACTGTGCCCATGCTCTTGAGACTGGTGCTAAATCCAATGCTATTGATGATTTCGGCATCGAATAGCATACTGAGGTTTCTGGTAAACCCTGTGTCTCGACAATTTCCTCAAATGATGTTGCAGAAGACCGGCTTCTAGTTTGCGATCTCAATGTTTGTATATCCCTCAAAAAAGCAGGAGTAGGCTTGCTTCTGGAGCTGAGAAATTCTATCGTTATATCCCTTAATTGGTTCCCGTGTAGTTCATATGTGGTATTTGGTTCATAATCACTTTGTAAGGTGTCTTGAATATACCCTCCCACATTAACCTCATGAGGTAAGGCCGGTTGTGTCAAATTTAAAGAGTCGTCGACGACATAAACATCCAAAAGTTCTTTTTCTTGCCGATCATGCAATATAGAAGAAACGGTATTGCGTGAAATTATGTCAGCTGCAGAGAGAAGGTCGATTTTCTTGCTGATTAAGTCGACGTCGTCAAAACTTTGAAACTTATCGCTGAGTTTTTCGAAATAAAGAACCTCGACGATCTCATCTGATAAGCCCTTAGGCCCACAAAGCCATTGACACATCATTAGTGCTTTCCGTAAATCATAGCTTCCGTCATGGTGACAATCGCTCAATATTTTTTCCTGTAATTGCGAGCTCAAACTATAACCTTGACTTAAAGAACATAACCAAATATATTGCCTCATGGATTCCTTGTTTATGATGCTCAATGATATAATAGAGTTCTGTTCTGCTGCTAGATCTTTAATGTATCGTGGAATGACACAGTCATCACTAACCGTTAACACAATGGGCCGCTTTGAAAAGTTTAGAACATCTTGAACAAGAGTCCAGAATGTCTTATCCTGCTCAAACAAGACATCGCAATCTTCAAAGAGAACAACACCTTTTTGAAATTTTTTGGCTTCACCATTTTGATTAACTATTTGAGTGGTGCAAAACTCCTTGAGGGGACCATAAATATCTCTGCGAGATCTCTGTTGACTGGTGTTGATCTCATGAACATAACCATCCATTGCATTCATGGCCGCATAAATAGAGGACGATTTACAAGAGCCTGTAGGACCCTTCACAATCAAAATTGGCACAAATATGTCCTCATCTGTTGTCTCATCTTCCTCAAAATCATCGACGATAAAGCCTGACATAGCCGATGCTTCCCTTTGCTTTTGGCGTCGTTGTTGTTCTTTTAGTCTGACATTAAGTGGGGTCCTTGTAGATTGTGCTTTCAAGAGCTTGAACGCATTTTCAATCCAGTGCTTTATAAAGGCACGCTTTTGACTAGGTAAAAGCATATCCTCGACTTGTTGGGGCTGAAATTTTTGCGGCCATACCAGGTAGCTATTATCTGCAGCTTTGTTCATGATGAAATCTTTATAGATTCGTTTATGGGGTCCTTTTGAAAATGCCAAAGGGGCGTTAGCTTTAACGAGCTCGGTAATATCTTTCACTTCGATTGCTTTCTTTTGTATAGGCAGTATATCAAATGCACACATAAATGCCGACTTCTTCTCTCCAGATAGTAGGCAAGACAAGGATTCGTTTGAGGTTGTAGCCATATTAGTATCTCGTAGTGGAAATGATTGGATGTAAGAACTAGAGGCTTTGGGTAAAACTTCATCAGGAACAACATGCATTTGAGAACGACAAAGTATCGGAGGATAAAGTTCTTTAAGTTTCTGTATTGGAGTGAGCTTGGGCATGCTTGATTTGTTGGCTGATTGCATCATCATCTCAAACACTGATCTTGCTGGCTTTCCATTAATGTGTCCTGAACTTTTAGTGTAGAGAGGACTTAAAGACCTTTCAATTTCTTTCAAAAACTTTACTGGAAGTTTCAACGAAACTTTCAATGACGAATTTTGAGCCATTAATTTGGACATGGCGCCTGTTCCCGTTCCTGTTGTGCCCCTAGTTGTAAAGGGATTATCGTAACGTTTTATAATGGCCAATTTTTCAGGACTGATTCGAAGTCGAACTTTCAACGTCCACTTTCCTTTACTATTCTTCAATTTCCGAGGAAATCCGTCAAACAAGTTTCTGGCATGTACCTTTTTACCCAACAGTTCTAAAGTCTCGAGGGGTTGAGGTTGCGTTTTAGCCTCGACAATCTCTATTCTTTGCGAGTCTTCCGAGGCCAGAACAATCTCAGTGGGCTTTCTCAAGTAATCTTTGAGAGATACACTTTTTCCATTTCCGTACATCTTATCTTCAAGATCGCTTAGGTAATTCTGATGCTTGACAGTGCGCTCAAATTCCGCAGAGTCGAAGGAAGTTTCTGCCTCTGAAGCCTCTGATACAACACTATCACATTTGCCCGATGTTGCTTTTGTAGTCTTTCGTTTTCTTCTGCTCTTCGCATTCTGCTGCTTACCTGAGAGTAGAAACAAAAGTCCAGGACGACCATTATCAAACTCAGCTTGGAAACTGGTCTTCGCTTTTAGTATATCCATTTCTCCCTTGTCTTCTGGAGTCTTTGGGTCCATTTTCTCCTCCTCATATTTCCGAAGCCTTTTATTTTCATCATGAAAAGATTTCAGAGTCTCTTTGTCCTGTAATTTCATCTGTTGCTGACTTTGGCATTGATGATCATGGTAATCGTCTTTGCATGTTGAACCCTGGACAACTTCTTCGTGCTCTTCTTCAGTATCACTAGTTGGACATTCTAATACCTGAGATGAGGAGCCTTGTAGGCTCAGGAGTTCCAATAGATCAGGATCTATGCCCAAATACTGCTCCAGACCTAGCAGCATCTCATTATGGTCTTTTCAGATTTCTAAGACGCGCACAAGTATTCGCGTACAGAGGCGTGCACAAGAAACATCGGTAGACCGTGTAATAAAAAGATCCACTTTGGACAAGAGATGAAAATATGTATCTACGTCAAAAAAAGTATAGTAATCCTGGCGATTCTTTGCGTCTAACATGGTTATAATTTGGATTTGTTTGTGTTTTTTCCCTCAAGCAAAGTACGTCCATCCTGCACACCATGATAAGGCATGAGTAAAACTTGGCTTCTAACTACATGTCTGGTTTTAAGTTCAATCTAAAGGGCAGTAAAGTTTCGAAGCCAGGTGCGGGCAAGGCCAAATCTCTCTTTGCTGCTAAGAAGGCTACCAAGAATGCGGAAGCAGGAGAAAAAAAGAATGTTCTATCGACCCCAGACGATGATGAAGAGCCAAAGACGATAGTCATCGACGGGTTTCATTCACGTTCAGGAGCAATGACCGGAAACAAAGCCGTCTCTGAAAAGGAAAAATTAGTCATCAAGCCACCACATCTCGCAAAAACAATACTAAATAGCTTGCAGTCTAGCGAGGGTCAGTTAGAAACTGCCGGTGCGACGACTGGAAGCTCAGATAATGAAGATGAGCTAGCTAGACTGTCTCTACTTGCGGGAAAGTCTGTCGATGACACAAGCAATCTCACTATTAAAATGGGTGACAACGACTCCGCAGAAGACATTGTTGAAGAAGATTATGAGAATGTTCCGGTCGAACAATTCGGTGCAGCTCTTTTGCGAGGGATGGGATGGAAAGAAAATGACACAAAATCGAGCAAGGGAGTGGATGTTCTGCATCGTCAGAGAGGAGTGACATTGGGAATAGGATCTACGCCAGTAGAGAAAGAGATTGAGCAAGAAATTATGGGGAAAACTAGCGTTAAGCTTACAGTACCAATGCTTCCAAGAACGAAGCAACAATAAAGAATAAAATTATAGTCATTAGGATCGTTAATAAATACAGGTTGATAATCATGCTAAGACACCAAGTCCCAATAAAAGAAGTTGGCTGGCAAGGGAATGAGACCACATGTTTGATTTTTCTTCAATGATTCTTTTCTCCTCCAATTTTATTAACTTCGAAAAGTCATCATAAATATCACTCACAATCACATCAAATAGACGTGTTTGAGAAATGTTATCCAAGTTGTATAAATCGCTCATTTTTTCGATAACCGTAGTATTGATGATAATTGGATGATCACTGTCTGTTTCAACTTCGTTCACATAGGAAATTAATGAGCGTAACTCCTGCAATGAAACAAATGGAACCAGAGAAGAAGATGCCAGAGGGAGCTCTTGTGGAAGAGTAGCCTTCAAATCGGTAAACTTGACTTTGACATCAACAATGACATACTCCGCTTCATTCATTATTGGCTTCTCTTCCTTGTTGTGAGAAAAAGTCTCATAAATTGCTGTGACTGCACTTTTAACCAAACTGCTTTCTGGATGTTCATTAGAAAGTTCCTGTTCTTTTGGGCTTGTAAGTACTTTGAACTCATCTAAAAGCTTCTGAAAAATCCCACTCAAAAGTGGAGCGTTCGAGTGGCCATCTTCTTTGGCTCCATCCGCAGGAGGAAGGCGAATATTTGCAATAATTTCTGCCTTACCATTAGCAATCCAATTGAATTTCAGCTGAGGGTTCGCCTTCGAAAGAGATCCCATATCGATGCCGTCTAATTTGAATCTAACAACGTTTTCGTTGTTTAAAAATGTTTGATGCTTGTGTATAGTGAACATTGCATCGTTCACTGCACCTGCAACGTTGTTTGCGTTGAAAAAATCGAGCAATAGCCGACTTCCCCGAAGTCTCGGTAAATCGCCACTGAAAATGGAAATCTTCAACGGTACTCGATCAGTACCCTCATAAAGTGCAATAACTGAGTCATGAATTTTCACATGAGAAAATTCATAGTTGGGGGCTAACAGGGAGAGTTTAGGTGATTGCTCAAGACGTTCAAGTTGCTCAGTTCCATGTTCATCAATGTCGTTGTATGTTCTGTCATTGTATTTACTGAATGACAACGCCATGGAGCTCAATGGAATGGACTTATCCTTAATCGGGGCTTCATTTGCAACTGACTCTAGATTCTTGTATACTGTAGCATCCATGCCAAATATTTCCATATCATAGATAAGACCATTTCCTTTGTACCATTTTTTGAAGGATAAACTCAAGTTAAGTTCTTGAATGGAAGCAATGAATGATAATTCTTCCGCTGGGGATTTTGTGGAGTATACTTTCAAATTTTTGAACTTTAGCATACCGTCGGCAAACTCTGGCACCACATTTCCTTTCTGGAATACAAACTTGAGACCGAGACCTTGAGACAAGATAGAACTGGCGATAAATCCGAGGAAACTATCATCGTTCAGTTTCTTCTTAGTGTCTTTATCTTCACTGCCCAGGTTTTGCTCGCCTTTAACGACGTTCCAGAAACGGTCGAAAGTATCAATGGAATACATGGTGACAAGACCAAAAGTCGTTGTTCCCAATATAATCCAAAGAACATTTCCCATGAGGAGCCAGGATGCAAAAGCTGAAAAGTCATCTAATGAAAAGGGGCGGTTGTTTCTTGTAAGCGGCCATTTTATGTGAATCCAGAGACGGGAAAGCGATGACGAAGCTTGTTCTAAAAGCTGTGACTTAGTGATATTTTCTTTTTTTGAGAGTAAAGTTCTGGATGAGTGTAACAACCGGCTACTTTGGACAGGGAAAGTATTTCTTATTAGGGATGACCATGGTTGTTGTCTTGCCTTTAAGATCCTGAAGCAACTATTTCGGTTGATCATTTGTCTTCTAATAAGAGACATGACTAACTACCCTTGAACACTAAAAGTATATTTTGATATGCGGAAAATGGATAAACGAGCAATAATCGAATATGACAGTGTAGTAAGTCCTTTGAAAAACGCAATGTAAAGAATAGAAAAAGTATGGGGAAATTTTCTGTTCCGCGCTAAGATATTTTTCACGCAAGGACTGGATCGTATATGAAAGAGCAAATCAGAGACTTGCGACGATATTACCGCATATACAAGCAGTCTTGAAAAATTTTAGCATTCTTTGAAACTAATATATTGAAATTTGCAGTTAGCTTGATGATCTCTTTTTCGAATCTCTTTTTAAAACATCTATACTTTTCTTCTTCAGAATCTCGTGTCGCCTTCCACGACACTTATAAACTTTTTGACCTTTCTCGTAGGAAAGAGAAGATAAAATATCTAATTTATTATATGACTTCATTAACACTTCAAGTTTGTCTATTTAAAGTGTATAAATTCCAAACTATAGTTGCTTGAAGTCCTCCACATCAATATCGGTGTTGGTCACGTGCACATATCATCTCTTCGCTCCATCGCAAAAAATCCTGTTCTAACTTAAAGATAACCAAAGTCAATATGGCCGCTCCTACTGCAGTGAAAAAAGCTGTTCCAGCGACGAAACCAGTCGAAGATGCAGAGGAGGAATTTTTGATCAACACTACAAGCGTTCCTGTTGAGGAAGAAAAAGAACCAGAGAAGGTTGAGGAAGATGAAGAAATGAAAGAAGAAGAAGACCCTACTCCGTCATCAGTGGTGTTGGATGAGGGGGGTAAACCGAAATTTACTGCTGCGGCCAAAAGTGGTATGAAGGTTAAATTGGAAAGCAGAAAGGTGCCCGTCCCACCTCATAGAATGACCCCTTTGAAGAACACCTGGGTCAAGATATACCCCCCATTGGTCGAACACCTCAAGTTGCAAGTGAGAATGAATTTGAAGACTAAAACTGTTGAGTTGAAAACAAACAAGTTCACTGAAGATGAAGGTGCATTGCAGAAAGGCGCCGACTTCATTAAGGCATTTACATTAGGATTTGATGTTGATGATGCTATTGCTCTTTTGAGATTGGATGATCTATATATCGAGACATTCGAAATTAAAGATGTGAAAACTTTAACTGGAGACCACTTATCGAGAGCAATCGGACGTATTGCAGGAAAAGATGGTAAGACCAAATTTGCCATAGAAAATGCCACCAGAACGAGAATCGTGTTGGCAGACTCCAAGATTCACATTTTGGGAGGATTCACCCACATCCGTATGGCCAGAGAAGCTGTTGTCTCGCTCATTTTGGGTTCGCCTCCGGGAAAGGTGTACGGAAACTTGCGTACCGTGGCTTCCAGAATGAAGGAACGTTACTAGGTGCACTATTTTTCTTCCAATACTTGCATTGTGTACATTAATATTATCTACTTTTTCGTGTGAAATCTCATGCGGGAGCCGCTCTATATTGCACTTAGATTAAGTCCAGCGTCAAATCATCAACTTCACTGTGGCCATGATACGGAAGCATTTCTTCAAGTTTCAAGTCCTTTCTCATGGCATATGCATCTTCACCATCCTGATAGTACGACTTTTCAATAGAAGACACCTCAAACTTCAAACTGTCACGATATAAATGCAATGCTGCTCGGTTAGATTTCCTCACATGTAGCGAAACGTACTCTGCTCGAAGACATTCACACATGGCATACAACGATTGTTTCATCAACTTTTCGGCCAATCCCATTCGTCTGTAAGTTCTCATCACTGCCAAAGACGTCACATGTCCGTGGGGAGTCTTGTCTTCGGCATCTGGGTCGTCCTCCATTTTTCCTAAAACGTAACCAACAATTTTTTCACCTTTCCTGATATATGCTGTATCACCCTTGGGATCTTGAACGGTGTCAAGGAAGCCAGTACCATTTGATTCAGCAAGAACTTCGGTTTCTTCATCTTCGTCATCCAACGTACTGTGATAGTCTTCTGGGTCATAGGTGGTGGCCACAAAACTGGCTTGAGGCCACGATAAAATATGGTACATGTAGTATTTCAATTCATAATTTTCAGGCAAATTGAGCAAATTAGCATTTTGCATCGCCTGGACGTCTTCGATTGTTGCTCTTCTAATTGTAACACCCATGTCTTATGCACCGTAGACGTCACTCTATCTTTGCTGAAATGAAAAATGTAAAATGGGTCGTGCGAGTGCTAGTTTGGTGCCTACTTAACTGACGATCAATTGGACCACGATTAAAAGTATTTGGCAATGTAATATTATTGTGTCATAAAGAGTTACACAGAGCCTTCGATATATAAGTTCTTGCTTGGTGAACGTCATTGTATGTTAACTATGTAGCTCGTATCTCTTCTCTAACGAATAAACGTTCATCAAATTTAATGAGGAACACTGTTCGTGAAACCAAGGTCGCCACTGGAGCATAGTGGGCAGATACACTAGCATTGAACCCTGAACTATCCAATGCACCTTCGATTATGCCTGCAACGAACGCTGAGCAGTTCAAATTCCCATACTCTTTGGGAATACTTATGAATTTGGAAATAAGTGGGACGTTGTCAATCACCATATACTCATTGTCCACATCTTGAGATTTCTCCAACTCGTTGGCCGTCTTCCCAAACATGGCTTTCCAAAAAGGTCCGTGTATAAACTGTAGGATCTCAACAATCTTTGTCTCTCGTTGTCCATACTTCATACCCTCTCTTAATTTAACAAGCTCCAAGTACCGCTGTCCTACTTGGTACCCTAGGCCATTCAATCTGTTTTCAAGATCTTGAATTCCTTTTGATTTGCTGTGGGCCCAGTTCACGATTTCACAGAAGAGAAACGACAAAGCAGAGAGACTGATTTCATTTGCTTTCTTCGTTTGAATGCTTTTCTCATAAATGGAGTTGTTGCCACCTGTGGAAAGATTTAGTGTCCTTTTGTTTAGTAGTAAAGTCGATGTCTCTTGATCAATGCTGTTAGAGGCTGGGCCGATAGAAGGGTTGTAACCGAATCCACTCTTCGGTCTCTCATTTAAAGTGAGTGCCCCCATTGAAGCAACTGAGGGCAAAATTTGTTTGTCCGTCATTGACTCTAATGTGTTTAGGGACGAGTTGAGTAAGACTTTAAAGAGGTACAGTGGAGGACTTGTCAATAAGTGCGCGCATGCATACTTGGTGTTGCAATTAGTTACCAACTTCTGCTATGAAAGACACAATTTCAACTAGTATGATATACCTCTTTCTGTGCACCACGTAAGTGCTAATCTCTCTAGCATTTATGAAGAGAAAAACTCTTCAAACTCGCAAGCTGAAATTATCTCTCAACAATGCTCGTAAAGTGAGCAAATCTCACGAGAAAACAAAAGCACATTCTATCCACAGGCTCTTAACAATTTTTCATGAGCCGGAGCCTAGTCATGTTCAGCTTCCAGACATTTCAACTCCTGTAAAAGTTGAGGCATTTCGCCCTCTAGAACCGGTGTTGCAACTGACTCTTCTTGAACCATATAATTTTTCTGCTGATGATTTAGGGGAAGCTGCTTGTCCTCATCCAACAAAAGAGGATGGAGAGAATGACATGTCCCTACTTTTGAATGAAGATGAAAAAATTGTATCTACACCTAAAATTCCGTCGTGCCAGGATTTTTTGGATGTGAAACATTCAAATCTTGAAATACATTCAGAAATCCCAGAAAAATTCAAAGGTGCTGATTCCTCAAAGCCATTGCCTGAAAGCGTTATTCGGAAATCAAAGCGGAAAGTCACTTCATCTATAAAAAAACTGGGGCGGAAAGGTGGTACTAATACGGAGCCAAAAACGAGCACTAAACATGAGGGTGACCAGATTTGCAATCCAAAAACACCAAAAAGACGAGGAAGCAAACCAATTACCAGGAAAAATCTTCAACCGTGTGAATTCGAAAGCTCCAAAACTGATCAAATAAAAAAGTTAGGATTCAAATCCTCCGAAGAAGGCGTTTCAAATTCTAGAACAAGAGTTAAAGAAATAGTAAAAGAACTTCAAGAGGATGTACCCAAAGAACTCATAACTCTGGGAAAAGATGACGATAAAAGGAGGAAACTGAAAAAACTTATTGAAAGGAGAAGAGACCGCCTGAAGAATCTTCAACCCAACTCTGATTCTAAGGTTAGAACACTTCCATGTAAAGACGCACAGCCAAATGAGACTGCCACTTTATACGCGCAATTGTTAACCAAATGTGCACCTGGTGAGGAAAACTTGAACATATTAGGCTGGCGAAGACGTCTTACTAAAGCACTTACTTAGGACCAAAAAGAAAAAAGGGCGAGGTTAATGGTAAATTGAACCTTTCAAATGTGTCATATGTTTATTCAGTTTGTTCCCGAATCTAAGTTATTAGATTTGGCTAAGTGTTTATTATAGTTTCTTGGCGAAACTTCAACGTTGAGAATTTTTAAACATGTCTACAGCTTCATGACACGAATCAAAAGAAAAATTAATGAAGGAGCGCATCAGACTGTGCTTCCCTCGATTCTAGTATGAATTGGCAATTTAAGTTCGCTTACACATTGCTCTTTTGGTCTCAGAGTACTATCGTCATACATCCCATAAAAGTTCCCGATATCAGGATGAACACATTTATGTTAAGAATTGTGCTCTCCATTTCTCACGGTACTACATATTTCAAGTATCCTCGTCACTGAAAAACGGATTCCATACTGCACATTCTCCCAATTTTCTGTACGGGGCATTACCGCACGTGATGTAACTTTGAACCAACAACGACTCATTTGTTATCGTTCTTGCCACACTGTTCCAAGTGTTTCTCAAAATGAATCCGGAAAGAACCCCAGACAGTCCGGGTAGTCAAGGTGCAATGTCACTTAAGATTCCAAACGTGCACGAACCCACTATATCACAGCCTCTGATCGATAAGGCAACACTCATGAAAAAGCTTGAAAGTATTCCAGCCGACACACTTCGCAAGATTCTTTCGGAGCAAGTGGACTTGGAGATTCGTCTCAAGCATAAAGAGCTCAAACTAACTGAAGAAGAACTAGGTAAATGTGAAGCACAAATGATAGCAATCCGGCAGTTTTTTGAGGTACCTTCCGACGTTACATTCGAGAAAGAGCCTAATCAGTTCACACTCAAATATTACGATCTCTTAAACCGTTCATTGTCTGTTAACTTCACCAAGCTTCAACAACAGCAGTATCTGCAACAAGGGCAGCCAAAATTTAACGAAGATGTTTTCGTTGAACAAGAGCCTGTTCATTCATACCGCACAAGATCTACCACGTCGTCGCTACGACCCAGTTTGACTGGGCCAGCGTTGCGTATTTCAGGTTGCTTGTACCGAAGGACGGATGGAATTATAGTAAAGTTAACATGCCCAGACTGCCAACGAAGCAATTTTTCATCAGCACAGGGATTTTTGAATCATAGCAGAATCGCTCATACAAAAGAATACACCTCTCAAGATGCTGCTGCGTTGAGTTGTGGAGAGATTTTACCTGAACAATTTCAAGACGAAGAAGGTGTTGCTAGTTTGAATAATTTGAAGAAAAAAGGGGTGGATCCATCGAAGAACTTGAACGTCAATGAAATTTACTTTAATGGGCTCAGTAATACTTTGAACACAGTGCATAGAGCGAGTGAAACTCCTACAGAAATGACGCCTCCAGTGAAAACTGAAAATAAGAATTATAGTCCTGAATCTGAGAACGATGTTGGTTCCGATGAGTTGATGAAAAAGCTCATAAAGAATGGCGTGGCTCATGACGCTCAAGAGTACAAACTGTTAGTGCGGGAGGTCAGACAGCCCATTGCTAACTCGCACTTATTTGATGACGAAGAGGAGGTGAAGGAAGAAATCAAACCAGAGGTTGTCTCTCCACCGACGACTACTTTTAAGGAGACCGCTGCAAAGCCGGAAGTAGGTGGGAAGTATGAGAATAGGCTTCGGCGCCGCAAATCGCGTGACAGCGCACTGATTGTGGAGGAAGCTGAGAACGCGGACGATGACAAGAAATTAAAGCGCAGGAAAAGTCAAAGGTGATCCTGCGCTGCAACCTTTTCAATCTGCCGCGATTAGCGAACTCGAGCCGAGCAAGGCGCAAGAGAAAAGAAAAAGAGCAAGGAAACACGCTGGTATGAGATCGGGAGAGGAGTATAAATGCACTTATGAGAATGCAATTTTATTGAACGGATATTTGCTGGTGTTGGGAATGCGGAGTAGAGGAAGCAAATCCCGGAAGTGAGACAGCGTCTGCACATGGGCAAATCTTACAGAAGCCTATTTTTGTGTGATGCGCAGGTAAAATGCCGCAGGTCGCTCAGATCCTGTCTCGCATTGCATATTTTAAATTGCCATCAAAAGCTGATGCGTATAGGGTGATACTGGCGATCGCTTGCGAAAAAGAAATTAAATAGCAACGGTATTAAAAATAGGATAAATAAATTGGTGTTACAGGAGGTACCGTGAACAATAGAGAAGGCGAATATAGTTGATTGTTTACTATTGAGACTTACGGCGCATACACCGTTGTGTACTATGAGCCCCGTGTGGCTAAACCTTCAAGGCCGCGGAAAGCGTGGTTGGCGGTTATATTTGCCACATTACCAAACGGAAAAAATAACAATAGACATACAATAAATAGGACTGAGAACACAAGCCACGACTCAACAATCAAGATAAAAATAGACACAAAAAAACAAACTCGGAATCCCGGAACTGTTGGAAAGTTGCCGGAAGGCGAAGGAGAAGTATCCTTAACCCCGTTGGAATTGCATCTCCATTCGGAAGATAAAGGAGATGGAAGGAACCACAAGTGTAGGAACGGCGCGCATCTGGTCTAGACCAGGAGTCCCGCACTATGCACATTATGTCATAGTGCCCAGTGCAGGGCGTCTGCGAGCGAACATGACGTTTTAATTTTTTTATCTCAGGATTTCTAAACACCACAGCTGTTTTACTTGTCCATCTCTACCTACGAGTGTGCGGAAGAACTTTTCACAGTCTGGATACTTTTTCAGTGTCTCTAGCTCCATTCTGGCTCCTTTTCCATTGTCCTTGATTTTTCTCACTGGTGACATCATTACTGCCTTGCTGTCTTTGCGTTTCCCAAGAGGCTTTTCCCATATCATTTTTCGCTCCAGTGTTGGTTGAATCCGTTTCAAGAACTTACGCTTGCTACCGATATCCGTCTAGAACGTGTTCTTCTCTTTGACGTTTCTCCTTTTTCCCATTGCTTTTTGGTCAGTTTGTGTCTTGGCCTAGCCTTGGTTTAGCCGCCTTTGCTTTCTTTGCTACACACTGGCATAGCCTCGAAAACTTGCCATCATGAGTGGTTCTTACTGTTCCAACTTCAAGTTTCCCCCTTCCGGAGGCATGCGGTCTTCAGAATATTCCTCTGCTGATACTGCTTCACCACATGTGACCGAGGGCTCTGATTACTTTGCCTTGCAACCTCCGCTTCATCTGGGGCCTGCGTCCACATTTCTTTCGCCGAAAAAACCATCTCAGCTTCGCGTTGGCGCCAATTCTGTCAGCTCTGTCAACTCAGACGCAACGTTTGTAGAAGGTCCGCTACCTTCTCACTCCTCGCATTTCCTTTCGACTGACACTCTAGTCGAAGATGTTGGAGCAACTGAGTCGCCGAAACCTATGCGTAAACTTTCCTCCTCGAAGCCCATGCTCTCCAACCGCACCGCCTCCTCATTTAGTCTAGGTTCACTCAAGTCAACGGAACCTTTAAAGACAGAGGATCCATTGGCTCGTGCGCCACATTCGGCTTTGGATGCTCATTTCCCATTCAACCGAAAACCAGTCCCCACTGAGACTTCAAAAATGCAATTACCACAGTTGAAAAAGCAAAGCACGCTACCCACATTAATGTCAACTCCACTGTCATCATATATTGAAAACATCAAAATAGAACAAGCGAAAAGGTCCTTTTACCAGCCCGTGGCTGAAGATATGCGGGACTCTATTCGCTCTCTTGCGACAACGATCTCATACAGACGTGCTGCTGAAATGGCAAATGTCATTACACAAGCATCTGTCAGCCCGCTCACACATTTGCCTGATATTTTGGTCATAGATATTAGGCCTTTTGCCGACTATGCTAGAGGACATATCAAGGGCTCTTTAAATGTGTGTTTGCCACTGACATTGTTGAAGCGGTCGAATTTCAACTTGCAACGGTGCATCAACTCATTACCCACATATGAAAAGCTCATTTTTCAAAATTACTTGCATTGCAACGAAGTAAATCATTCACAAAACATTACGTTCGATGAACCAACGAAGGGCCGCCATGGACTTCCACCAATTTTTGTTTATGACAATTCAAACGTGTCTTCCAATATCTATCACATGTGCAAAAAATTGATCGATTGCTCCTGCTGGGAAGCGACGTCGGCACCACCAATCTACCTTATGGATGAATCATTTGATTTCTTTTCGAAGGAGTATCCTAATTTGATTTCATGTGGCAAGGAGGAGATGATTGATATTTCTACTTTGTCGATCAATTCTCTACAGAGTCCGGCCGTGCCTGGCAATTTCTCCAATCTCAACCAAATTGATACCTCGAGGATAGAGAAGATTCAAATGCCACCTCAAGGTCGATCCAAATCCGTTTCCGCTCTCAATAGTGCATCTACTCCTAATGTGTGTAATTTTGTGCTTCCACACAACTTGCCACAAAAAAAATTCAACATTAGACACAATGAGGAAGTTTTTGACAATATTTCTGAGCATTCATCAGTTGAGAATTTGCTTTCTGTGTCACGTGTGGCTGATGAAGAACTTGCCCGTTTGCCTCCATGGCTCACGGATGCAGTAACCAACGATAATCGTGTTCGAGCTGATTTCAACAAACTTGAGAAAAGTGAAAAGTTGAGGCTTAATAGCGTTTTGACCTTAGGAGCACTGGACAGTTTTTTAACCCCAGATGGAACTCACGAATCCCGACCGGAGATCAGCTGTGGTCTTGACTATGGTCACAAGAATAGATACAAAGATATTTTTTTGTTCAATCACTCGAGAGTTCACCTTAGATCGTTTGAGTACGATAATGCAACGCAGCTGGACTGCGATTACATTAATGCATCGTACTTAAAACCATTACCCAACATTGCTTCATTCATCTCCTCGGGGAAGCATATGGGGGAACTGGAGTTGGAGGATATGCAGTTTATTGCTACTCAGGGCCCTTTAAATGAAACAATCGGTGATTTTTGGAAGTGCATTGTCGATCAAAAATGTCTCCTTATCGTATCCCTTACTAAGGAGTTTGAAAACGGAATTCAAAAATGTTCAAAATACTGGGTACCAGGAAAGTATTATTCTGGTCGCGATGCATTAGTCGTGGAGGCAGTAAAGCAGGAGCTGTGTGGTAACTTTTCAGTGCGTTCCTTTGAAGTTTCCATTAATGGTAAAGCCAAACATAACGTATTGCAGATTCATTTGGACAAGTGGGAGGATATGAGTGCTCATGTTGATGTCAAGGATCTCCTTTCTATTGTTTCTTTGAAGCAACATGTCATGTCACATGCGTCCCTAAAATCAGAATTCCCCACACTCACTCATTGCTCGGCAGGGTGTGGCCGAACAGGCGTTTTTTGCGCTGTGGATTCGTTAATCTCCCTTTTGGAATTCAACGATAACAATTGTGATCTTCCTCGCGATCCAGTGTATGAAGTTGTCAACAATCTTCGTCAGCAGAGAATACTGATGGTGCAGACAATGCGCCAATACTGTTTGATTTACGATGCTCTTGTCCACTATGTTATTCACGGTAAGGATAATCCGGATCTCTGTAAACTTGGTATAGTTACGGAATTTTTAGAAAAAGTTTAATATACACATATGGGTTTGATTGCATATGGTAGCAAAGGCACACACTAACATAACCTTCCTACTAAATATATTGACAATACGTCTCGGAAATTCTAAACCATAATCCACACCTTTCTCATTAATCTATAAAAGTACTTAAGCGTGGTTACCCAAAGCTTGCTTCAAGGCAGCTGGGTTAGCACCAACAACCTTTTCGACAACCTTGCCGTCCTTGAAGAAAAGGATGGTTGGCATTGACGACACTTCGTATTCTTGGGCGACTTCGCTCAACTCATCGACGTCGACCTTAATGAACTTGGCACTCGAGTATTCGTTGGAGAACTTGTCCAACAATGGAGCAATCATCTTACAAGGACCGCACCAGGTGGCGAAAAAGTCGACAACGACCAAACCGGAGTGCTGCAAAGCAGATTGAAATTCTTCCTTAGAGGCAACAGTGGCAACCATTATTTTTCTTGTGTATGATAGTGTATAGTTCGAGAAAAAACTATTGTTCGCAGATGGAGGAACTGTGGAGCAGTATTTATAGAGCAAAAAATGAGAGTCGCGCGCTCATTACCTAAGCATGTCGAACTAGACAAAGCATCAACCTGCACATGATGACAAATGTACAATTAATCAGCCAGACCTGATTACTTAGGTTTTTAAACTCTCTAGTCACACTTATCGGCAATTTGCGTAAGCATTTTCTTTTTCTGACAAAAGTAGGATATAAGTGCGGCGTTGTCACTCTCTTTCATGTATTTGTCATCGGTGGCAATAGTTTCGATAACAGCATCTTTTACCAACTTTAGGCTTTGTTGAACAAGTATGTTGTAATCTTCTTCGGAATTGACGCCCGCCTGTTCCAATATGTTGGGTAAGTTGACGTATGCTCCATTGCATGTGGCACCATATGCTGTTTCACCTGCTATCACTATATCTGCCTTATCTTCCTGGAACGTCAACTGCAGCACAAAATCAGCAATATCCATTCCATCAGGTACATCTTCTTTCATGTCGTCAAGTTCTTTACTCCAATCTGCATAGTACTCCAAGCCAGGTAAGAGAAGAATCGGGAGTTGAAATTCTTGTGGATCCAAAAAGGCGCTGTCAGCTGCGTCAAAGTGTATTAGCAACTGTGGTTTCACTTGGAGCCATTTGGCTAATGCAGTGTAATTTGTGTGCGTGGTGCCGTTGGTGGCCGACTTCCAAATCTGGTCAAAGGACGGAATCCGCCACTCGTAACTTCCCTCCCCCGCAGGCATGAATCCGTACGTTCGCAAAAAAATATTTTTCTCCTGTTGGGGTGAGTAGCTGATGCATACTTCTTGCAATGCGCGCACTGGTTGTACTAAGCGAAGTAGTACGTCGCCTGAACTTCTATCCACGTCGAAAACTGCATTGTTATTTTTCTGGTGATTAGCAAAATCCAATACTGGTACAAGCGTGACATTAGTCTCAAAATCTTCTCCATCGTCTATTGCATGAGGGATCTCGAGCACGCGGGACTTTACTGCCTGATGAAGCTGGAATGCAAGTTCAAACGGGAATTCAAACCCGGAAATGCGTTCACATATTTCCTCGTACGTTTTGCGCACACGCCGCTTCTCCAACACTAGTGCTTGCACAAGTTGATCTTGCGCATCATGCAGATCATCAACATTCAACACAGGTGTTGTCTGAAGAATCTGAAGATATGGTTTGATTTCTTCCAACGTCTGGAGCTGTTTTCCCAACTTTACACAAATTGATTGAACAATGGTGAATCCCCATAAGTAGTTTCGCAAGATACTCGTCTCAGTATCCAAGTCTCCACAACTTAGAACTGCACGGAAGACTGGGCCAGTAAGTTCACTTGCCTCGGAACCGATATTTTTAGATAACGCAAGCAAATTATCCATGTCAAACGTGCATTTGTGAGGAATACGAAGTATGACTGCATCTTCTTCACGATCCTTCATGGCAAATATGCCCAAACCTCCATATTGACTAGAAGAAACTTCAAAATCTGGATCCATCCAGACACCCGACTTGGTTGCCCAGTCTAAAAATGGACGTGTATTATCCATGGCCATAGTGGACAATTACTGTGTCTGCGATTTGAAATTATGGAGATCAACCCATATGTGCACACCTAAACTTGCCCAAGAGAGACAAGTACCCAAAAATTGAAAGAAAATAACGCAATTTCGTAAGGTCATGGTTGTGTGTGCTCCCAAAAGATAGGGGAAGGGGATATTGAATTTCATTCAACCTTAATCTAGCGCATTGTTGTTCCCATCTGTTATACTCGGTCCGTCCATCTATGTGGCTCCTTTTCTTATCAAAAGCGGAATGCTCTGTCCGCCATGTAGCAATTGCGCCACAATTGTCGTCATTTGTTACTGTAGATGCGTCAACCAGCATATGGCTTAGAAGATAAGTGTATTTAGAAGTGACGTAGGCCTGCACAGGAGAGCAAGTGATGTAGTTCACACATTGTAGCGAAGCTAACTGATCGTTTAGTTTCATCAAAAAGCTAAATTGCGTAAGTTACATTTGCTTCAAAATTAATTTGACTGTATCAAATGCCTACGATGCCAATAATGAGTGTTGGTTGGGAATTATCGACTCTGATCAACTTACAAAGTAATGTTCGCAAAAAGAATTTATCTTTTGGCCTTAGCCACTGCAGGCTTTAATATGACAGCCTGCGGTATTTTGTTTACTTTGTTAAAATGACATGACGCGCCGACTTTTGACGAGCTTGGTCTGAGTCTCTCTGAAGAAAATGCGATTTTCCTCCTACGCATGCATAGTTTCCAGAAAACTGCAAACCATGAGAAGAAACCTTTTCTCCTTTTCTCTCTACGAGATCGAAATTTAAAGCTAATATAGAATACATTTGAAGCATGTCGGGGAAAGAGATCTATTCACTAAATCTGCTGGCGAAGTTAATTCTTTTCGATATTCTATGGTCTATTTCCTAACAACTTGAATAATTCCGAAGGTGGACACCCGTGCACCAAAGAAGGTTACAGAAAAAAAATATTTTGCTAAAGGATTACTATCCGTATTCTATAGTTTTGCAACTGTAATTATGTCTTGGGACGACGAAGATTTTGATATTCCTACAAGCAGCAAACCAGCTGCCAACTCTTGGGAAGAAGAAGTTGAAGATGAGCCCTTAATGGACTCGTGGGACGTTGATGAAGAAGCAGAGGCTAAGAAGAAGAAAGCTGAGGAAGAGAAGAAAAAGGCCGAGTTGAAGAAAAAGCAAGAGGAGGCCAAAGCTAAGAAGTTGGCGGCAAAGTCAGGTGCCCCAAAACTTATGGAAATTGACATGGTTGATGAGGAAACAAGAAAAGAGTTGTTGAGACAAGCCGAGTTGGAAGCTGACTTGAACAATGCTGCTGACTTGTTTGGAGGTTTGGGCGTTGCTGATGACGTGAATGCTCATCCAAGGGAGAAGTTGACTATCCCAGTGAAAAAGAGCTCGGGTTTCAACAAAGATACACCCTTGACTGAACACCCATTGTTTCAGCCAACAAACAAGCAAGAGTTCGAAAAGTTGAGAAAGACTTTAGGCCCAATCTTGAGCGGGTTAGCCGAAGATTCTTTGATGAACTACTCCTCTTCCTTGGCTATTGATTTGATCAGAGATCTTGTTCAACCTTTGAGCGTGGAAAATGTTAGAAAAGTCATTTCTACTTTGAATGTCACACTTAAGGACAAGGAAAGACAAGAAAGACAAGCTAGATTGCAAAAGAGTGGTGGCACTGCCACAGGAGGTGCAGGTAAGAAGAAGGCAAAACCATTGGTGAAGACCAATGTTAACAACACAGCTTTCAAGAAGGACGTCTACGATGATATGGACGCAAACTACGACGACTTTGGCGATGACGACTTCATGTAAATTATAGAATCATAAGTGTTTATAATGGTATATATATCAAACAAACCGCAGTATAAGCAAGCATTTTCCATGGCTGATTTCTCAAGGCCTACAAGTCGCGATTTTATGTCTGGGGTATTAAATGCGAACGAAAATTTCAGAACCACAGATGTCTCAGTGATGAGCACTTTAAGAGATGCTCTCACCAGAGTGACCCGTGTTGTCCATAATAGTCGACTGCCGAAGCCGAAATGCCTTCCGATACCAACCACAACAGGCGCTCCAAGAGGAAAAGAAACTTTTGCTCCCTCACGAGATCGAGTGCCCCAAAACCAACTCGATAAGCTACGTCCACATCTCCGAGGGTTTCAGCGAAAGAGATTTCAAAAATTTCTTGAACCCCTAGATATGCCGCAGTTGAAGATTTTTGATAATGACCGATTACGATATAATGCTCCCAAAGCGGAGGCCAACTTACATTCCAAGAAAAGCAAAGATCGAGTGGACGTTTTCAACAACTTTTTAAGCGAGCGGTTTTTGTTCAACAAAATGTTGGACTTTTTGGTAGAGCTAACGCCAGCTCACTTGAAATCGCCAGATATGGTAAGTGATCCAAACGTTTTAGCCAATGTCTTGGAAGAACAGGAAGCGGCCTATAATGCTTCCCGATACCCCAATGTACCTCGCTTTTGGTTTCATGAAGTTCCACCGTTTCCGTCTCCTCTTACAAAAGAAAGTTTCAGAGAGTATATTTATTTTCTTACGCATCTGAAGATGCTTTATAAGAACTCCTCCTCTTTAACAAGTGGTATTGTACCTGAAATTCTCCTCTACACTCACCACTTGGAAAATAGCCAATTTAAAGAGTACCGGTCGGTGGATACCTACAACTACCTCATCAAGTTTTTTGGTTATGACAAGTTCCAAAACTCGTTTGCACGGGAGCTTATTCTCGTGATGACCAGAGACGGACACAAGCCAAACATCGATACGATAAATCAGTTGTTGAAAATATGTCGGAAGCATTCGAACCGCAGATCCTTGACAAGTACTTACAAAGCAGTCATGAACTATTTGACCTTGGCTAAACGTTTGGATTTAGACATTAATCTTTCAACTTGGAATAGGGTATACGACTGTATCGACAACATTTTTTTGAAAGAGATTTTTCTTAACAAGATTTCTTCTATCAGTTTGCCCATACTGGATAATCTATGCATACGAATTATAGAGGACTTTGCGCAAACTTCAACACATTCCCGCGAAGTAATAGACTTTATTGAGAATGACCTCCATCGCCCTCATTGGAGACAGGATGCCAGAATTGCCGAAAAAGTGATCTACCATACAATTTCTAACGTCGCCGACGATCATGCTTTCTTAAAATCTGTGGATAGTCTACTAAATGGCATCGCAGTGGATGGTATCACTTTGAAAAACATCATTAATGCGGTGTCTTCCAACCCCAATATCAAGAACAAAGCATCACATGCATTGTCCATGTACATCAGATTGAAAGATAATATTGGTTTGGTTCCTGCAGAAGTCTTCGGGAAGCTAATACAGATATTATGCCAGAACGATGAGGATCTTGATTTAATTCGTCTCAATGAAGTGATTCGATGTTTGATACATCATGACGCTGTCCAAATGCTAAAATTGCCGACTAAAATTGCAACTGCAGCCCATGAAGAACAAACACATAAGCTGAAAAATCCTATTTATAAGCTACCATTCGTCATTCCTAAAGTGGATTTCCCAGAGAACTATCGAATCATGAAGAGGCTTACTCAGACACATTTGATTGATTTGGAGGCTAGCACTTTGTTTCTCCAATCAGAGGGCTGCAAAATTAAGCCACCTTGGGAAAGGCTTGATGAAGAAGAAATTAGGAACTGGGAAGAAACAACATTGCAACACAAACAACAGCTTGTTAAAAGTGGTGCCATATCTAACATGAATAAAGCTTTTGGCTTTTCGCAATCTTCACATCACGTACCACAAGAGGTGATAACTACTTACAGAAAAGTTTCATGGATTAGGATGGGTGTTTCGCTTGATATCAATTTGGTTCGCAAATTGAAGAAAGGCTTTGAAAGAGATATTGAAGACGAGATGGCAAACAGAAACATATTCCATGCCAGTCTTTAAATGTATTTATAGTGTATATAGATCCATAGCATTTGCATACCGCGTGCGGTCACGTGAATCATTTTTGTTGATCTTGGAGAACCTGATTCAGGTATATCAGCCAGATAGGATGTCCAAGTTTGCCAATTTGTATTGGTCTCCAGACTATGAGTCAGGAATCCAGAACCTTGGTGTTCAACTGCACCGATCTCTCTCGCAATTGCATGAACTTCGCAAATTAGTCTTCAACTACATGAAACTATATCATTCCAATGGCGAGTATTTGGCAACGCTTGCACAAAACTCGTTTTCACCAGAAAGCGGATATCATAGTGTTCGAAGAAAGCAACCACACGATTCTCGGAAGAAGGATTCTTCGGATGTTAACATATCGTATCTTTTTCTGCAATATGTCCAGAGAGCTACTTCTGAGCTGCAAGAATATCAAGCCTTAGCTTCAGACATAGATCGTTCCGTTTTGGAGCAACTCACTGTATTCATAAAACAACATGAACCGCAGATAAACAAGTGCTTAAATCTGATCAACGAATTACTTCTCGATTACCAGGCATCTTATCAGACAGTGGAGCAGAAGAAGATCGAATTTGATTCCATTAAACGAACTTCAGAGTTTTCAGCACAAGAGGCGGATGCGAAAAGATCCAAAGATGTTTCTAAAGTTGAAAAACTGGATAACGAGCAAGAAGTGACGCCAATTCATAGTCCGAAGCAAACTAGGGACGAAAAAGCCACACAGGCTGGTAAACCTTCACAAGCGCATACTTTCAACTTCCCTCTCTCAGTTGGGAATGTTCTAAGCTTTAATGATTTGTCTAGCTTTTCAGATTACTTCTTAAGGCTCGTGGATGCAATTCCCATTACTCGAAGAACAATCCCTTTACCGGGATACAGAAATGAGATTTTCAGTAGTGACCAACTTTGTGAATATCTTCTTAAGGGGAAGGCAATTGGATTCAATCCTTCTCGTTTAAACTTAGAGAAGTTTGGCCAAGGTCTCATCGACTTGAAGATTATAGTTGGCACCGGCTTCTTTGCAAAGAAATTTGCTTGCGAAGGCAAATGGTATGAATGGTCTGACGATTTTTTGCATTCCTTAGGTCGTGGGGTTTCTAAGTCGTCTGACCCACTTCTGCCCTCCCTGAAACTCAAAGCTTTGACCATCGAAGATGTTAATGAGATGGCACTGACAACTTCGAGACGTTTCAACGGTATGTTTAAGTCAATGAAAACATCCTTAATGAAGCCCAAGTATTCAGAAGATGCCATAAAGGCAGTGGAGGTAAGTTACAATGAGCAGTATCAAGAACTTGAAAAAGCGAAACATCTTCTCGATGTCGAGCTCATCAATGGCACTCAGTACTTAGAAAGTTTCGAGAAACTGAAAATCAAAATTATCTACAATTCTTTGACAAAGCTACTGGAAATATTACACGTCCATTCACTGAACTTTTCAGAGCAAGCCCGAGTCTTCTCCCAAAGATTCAAAACAGAAATCAACAAACCTGAATTTTACACTCGAGACTTTGAAAGCATGGTATCCGACTTTAGCTGTGGTATTTATTTTCCGTCTAATATTTCGCCAGAACTTATGGCTCAAAAACACTTTATGGGACATCTAAATACCAACTTCCAAAATATTAATTTAGAATTCAATCTTTTCAAAGACATACCACTTCAAGCGACTTTATCTAGCGGGAGTACTGGCTTGTTGACCCTTCGCTCCGTTCCAAAGTTTCTTTACGAAGTTGTTAAAGTGATTGAAGACGCTTCATCTGATTTTACTGAACTCAAGAAACTATGGTTAGCGCCCCTTGATCACCAAATGTATTGGTTGATGAAAAATGAAATTATCATTGATATTCAAGCGTTCCAACCGACTTCGGAAGTGAGTGTTCTGTCGGTCAATAATGTTGAGTCTGAGATAATTCAGATGATTATTGACAGGTTTAAAACGAAAAGCGTTTCCATGATTGTCAATTTCTTGAAGAATTGGTGCTTAGAAATTGGAGACTCGGTCATTCCATCCACGGTTTATGACTCTCTTATGGCTAATTATTCGACACAAGGATCGGATATTGAATCTCAAGAAGCCGAAACTATTCGTATCCTTTCAGCAATTCCACGGAGCAACTTGAGTTCGCTTCTTTTCATATTGCACCATTTTTCCAAAGTTCTTGACATCTACGTATTCGATGAGTTCGGTTTAACAGATGATATTCATGGGCCAGTATCTACTTCAGACGATAGAGAAAAATTACAATCCATTGCAGTAAATTGCAACCGTATGGATGTCGTGGGAAGCGTTCCTTTGCTTCATTTATTCATGAGACCATCTGTTGCGAAAAACTCATCCGGATTCATTCCTCCAATTGAAAAGTACAACGTGTTATTTGGCGATTTATTACAGCTGTCTGTTCGCCTCAAGCTTATGCAAGCATTGGTTTTAAGCGAAAGAAAGTATCTCGAACGCCAGGAACAACAAAGAAAAAATCTCGGTATCATCAAGAAGACACCAGAAATTGTGACGGATAGTGCACCCAACAATGAACTTGTATGCGAAAAGAATGAGTCCAAAAAGAATCCCCTGACCCCACGGAAGATGTCAAATGCCAGCCAAGGTCCTCCTTTGCTTAGTACAGACGCTTTCGAATTAAGACCATTTCGAACAGGAACCACGCCACGTTCGTCACCCTTGAGTTCCCCAGTTCGCCAAGAACGACAGCTTACAATGCCGAAAAGTCCGAGTACCAATTTTCTAAAACCTATTGACATCAACATCACCTTACATGATGCAACTTGAACACCAGGCCGTTCTTTCTGGCTTCGTCACTCATTGTGATCCTCTGTACTTTATCAATTTGCTTGCGACAAAACACGAACAAAATGGCAGTCATGACAACAGCAATAATAGCCACGGCCTCGAATCCACCGTCTGTTTCCTCAATGAAATTCTCCAAGTTCATACCATATAATGCAGCCACGTAAATGATAACGCCCATAGATAGTACACCGATGGAGAAGCGTAAACCAAGTAACATCAATTCATTCCTGTTTGCATCTAACACGAACTTGATGATTTCTTCTGATGTCTTTATCTGTCCCATTAAATTTTCAACTGTCTGGACAATCTCCCCTATAGTAGTATAGTATGATTCAAGAAGTAATTCTATTTCTTGATGATTGAATGATACTCTCTTCTTGCCATTTTTGTTTTCCGTCAAATAAAGTTCATTAAGGGTCTCATCTTGGTCAAGTAGATCATCAAACAATTCTTCGATAAGTTTTGCCTTTTGATGAAATTGTGCTAGTTTTTTAGATTGGATAAGAAGATACCTTAGCTTGGTTCTTTCGATAGATTTATCTAGGCTGCTCAATACATTCTTGAGTACCGTTTTGTGTACGGCCATCTCTGTATTGAGGTTAGCAGTCACGTCAACTAGTATCGCTTCCAAAGCCCTGAATTCATAGGGCAAACCCAGCGCATCCGGGTGATTAGCTCTTAATCGTGTGCTCACCTCTTTGAGAAAAGAGCCGTGAGAATGAGATTCATTGAACCGAACTCCCAGTCCCAGACTGGAAGAATTCTCAAAAACAACTAATTCGTCACACTTTATTAGCGCCCTTATGTTCAATAAGTTTAGTAGAATGCAATCCTTTCTTGTCAGAAGCAGAGGAACAAAATCCACGTGTACTCCTTTAGTAGATGCGTTTGTATGAGACCTGACCATCTTACGCAAGTCCCGCGGGGCTAAACTGTACTTTTTCATGAATTCCAGCTTCCTTATATCCTTCCCATGTATCACTATATCACCTTTCGAATCGTACACTGTACACCGAACATACTCAGCATCCGAGGCAGTTTTGCTTGATTTGATGATATTTGTAATGAAAACGTCATTAAAAACGTCCTGCTGTCTCCTGTTTGTGAAACTTAGGTAGCATTTGAAGGATTTGAAAATAGGCCTATATCCGGGCTGTTGTTTTAGTGTGCTCCAGATCCTTATCATTAGTGACGATTCTCATGTAAATCTATCCTAATGAGATACATCGCGGGAGTGCACAATCTAGCTTCAAGTTCCAGAGCAAGAATACTAAAATCTACGAGAATTCAAAGGGAGGTTACAAATTTAAATCTGTTAGCACGTCAGGGATCCTTACAAGCTTTGGGACAACTTTCCAAAGGCTGAATTAAGGAAAAGTCTTAACTCGATATTGTCTCGTGACCTATCAATGGTAGCAACATAATGTATACTCTCTCATGCAGAACGTTCTTGTTTCCTTAGCGCTCCAGGCAATGGAAAGAATTCAGGGTCTGGATGAGTTAGAAGTGTGCGAAGAAGTGGGTAGAGGGGCCTTTGGTGTTGTTTTTCGAGGAATAATAAAGGCTACCGGTCAGGAAGTGGCAATTAAACAAATCGATTTGGAGAATGAGCTGGCGGACCTTTTTGAAGTGAATAAAGAAATCCAGATCTTGTCTGAGTGCCGTATTCCACAAATAACGAGATACATGGGCTGTTTTGTGAAGGGCTACAAACTATGGGTTATCATGGAATATGTGAATAGTGGTTCCTTATTTGAAATCTTGCGGCCAGGCCCAATCACTGATGAAATGACAATCAGTGTTATTTCCCATCAAATTTTACTAGCTTTAAATTATTTACATGATCAGGGGAAAATACATCGCGATTTGAAGTCTCAGAATATTTTATTGAGTCAAGAGGGTGAAGTGAAACTCACAGATTTCGGTGTATCGACTCAACTCTACTCCAATTTTTCTCGAAGAAATACAACCGTTGGAACACCTTATTGGATGGCCCCAGAAATCATCTTGAGTAATAATGGCGGGCACAGCTACAAGGCTGATATCTGGTCTTTAGGCTGTTGCATCTATGAATTGAGAACAGAAAAGCCGCCTTTGCAAAATGAACTTGCACCCATGGCAGCTCTACGACGAATATCTGCGTGCAGAAGCGACGATGACTTCCTTCGTATGCTCAATCTAGATAATATGTCAGACTTATTGAAAGATTTCTTAAAGAGATGTTTTGTGGTTGACCCTGCAAATAGACCTTCTGCCTCAAAACTTCTCAAGCATAAATTCATCACCCAGTCTACGCGATTGGAGAACGACTCTAAGAAAGTCCTACTTAAACGCCTTATAACGCGTAAGTTGGTTTGGGCGCAAGAAAACCATCAGCCAAAAACGCAGCGCTTTTATGTCCCTACTGAGATTGCTTCCAACCAGCAAAAATGGCAGGACGCAGAGGGAAGCGAAGGAGGAAAACAGAAAGCAAATACAATCAATTTTGATTTTAGCACCATTCAGGATGTACCAGTTTTGAACAACCCAGACGTCCTTCTGTCAACTGCATTACATGAAAATGATGTATCCCCAACTCCTTCAAGTGGATCAATGAACTATAAGAATGAACTCCCGCAAACAAATAAAGCATTGAAGTTAGAGCACATCAAGCTTCTAAACCGTGTGTTTGCTAAGCTTGAGCTGAAAGTGAGTATCTCCACCACTCAATACGATGAGCTTGTCACATTGAATCAGAAACTTGCAAACTTGTTTTCTCCCGTTCAGTACTCCGAAAATAACCAAACAAGAATTTTAATTTGCCAGTACTTGAAGTACTATCTCCGTGAACTTACGAAGCATCAATCAAATGCAGAGACATCATCATTAAGGCTCCAGTTGCAACGGGCTATAATTCCATCGAACATTCAAGTGAATCACACAGCTTCGCTGTTGACGGAAAACTTCCCACGGAAGAACACGCCATTGAATCCTTTGGACGAAATAGAGAACAGTTTATTGGAGTCGTGGCTTGACAAGATGGGTAATTATTAGGTTCTTAGGACAATATATAGATAGCGCGGTGGGGTAGTCCACTAGTGATAGCGCGGAAAATTGATAAATCGATCTGCAACTCTCATCTTCCACACGGTGATGGACGACGCTGCTCAAAAAAGAGCTAAAAGCGACACTAAGCAAACTGATTCTCCGCATACGTTTGATGAACTCTACTCTCATAATTACCGCATCAGTGTACCGAATGAGCTGATAAACGCTGTGAAGATCTCTCCAGATAAATCCAAGCTCGCGACTTGTTCATCAAAAGGAAAGATTCGAATCTATGAATTTGACTCGGGCAAACTACTTGCGACGTTTACTGAGCACAGCAAAGGTGTCTCGGATATTGCATTTTCTCCTCTTGATAGCAATACGCTAGCTTCATGCTCAGACGATATGACAATCATCTTGTGGTCCATTGCGAAAAAGAAGAGCATAAAGATTTTGAAAAAACACACGTATCACATTACCACGATGAAATTCAACTCGAAAGGAAACCTACTAATCAGTGGAGCAGCAGACGAATCTATTGTGATATGGGACCTTAGCAGTGGTCAGAGCCTTAAGACATTGGCTGCTCACTCTGATCCTATCAGCTGTGTGTGCTTAACCCCAGACGACACTTTGGTTGTCAGTGCATCCTATGACGGCTTAATGAGACTATTCGATATAGAAACTGGTCAATGCTTGAAGACGTTGGTGTATAATAGCTCTACTCATGGGACGGCCACCGCTTCGACTAATGATGTGGTAAACTTCCCAATCTCTTATGTTAACGTGACCCCGAATGGCAAGTACATTCTCAGCTCCAGTTTGGATGGGAAAATTAGATTGTGGGATTACATGAATAATAAAGTGATGAAAACATACACGGGGATTAATAATTCCCCAGTCAACAGCAAGTACAACAGCGGAACGTGTTTCGTAACTTGCACTGCAAGCCCAATTGTTGTTTCAGGTTCGGACAACTCTGGTGCTCTATTTTGGGATTTACAAACTAAGGACATTGTCTTTCAACTATTGCCAGGTTCCACCGTCTTAGACGTGGCCATATGCGACAATGGAGAAAGGTTGGTTACATGTACATTACAGGGTGAAGTAGATGTCTACACCTTAGCGCCAAAATATAAACTTGCAAATGGAAATCACAGCTCGGATAAGCTTTGAGTGCACGTTCATAAAATTTTCTAGAATACTTAATATGAAAGAAGAAAATCTTCAATGCCAGGCTATAGAACGTATGTGTGAGTAAGTACAACTAACAACCCGGAAAGCCCTTCCTCACTCTTTATCTACGACTGTAAGGGCATTGACCAGTAAACTAGGGGCGTGTGGTAGACCCGTGCCTCTCAGCATAAGGCGCTATCATGGTTCTCTATCATATAGCTTCTACATTCAAATCCCAATTCCCCAGTTATGGAACAAAGCAGACACCTTTTCCGCTTCGATGCATCCCTCCTCCATCTTCCAAAGTCGCAGAAGTTGAGGTCATTTGGTATTTATTTGGCAGGGGCGCTTTTTGCTATTGGCTTCTGGTCGATGGTGGATTCGGCAGTTTACTCCAAAACCGTGAATGCTTCCGTTGTTCATGTAACATTTGTGGACTGGATCCCATTTATCTGTTCAACATTGGGAATGCTTATTGTAAACTCCATAGAGAAGTCAAACTTGTTCAGCGAGGGTCAAAATCTGTTTATGGGGGATGGGAACGGTAATGCCTGGGCCGCTAGAGTGATTTTGTTCTTTGGCTTTTCGCTTCTAGCTGGTGGTTTGGCCGGCTCTTTCATGGTTTTCATTTTGAAGTTTTTGATGAAGCACTATACTTTTCCCACCTTAGGCATGGGAGTTTCGAATATTGTCTGCAATGGATGCATCATGTTGAGTTGTATTGTTTTATGGTTGTCACAAAACATTGAGGATGAATACAGTTACAGTTTGGCTTTGAACTAGAGGCTCGCTTTGAGCGCTAGTAGAAATTGCTAAATAAAAATGCCATTCAAATATTAACATACCGATGCGTTTATATTGCGAAGTTCTATACAATTGTAGATGCAATAAAGAAGTTTGCGATTTCGGTTGTAAATGTCATCAGCATTCACAAGCCGAAGCATTAGCAAGCCGAAAGCGAGCAAATTCTTTTCTATAAGCTCTGTAAATTCCCTATGCTCGCTTAAACTCATCCTTCGAAGACCCCAAAAGATTTAGCTCGAACTTACTGAAATCAAACAACTCTAACTTGATGGGCTCCAGCGCGCCTCTAGGATAAACAACAAAATTATCGTGTTTTAGCTCATCAAAAAATGGATGCAGCAAAATGGTTCTTGGAGATGCTCGCATGTCCGGATCATAGACGAGAATTTTTAACAACAAGTCAATCACGTCAGGCGGAGAATTAGAGAAAATTTGTTCAAACCTTTCTTTAATTGTGCAATTGAACAACTTGTTGGAGAACATGTTTCCTCTATACTGCGGATTGCTTTTGAAGAAGAATGTTTTAGGTGGTGGTCCCAAAAGCTTGGATATTTCCTTGAGTTGTAACTCGGACGATTGTCCCTGGAAAATAGGCTTGCCCAAAAACATTTCCGCGATAACACATCCCAATCCCCAAATGTCAATCTTTGTGGTGTATATGGCACAACCGACAATTAACTCTGGGGCACGGTAGTATCTTGAACAAATGTAGCTGACGGAAGGCTGATTAGGTTCCAATTGTTTTGCACTTCCAAAATCACATATCTTCAATTTCACGCTTGAAGGATCAACCAATATATTTGATGGTTTGATATCACGGTGTGATATATTGAAACCGTGCAAATAAAGCATTGCTCTTGCCAATTGGAAAGTGTAAGCTTTCATATGCGGGTATGGAATTGTGTACTTCGACTGGCGATAATATTTGATTTCATTCTGCAAATTGGAAGGTAAGCACTCCATCACAAGATTCTGGTACATCTTGTTATCCTGCGGGCTCCTTTTATCGAAAAAGTACTTCAAGCAAACAATGTTTGGGTGGTTGACCGTTCGCAAGATCTCTAATTCTCTGCATTTATACTCAGTTTGGGCTAACACTCTCTTGATAGCAAAGGGCCCCAAGGCAGTGTGTTTTGGCGTCCCGCTAGCATCGACTTCTGCTAAACTTGCTTCCACGACAGTACCAAATGCCCCTTCTCCGATTTTCTTGTACTCCTTCACATACATTCGCTTCGTTTCAGACGTTTCGTTATTAACAACGCCATCAAGTATGTATTCGTTATTGAAACTCATTTGTAGACTCAATAATTTTTGTGGTTTTCCACTGACAATGGCGGATAAGCTCGCGGGAAAAAATTGACGATAGACTTTAAATACGTGGTGCCTCAGAAGGGACGCGAGGCAATGTTGGATATTTCAGGCAGCAGCTGGTGAAAAGGGAAGTAATATGAGATTTGGGTATGGTTGGGCAATAAGCCTTTTGAAGCCTTGGCACGTATGAGGGAGAATGTGTTGAACAAGGTGGTTGTTATCAGTTTGCGTGGCCGCGGGAGCTATTGTGCAGTATGTGCTGACAGTGAATTGTAGTCACGTGAATTTCTACCATTGTCCTTTGCTTGGGGTTCCATTGAGGTTGAAGAAATGAGTTTGCTATAGCTGGGTTTGCTGTGGCATTATGTTATGTTTCTTTGTGTTAGAGGAATTTTCTCCATCGGACGTTCTTTCTTGTGTGGCTTCGCCGAGCCAAATTCTGTCGCGATTTATCCTTACACAGTACACCATGACGGAGACGAATATTTGTTCTATTCATGTACTTTCAATTACCAGTCCTCAGCATACGAATTCCTATATGGGACTTCCCTACTACCATGCAAATGATGGAAGTCTGAGCTTATCTCTGCAAGTAACACAATGGGATAGACTGCGCTTAACGTATGCGAGTTAGACATCGATAGGTGGATAACAAGAAGACCACCTTTCCTGGATCTCTTATTACGTTGAGTTTCATATTTTTACTATGGATATGCACTTCAGTAATCTTCCCGATGGAGATACCCTCTTATGGAACTCTGTAGTGGGAATTCTTGGTATAAACACCAGTACACCATCTGTTCAATCAGCGGAAAAAAAAAAGGTAACATAGATTGTCTCTGTGATATCTGAACCAGAATATACAACATGTTTGCTAGTCTCAGATCACTCCGCCTGCTTCATACACCATTAGGCGGATTTTCTTCTGCCTCCAGATGGTTGAATACGTCTTCCTCTGCCGCGGCCGTGGCCAGAAGTGCAGTTGATTCTTCATTAAGGACGAAAGCTCTCACCAACGCCAAGAACGAAAAGGTGGTGATGTGGAAAATTTATGCCACTTTTCATAGACACAACACATTGTGCTCCCTTGTTGCAGTCGTGGAAGACTTGGATTTCATGAAAAAGAATGACCACTTGAGTTACAATGAGAAAGTTCTCTACTACATGCAATTACCTCACCAGGTCAAGCTTCATGTCAGTGCTGGTATGTTGGGATTCAGAAAAGCACATAGAGCAGAATATGAAGCTGGATACCAGGTTAGCTCCCGCTTATTCAAAATGATCGAGGAAAAGAAGTTGTTTGGTCCTAACGACAAGGTCGAATTGATCTTGCGTGATTTCGGAAAAGGAAGAGAAGCATTTACTTCTGCATTGCAAGGTAAAGAAGGTGCAAATGTTCGTCCACATATTGTGAGGGTCACGGATAACACCAAGTTGAAATTCGGTGGTTCGAGATCGAAGAAGTTGCGTCGTTTGTAAGAAGTTAGCATGTACATAGTATCCAATGAAATAGAAATAGCTGAAATCTTTGAATTAGGTGGCTCACTAAAACCTGGCTGTAAGAAGCGGCGTAGTACATTGATGCATTATTGTTACTCTTGATATTTTGTTTTATGTTCTGAAGCACCGTATTGTTCGTGATGCTATAAGATGAAGAGAGTTCGCAACTTTCGTGAATAACGACATCAACAAGATGCAACTTCGCAGTTAATTACATTAATTTACACTTAGAATGTGAACACTATCGTATTGACGTGTCTTATTGCTGCCGTCCTAATCGTCTGTCAAATTGTAATACAAGCCTTTGTCGATCGGTATTTTTTTAGCATTTAAAGTCTAACTAACGATGAGAATCGTACGTCTATGTGATTTATCGTGCGACTGAATCGTGCATTGACTTGCAATCAATTTGGTGTCTTAATGTAGAGTGCGAAACCCTAACTCTCATCACGTGCACTAGTGTAGACGTCACACTCTCACGTGCCACGTTTCACGCTTTGCGCGGCCAGCATGCAGGCCCTCAGTCATGCCGGTGGCAGGCAGAATTTTTTCAATGCTCACCATACCCTCATTTGAAATCTTTTCACTTCTGATAGACAAGATCAAAGATGGCTCCAAGTATGTAAAATTCCAACTGAAATGTTCCATATGGCAAACTGTCCTCCACATCCGACTCTCATGAATAGCGGTTCTTGTTAGGTGTCCTATAATTCATATCCCTTGCCCAGAAGAGGTTTATACTCCTCCATCAAGAAGTTTGAAAACATATGCTTTGGGATCTCAGAGATTCATGAAACTATTATTTTGTTTGCTTATGGTCATCCGTTTTCTTTTACCTCAAGGTCATGTACTAACTATTCCAGACACTAAGGCTGCTGCTGCTAAGAAATCTGCTTTGAAGGGTACCAACTCCAAGAAGGCTGTCAAGGTCAGAACTTCCACTACCTTCAGATTGCCAAAGACCTTGAAGTTGGCTAGATCTCCAAGATACGCCAGAAAGTCTGTCCCACACTACAACAGATTGGACGCTTACAAGATCATTGAGAGCCCAATTGCTTCTGAGACTGCTATCAAGAAGGTTGAGGATGGTAACACCTTGGTCTTGCAAGTTTCTATCAAGGCTAACAAGCACCAAATCAAGGCTGCTGTTAAGGAATTGTACGAAGTCGATGTTGAAAACGTTAACACTTTGATCAGACCAAACGGTACCAAGAAGGCTTACATCAGATTGACTGCTGACCACGATGCTTTGGATGTTGCCAACAGAATCGGTTACATCTAATCTGCATGCCCTTAGTACTATAGGATTTTGTAATTAATAAAATTAACGGACGATTATGTGTATTTAAAGTACCGTTGCGCTTATTTGACTCCAAATATCGCTTGCACCAAGAAACTGAATGTGCATGTAAGAGTTTCTGTGATTTTCGTCACATGTTAAACGTGGGTAAAAGATCGATCTGATTAATAGGCCTAGCTTCCGTCCGTAATAGGAAGCAGTGGTGTCGCTCTCCTTTCTTGCGCTTTTTTCTTCCTAGACTGGGCGTCATACATACAGGCGGCGCTCAAGAGAGACGCGATCACAATGATACTGTGGTTTGAAAGTCTACTGGCATGTATCTATGTTCAAAAATAGACTGTCTGTGAGATTCATCTCTGGGTCTCTTTCTATTTAAAGTACAATTACCAGTAAGATAATAAGATCATGGTTTTTAACTTTTCCTCCTCTGTATTAGGAAACCGTGTATCGCGCGTTTGCATAATGTTTGCGTGTTTTTTTTTTTTTTTTGTTTTTTATACACATATTTTTTTTGCTTGACCTCAAATTTCGTGTCGCGGACACGCTTTTGAAAAGAATATCGTTCCTCTGTGATTCGCCTAGGTTCAAGTTGCTTCTTTCGTTTGTTTCATTTTGCGACACGCATTCCTCTTCTTGACTCGTTCAGCTTTACTTCCCCATACTCGTTTTCCTTCGCTAATGCACTTCCGCAGTCTCCCCAACTACTTCCGGGGGGAGAAGTCTCCAATGATCCAAACGGATTCTCCGTTTCCACCATTGAAAGTTGAACATCGCTACAGGGGTGTATATGAAAGAGCAGGCTTTGATGTGAATCTTGGTGGTTATTCCCATAGCGAACAGGGTTCCATGCGTCTGCCAAAGGAAGCTCCAGACTCACGTACTTTCAATTCTCATAGAGTTGTTTCTGATTCTGCCCCTGGAACTTACAAATCTAGAAATGTGTCATCGAGATCTATGCCGCAAAGTGCATCTTCTCCAATCACTGATGTATCCAATGTAAACAGAAACCGTTATGCTCCAGCAAGAAAAAGCCCCTTTTCTCCTGTTTCTGCCACTGGGAAGAAGAGTACTGCGCCATACCCAACTTCATCAAACGAAAACCTCAAATCTCATGAACCTTATAATCATTCATACGAAGGCAATATTTCTCTTCCGGCACTCGTTAGTGGTCAGCCCGTTGCTTCTATGGAATCAGAAACTCACAATGATTCCACAGATTACAATTCTCAAAGCAGAAACGTCAAGAAGCTTCAATTGCATATACCTTATAGCAATTACTCGAATGTCCCACATGAGCAATCTAATGAAAGCTCTTCGAGCACTAATTCTCAGACATTTGAGAATATGATAGAGAAGCCTTCCACGCCGAACACATCTGCTAGCTCAACAAATGGTCTCGATGAAAAGATGGAGCACAGTAGCGCTATGAGTGTGGGTACAGCCGAACTTCCACATCTGGCTTCCCTGAACCATTCGAAAGATTTGTCTATGGATTTGAACAATTTCGTCGATGACCGTGACCATCAAAAGGGTTACGATCCGAGAAGAGACGCTTCGAAGAATCAAAAAAGGCCAACAGAATCTAATCATACCCAATTCATTCCTGACACTGGTGATCTCCTGCGAAACCTCACCAAGTTAATGATTGATGACACAACGGATAACACACTGGAGAATACCTCATTTCAGTTTACCTCGGCACCATACAACACTGTACTGGAAGCTTCAAGTGCTCATGACGAAAGCAACGAGCAATCAGAGTATCAATCATTCCTTCTGACATCCAACCATGAACCGATGCTCAGATACTCTCAGTTGTCGACCGTCAGCTCTATCATTTCAAAGACCACTGGCTCAATCGAGGGGGAAGAAGAAGTTGATCCAGAGCTACAAAGGCAATTGGATGGATTCAAAAATAGAAGTTCCGTTTTCAAACCCCGTCAAGAGAGCCTGGATGGATCCGCTTCATATCGTACAGCTAACACTTCGGCTGTGGAAATCGGTGAACTACCTGTTGTGCCAAAAATTCAGGTCCATGACACTAGCGAAAGCCTTGCTAGTTCAGATGAACAGTCCATTTCAGCAGAAACTACACAAGTACAAACTTATGGCGGAGACAATATTCCATCTGAATTGGTACGAAATACCACTGATCGTAGCTCTGTGGACTTTTCTGAGAAGAGAACGAGCCAGGGGTCGACTTTGGAAGAACCCTTGCAATACAAATTGTCTCATACATACGAGGATTCTGACTTTCCCCTCAATGAATCCACCGAGTTGCATGATGATTTTAACTCTTTTGAGGCTGATGGTGTGCATGAACAGGATCAGGCAAGCAGTCCATTCATTACTGAAAGAAATCCAGCTCGCAAACTTCAGTCTAGTTATCCAGAAACTCCAAAGGTTCACGCATCTCCGTTTGAGGAAACCTTCAACACACCTGAAACAATCAAACCATTGAGCCCCAAAAACCACCGAGTTGAAGAAGAATTGAAGAACATGAACTTTAAGTATGACGTGGAAACTCCAAAGTTACATAACGGCATTACAGAAAATGTATTTGATACTTCGGTTGATCTGTCCACAGATATCGATGATCTTCGTGATGAGGTTATACTTCTGCAGAACGTGCCACCTGAAGAATTTGAGGCTTTCCCAAAATCAGTAATGAATATGAAAGTTCCAAATTTCAGAGCGAGCGCTTCAGGCACAGTGTACGCATCTGGGACGGGCCCATGTCGTGTCTGTGGAGATGAAGTGGATGTAAATGGAAGGGGATCTCGCAAGCCGATCTATTCAAGAAATGGAGAATTGAGTGGCCAGTGGCATCGTGGGTGTTTCTCATGCACATACGGTGGTTGCCAGGTCGTCTTTAGCAAACACATTGCATGCTATGCTCTACTAGACAATGCTTTTTGCAAGCATCATTATCACCTACTTAATAGCACATTATGTGAAACGTGTGGCCAAGGTATTGAAGGAGAATGTATTGAGAATGAGTTGAAGCAAAAATGGCATGTATCATGCCTTAAATGCTCAAAGTGTGAAAAGAGTATTTCGAGCGATTACTTCTTGATAGCAAATGAAATTGTGTGCGAGCTGGATGCCCCTACTATCATTGCTGGTTTAGAGCAAAGTGGGTTGTTGACGTCTGAGAAGATCGAAAAAAGAAGGACAAGAATGTTGTTCCTTGAACAACAACAAGGCATGTGAAATTCCTTTCCTCGCAAACTAGGTTCTAATCAGGGCCCTTTGGGCTCTCTGTCTTATATATCAATGAGGAATAGGAATAAATCATAGAATATTTATATTTCGTGTCAGTTTGTAATCAGTAATCCCTACTTACCTTGGGCCGTCCTAATGAACCCAAAGATCCATTGTCTTCGTCTTCAATGGGCTTAGATGTTATTTTAGGTGATGCGCCCTTAAGTTGTCTTGAGTCACCCGTATCTTCCTCATCATCCCCAATAAAAAAATTATCTTCATCGAAGTCACCTGCTTCTAATCCCATGGAACGATCCAACTCTAGGTCATCATTAAAATTACCAAACACTAAGTCGTCATAGTTTGAGCGCAGTCCGTGGTGATATGAGTTTAATTTACCCTGCATTCGATTGTAAATGATGTATGATGCCAATGATAATGCACAGCCTGTAATCACAATGCTCACTACATCAATCACTTTAGCAGAAAACGAACGTTCCTCGTCGCCCAAATGCTTTATAGTATTCCCCACGAAGACGTGGACGAACATTTTTGGCGATGTGATTATCGAAGCCAACACATAGGTTGAAACTGGGAGGTTGGGAATAGCTGCTAAAGCACCATTTGATAATGAGTAAGGGAACGGACACAATCTTAGCAAAACAAGAAGGAAAAGAGACGCATCCTCTTTCAAAATTTCTGCAAATGCTCGGAACTTCTCATTATGCTGGACCAAACGTTCACCCTGACTTCTAAGAACGTATTTGAATACCAAGAATGATGCCAATGACCCCAAGATTGTTGCCGATGCCAATAATGGCCAGCCGCCTGGGAAACCAAACACCATACCACATAGCATTGACAAGGCGGAGTAACCAATGAGTGGGGGAAATCCCACGAAGAAAATCAAGAAGAATAAAATGGTCCTGCCAAAACGAAGGTTTTCCCAATAATCTGATACATCCACCAACAACTTAATAACACGTTTGTGAAATATAAGTGCTAGAATACCAACGCATGCAATCGCAATTCCTCCAAGTGCTAGTAGGACTCGTTTCCACAAGGGATGGGAAAAATACCACAGGGATACCCTGTTTCGAAAATCATTCATCGTTTCGTTTTGCTTGGTTGCCAAATCCCTAATCTGAGACATAAATCCACTACTCATTGCTGGATCAGACGTGGAGTTGAGACGAGGCATGATTCACTTGTGAATGATGTGTTGAAAGTACTGCAGACATGTAACACCGTCTACATTATACTCGGCAGCTATGGATATCTGATACACAAGAGAGCCTCTAAAGAGAATCATATATTTTTTCCATCTACATTTGATGAAAAATGCAAAGCATTCAGGATACCGTTGCCAAGTATAAGTGTGATTTCTGTCTCCAGTCTCTCTGTCATGTCCATCATTCTTTCGCGACATGGAGTTAAAAGAAAATGTTGAAAAATCGGGCTTCAACATTGTAGATTACGAATATTCGACCGAAAAGTTTGAATACTGACCAATATATGTGAAAATGTTACTGAAATAGTATCTCGTGTATATTCAAAGTATTTAAAATGAGAAGTTTGTAGTTTCCCCATCGCAGGAACCTACAGTAGCGGTATGTAGTATTTGTGATATTTACCGGTAGTGCCGATAGTTAAGCGAAAATCACAACAAGACCGAATAAATGAAAATAAGTAATTCAAGAGAGTGCATAATGAAGCTAGGAAATCAATCGCTTCTCGAACCGTAGTAATCTGTCTAGCGGTGGAATAGCTATGTTTAACAACTAGAATTTGTCTACAATTGAGAATCGAATAGTTCTATGCACGGAAGAGAAGCCCGCATCAACATACATTATCCTACATATTACATTTCATAGAGACTATCTTCAGAAACTACATAAACGACAAAAAATACTCTTTCTATGCTTTATGAAGGGTAAAGTAAGATGACCAAGATCAAATGAGGGAGGAAAGGCATGTCAAAGTCATGCATATCTGATGACTTTTCAAGCAAGCAACCCTACGCGCTAGGTGGGAATCTTGCATGAACGTACATTTTCCTATGTTCGGTGTCCACGCTGGCACCATACGCCGATTCGCTATCGGAAAGTCATATTTAATACACGAGAACAAGAAATGTAGATGCTAATACAGCAACACGAGAGACGCTGTCAAATATTGTATTATTGAAAACAGTTATGACACAAGGAACTTACGACACCCGTGATCCGAACGTGACTAAGGAGGGCGCAGCTGCTAGAGCAATTGTTTGCAACAAATACAATACCACATCAATGCTCTCCCATTTTTCTACAGCTACACGCGTGCAAAGTTTCGATGACTTGATCAAGTAAGATTAAGTACATAAGTGAAATTCATCGGACTGGGTTCAAAACATAGAGTATGCTGGTTTGCAGCATCTTCATGTAGGTTGTTTCTTTAGCCGCTAAAGAACTATTTTAGTTTCGCATTTACCCGGATATAAGCGGTCTTCATTATTAATATCCGTAGGCTGTCAAGTCATTATATTCATTGCAAAATCATTGTTTTTTTTTTTCCGACTTAACATAAACTACTCTTTATGAAGTTCCAAAAACTCTTGCTTTTTGGAGCCGGGGTCCTTGCATGGTCTCCCACAAACAATTACGCCCCAGCTAAGGTCGATTGCCCATCCGGAAGCTTGGTTAGAGCTGCCGATAAAATCTCCGATGATGAGTCTTCCTGGGTCAAGGAAAGAAACAAGGTGACTGACAAGAATCTAGAATCATTCCTTCAAAAAGCTGATTTGGACGACTTCGATGTGTCAAGTTTCCTTTCGAACACTTCGGACGGTAGATCTATCAAGATCGGTATTGCATTCTCCGGAGGAGGCTATAGAGCTATGTTAGCAGGAGCAGGCGAACTTTCCGCTCTAGACAACAACACCGTTGGCGCCTCCTCTCATGGTTTGGGTGGCTTGCTTCAATCTGCCACATATTTAGTGGGGTTGTCTGGTGGTAACTGGCTTGTGGGCAGTTTGGTCATGAACAACTGGACGAGTGTACAAGAGATTGTGGACGAAAATAAGATCTGGAACTTGGAGCATTCTATTGTCAATTACGGTGGATGGAACCCTATCAAAGCTTATAATTATTATGATGGTATCTACGATGATGTTAAAGATAAAGAGGATGCGGGCTTCGAACTTTCCATCACCGACACATGGGGTAGAGCTTTGTCTCATCAATTCTTCCCTGAACTGACTAATTATGGTAATTCTTTACTTTGGTCTCAAATTCAAGATATGGATGATTTCGTCAACCATGACATGCCTTTTCCGATTGTTGTTGCAGACGGCAGAACGCCTGGTACTACAATCATTAGTGGAAACTCGACAGTTTTCGAATTCAATGCATTCGAGATGGGTTCTTGGGACCCTTCTTTGTATCAATTCACTGACGTCAGATACTTGGGTACGAAAGTGAAAGACGGAAAACCATTGAACAATACTTGCATTGGTGGATTTGATAACGCTGGTTTTGTCATGGGTACCTCCTCTTCCCTTTTCAACCAGTTTGTTTTGCAGATTAACACTACTTCTCTTTCTAGTACACTCAAAAGTATAATCACCAGTTTGTTGGATCATGTTTCAAAAGATGAGGACGACATTGCTATCTATGAACCAAATCCATTTAAAGGAACTGACGAAGCTTCAGTAGAGAGCATTGTTAAAAACGACACATTGTACTTGGTCGATGGTGGCGAAGATTTGCAAAATATTCCATTGCACCCTTTGATCCAACCCAAAAGAGGTCTCGACGTCATCTTTGCATACGACAACTCAGCTGACACTAACGAAAGCTGGCCGAATGGAGCATCCATGGTAGCAACTTATGAGAGACAGTTTTTGAAACAAGCGAACTCTACCATTTTCCCTCACGTTCCTGACATCAATTCATTTATCAATTTGAATTTGACTGCAAAACCTACCTTCTTTGGCTGTGATGCGAAGAACCTCACTTCATTGCTCCCAGATGGCGCTGACCAAAGTGCTGTTTATGACTCGCCGTTGATTGTTTACACTGCCAACAGACCATTCACGTACTACTCTAACACATCGACATTCAAGCTCTCATATGAGGATGACGAGAAGTTTGGAATGATAAAAAATGGTTTTGAAGTTGCTTCCAGACTCAATGGGACTTTGGACAAGGAATGGAGCACGTGTGTTGCTTGTGCAATCATTAGACGTGAACAAGAAAGACAAGGTGTTGAACAATCTGAGCAGTGCAAGAAGTGTTTCGACACTTACTGTTGGGATGGCAGTATTGACACCAGTGAGCCTGGTGTGAATTTCACAAGCACTGGATCCACTTCTGGACCAGAGGAAAACGGAAACAGAACAGTAAGTTTCGGCTACTCCTTGGTAAGATCCGATGATAACTATGGCTTACTTAAAATTGTTTTGTTGGCTTCTTTGATCTCAGTTGTCAGCAGTTTCTCTTTCTGATCATACGTGAAACCTTGATGATAGCCCCATTTTACATTTCTGTTTTTAAAGCTTTCAATGAAGCACTGGTTCATTGTGGGGCTGCTATAATGTTACATAGCACTATGGATGATATGTGATAGTAACTGTAATGATTGTAGAGATGTCGAAGTACATCTTGTGATGATTGAAGTATTACGCTATGGCAGGAGCGCATAAGATTAAGATCCAGGCTGTATATTCCAATTGCACCTTCCCTGTTTCCTGTTTGACTATAAAAGCTGGTTGATTCATGAGCATACAGGAACGAAAGGTGGGGCAAGTAGCAATCGCCGCATTCATGTACGAAGACCCTGCAGAAAGTACGACAGTCAAGATATCTTGTAGCAACTGGTCAGACTCAGAAAAAAAAAAACGAAATCAAATAGAACTCACAAAAGAGGAAAGTAATGGTACCATTATCTTTCCCCCAAACACTGATGATGAGTTCAAAACAAGTTCTGACTACCAAGTCACAGGAAAAACCGGCTGAGCTTGATAGCAGTCTCTTTGATTCCTCCGATTTCAGTGAGAATTACTTGAGAAAGTCTCTCTTGATCAACGGTGCAATCAATGAAATTGGGTTCGGGCGCTATCAGTATGGACTCTTCATAGTTGCTGGCTTTGGATGGTTTGTGGACAATGCCTGGCCTTCTGCAACATCTTATATTTTGCAGCGATTAAATGAAGAGGATAAAGTACATTCGCCTCCAAACCGCGCACCATACTTAACGCTTGCTCAAAACTTAGGACTTCTAGGTGGAGCCGCATTTTGGTCCTTCCTTTCGGACATTGTTGGAAGAAAATGGGCATTCAGCTTGACCTTTTTATTTACGGGCGTATTTTCTGTTGCAGCTGGTTCTTCACCAACATTTGCAGCAATTGGAGTCTTTTGTGCGTTATGGAGTTTTGGCGTGGGTGGAAATCTTCCTGTAGATTCTGCAATATTTTTGGAATCATTGCCGTCGAATAAGAAATGGCTTTTGACAGTTATGTCTATCTGGTGGAGTTTGGGACAGATCGTTACCGCGTTGTTGTCGTGGGCTTTGATCACAAATTACAGTTGTCCCGACACAGCAACTGTGTGCAATTCAAAGAATAATAAGGGTTGGAGATACTTTCTTTTCACACTAGGTGGGTTAACCTTGGTAATGCTTGCCGCAAGGTTTCTTTTTCCCGTACATGAGAGTCCCACATTCTACTTAGGAAAAGGCAATGACGCCAAGGCTATGGACACCATTAATTTCATTGCGAAAATTAACAAGAGCAATCATAATCTCACTTTAGAGGACCTCCAGGCAGTTGATGATATTGTTCTGGACGCTTCTCTGGAGCCCGAAAATCAATTGTTGGCGAATCGCATAAAGAGGTACAATTTCTCCCACATCAGAGAAAGCTTTGGCTCTAGGGATCTAGCTATTTCTCTGACTTTGGTGATTTTGACTTGGGCACTTGTTGGGCTTGCCTTTCCCCTCTACAATGCCTTTTTACCAACATATTTGGAACAAAAAGGTTCAGCGAGCGAAGCATTGAGTGTTTCGAAAACTTACAGAAACACTTTGATTGTCGCTGTGGTGGGACTTCCTGGAGCAATAATTGCAGGAATATTAGTCGAGCTTCGTATTGGAAGAAAAGGAACATTGGCAGGCTCTCTTTTAATGACAGGCATTGTTCTTTTCGGTTCTACGACTGCGAAAACATCAGACTCGTACCTTGTGTGGAATTGTTTTTTCAACTTCTTTTCCAACATCATGTACGGTGTTCTTTATGCTTACACCCCTGAAGTATTTCCAACTAGGATCAGAGGAACATCAGTTGGACTCGCAGCATCAGCTAATCGTGTCTTGGGTGTCTTTGCACCCATCATTGCTATATTTGCTGACTTGACTACATCGGCACCAATATTCGTATCTGGAGCACTATTTTTGTTATCAGCGGTGTTAGTTTTATTTTTCCCGTATGAGCCACGTAGTAAGTACAGTTTATAAGTTAATAATTGATAAGGTTTTTGAGTTTTTGAATGGTCCGCATTTTGTTACCAAAAGAGGATAAAAATGCCGCGCGCACTCTGCCCTCAAAAGGGAAGGAATTGCTCAAATATTTAGATTGCAATTTGATTTTCCAACTTAATTGACTTCATATTCACCATGTCCTTCTCCACCACAGCAGAAATTGCCCAATTCGACGGCAAGTTGTACAAATTGTCCCATGAATCCGATTCGACCAAAACCAAGATGGATGTCAATGTCTTTGTCCCACCTTCTAAGGCTGAGGCGATTCCTGTCTTGATGTACTTGTCTGGCTTGACTTGTACTCCTAACAATGCATCTGAAAAGTCCTTTTTGCAATACTTTGCGTCCAAATATGGCTTCGCTATTGTGTTCCCAGACACTTCACCAAGAGGAGCAAACATTGCTGGAGAGGACGACTCTTACGATTTTGGCACAGGAGCAGGTTTCTATGTCGATGCCACTCAAAAGCCATGGTCAGAAAACTACAATATGTACACATACGTCCATAAAGAGCTTTTGGAGAAATTGGCGTCTCATTTCCCAAAATTGGACTTTGAGAACATCTCCATTACTGGTCATTCTATGGGTGGATATGGTGCTTTAGCAGGATTCTTCAAAAACCCTGGAAAGTACAAGAGCGTGAGTGCATTTGCGCCAATTTGTAACCCACTGAACTGCGCATGGGGAGAAAAGAACTTTGGAAACTACTTGGGTGAGGACAAAGCACAGTGGTACGAATATGATCCTACTCATTTGATTGCACAATACAAAGGGAGCCACCAGCCTGACATCTTAATTCATCAGGGAGCACTGGATGGCTTCTATGCCAAGGATAAGTATTTGCAACCTGAGAACTTTGTCGAAGCAGCTAAAGGATCTGACTACAAAGGGAAGGTGGACTTACACATTGTTGATGGATATGACCACCTGTACTTCTTCATCAGTTCTTTTGCAGAAGCTCACGCCAAGCACCACGCCAAAGCGCTAGGCTTGATCGAATAACTATCTATGGATGATGTCCAGAGTATTCACAAACTATAGTGTTCACCTTACATCGTCCTTGTTAGCTTGAATGCGTATATATTACTCTATTTATACTAGTCGTACATTGCCTCCAGCATTTCCTTGTACTTGATTTCCCAAGAGCTGCACCACTTTGTTTTGTTGTCACTGTTCTTGTTTGCTTTCTTCAAAATCGAAAGTATTTTAGAGCAAGCCTTATCCACGGCAATAGAGTGTTCAGTGACATCTTCAGTGAGAGAATGGCTCATCATCAATTCCACAATAAGCAAATCAGCTTCTTTACTGATGATACTTTCGGTATTGTAGATTTCGTCGATATCTGTACCATTGACAATAGACGGCAACGATTTATTAATCGACAAGAAGAGTAGCTTGATTAATTTGAATTTTTGAACCCATTGCTTACTGAATCTTGAGAGCTTGAGCATTGTAGCTTCAGCGGCCAGAGAAGATGTGCTTTCACCATCGTCTGGAACAGGAACTTTGGCATCTTCTGCATCTTCTCCATCCTCTTCATCTTCCTCAGAAAACTCATCCAAACCAAAGGGATCAACAAGATCGAATTCTTCAGGGTTTTCAGCCCATTCAGAGAACTCATCTAGACCATCTTCGATCAAGGAAAGCTGAAGCCTCGTCTTCTTCTCCAAGAACTTAAGATTTCCATTTTCCACCAATTTGACCAATTCATCACATGCGTTCCATACTTTTCCCACAGAAATCAACCTCACATCAACTTCTGTATTTTTTTTGTCATCACTTGATTTTCCCGACTTGTCGTTCAACACCTTCAATTCAGCAGTGAGCGATGCAGCAGTACTTACCAAAGTATGAGAGCTGTTCAATATCTCCTTATAAAATAGACTGGATATTTTGTCTGGAGATAATTGGGCCACAACGGACATGTAAAGCACGAAGGATTTGGACAAGTCTGATACTGTAGTATATGCTGCATCAGACAGTTGGGCAAGTTTAGATGGCTCGAATATTATACCCACTTTTGTGGTGTGGGCTTTGATAAGCTTAGCGACCTTGACCAACTCTTTCAAAGGCTCTTGAACCTTAGCAGGAGGGATAGTTTTTAGTCCTTCCGATCCAGAAAAGACAAGGCCCCAACAGTCTAGAGCCTCTTCAAAAGCTTTTATTATATCGTTCAAGTTGGCCATGCTATAAAGGCGTATAAGACCGATGAGAAGTTTTGTGCGCGCATCATGATCGTTAACCACACTGTAAATTATATAAAGACTACTGCAAACGCACATATAGTTATGCTTGCCTCAAAGATAATAATGGTACTGGGTACCGTGATGTAATATAGTAATTGGAAAGAAAATTTATATAGTGGATCGGTGATCGCAGAGAGCCAATATCACCAGTCATCATCATTGTCTTCGTCATCACTGGCGGCCACCTTGTCCTTTCTTTTATTGAGAGCATTCGCCAAAGCATCTGCCAACGATTCAGGTTGGCCGGGAGCTGCGGGAGCACTGGAAGTACTGGGTGCAGAGGGCTCACCTCGTGCCTCTTGAAGAATCACGCTAGGCTTCTCCAATTGTGACTTGTCCGTCTTTTTGAGTGAGGATACACCAGCCCCTCTAATGGAGGCCAATAAAGCATCTCGGGAGGGGTCCACCAGCGGCATAGATGGAGCAGGACCTGAGTTGAGGTCGAGTGCCGGGAGTGGAGGTGGAGGAGGCGCACTTCCACCTTGAGCTCCTGGAGCCCCGTTTGGCATTGGTGGAGGAGGAGGGGGTGGTGCTGCAGATGATCCATTCAGAGGAAGTGGTGGTGGAGGAGGAGGAGGTGCCGAAGCTCCATTCAGCGAAGGAAGCGGAGGTGGAGGAGGCGGTGCTGCAGTACCCGTGGGTGGCATTGAAGGAGGTGCCAGAGGCTGAGGAACAACTTGCGAAACGTACTGGTCTTGATGGTACAGAGTAGGCGCCGGCTGCGGAGCAGCTTGTCCAGTACGCGGAGGAGGAGGAGGGAACATCCCAGGCTGAGGCGAGAATTGGGGCTGTTGCGGAGGTGGTGCAAACTGGGAAGCCGCCTGTGGTTGTTGGAACAGTTGGGGCTGAGGCTGCTGTTGGAATTGAGGTTGAGGCAGTTGTTGGAATTGAGGTTGAGGCAGCTGTTGAAACAGTGGTTGGTGCGATGTCTGAACGGGCGCGCGAGCAGGAGGAGGCGGCGGAGGAGCACCACGCGATGCTCGAGGTGGAGGTGGAGGTGGAGCACCACCAATGCGAGGAGCAGGCGCAGGAGGAACTCCAGCACGCGGTGGGGGAGGCGGTGGGAGAGGACGGTTGGTAGCTGCACGTGGAGGAGGAGGTGGAACAGCTCGAGCTGAACGAGGAGGAGCAGGTGGAACTGCATGCACCTGCCCTGGCTGTAGAGCAGTAGGTGTGCCAGAGTTGGGCGATGGTCCTGGGGAGCCATATGTAGGAGAATTGTAGTTTGGTGTGGAGTTTTGCGCATATCCTTGGGTATTCAGACCAAAGTTCTGGCCGTTCTGAGCAAAGTTCTGGCCGTTCTGAGCAAAGTTCTGGTTGTTCTGGCTGTTCTGGCCGTATCCCCCTATGGCGGTGGCAGTGTGCTCAGGCAACTGATTAGGCGGAGGTAGATTGGTGTGAACCGGAGGTGGAATAGCGGAGGCAGGTGGTACACGGAACCTAGGTTTTTCTGGTTCTGGCGCGGGGGTTGGAGTTGGGTCTGGTTCAGGCTCGTTTTCAGACTGCGCTGCGCTAGGCATGCTACTAATAGTCGTCGAACGAGATCTTGGCGCTGGTGAGGCTGACGCCGATGATTCCCCAGCGAGAGGAGGAGGAGGAGGTGGTGCTTTTTTCGTTTTCTTCAGCACAGAAACCTGCAGCGCTGGCTTCTCAACCTTGCGTGTAGCGTATTTGCGAGGCACAGGTGGCTCCAAGCCGACCAATGGCCCACCCTGCTTTGCAATGTAGCTTTTGATAAATTCTCTGTTCTCAGCAATCATATCCTCCGTTATACCCGCAGCCTCGAGCTCCGCATACAATGGAGCCCACTCCGGGGGCGGTACGTCGTCGTAATAGAGCACACCGCGTGCCCGGCGCGAGCGCTGCTCTGTGTTGACATCGACAAACTCCCCTCTTGGACCCACTTTCTGCTCTGCAGGACCCAAGCGATCCTTCAAGGCCACAGCATTCTTATTGGCCGCAGTTTGCTTGGAGGCATGCTTCTGGCGTGTGGTGACGCGCTTGAAAAAGTGGGCTGCATCATTTGTGTCCTCAAAGAGAAGGCCCGCCAAGCAGTCTTCCATTTCAAAAGTGTGGAAGAACTTGCGGTCCTGGTGGTACTGGAAATCCACATAAAGCTCTTGATCCCAAAGAACACCGCGCGAACCCACTACATCGACCAACTTCAAGAAGAATGTGTGGCCAACAAGATCGTCAGTCAACACAATGGCTCCTACCAAGCCAGTATATGTCCATTGAGAGGGGTCAGGATAAGCAATGTAAAGACGCGCAATGGTGGCATCTACTACCTTGTTAGAGGCCTTGGGCACGGCCCGCTTGACTTTCTCTTTGTCTGCGGCTGTGAGTATGCCCATAAGTGGTATTTTCTATGATTATGAAACTTGCGACTAAAGCGGAGTGCGACTTGAGTGGAGTGCGACTGGATATTTGAGTGCGCATTGAGAAGCTATTAGTAGCGTGCGAATGTAGAAAAACCTACTACACTTTTGGTAATTTTATCAATTCACTTATTTGGTGAAAACCTACAATAAAGTTGACTTATAGATTCAGTGTGAGTGAAGGGCTGCTATAACGGTTTACCAAAAGATACAGTGCCTTGGCGATGCAAGGGCTACCTTATCTGCGATGTACATAAATTATTATTTTTAGCACATTGGATGATTTACATACTCTACGAAAAGAAAATCGTTAGAATTGGCCTCAACCTTCAGTAGAAGATTCTGAAAACGTGATCCAGCTCTCGAATCCGTCAGTGAAGTGCATTTGAAGATTTTTTTCCACTTTGAAAAGGTTCTTCTCCCCCGTAATACCGTTGTAGAGATCAAATTCTTCATCGGTAACCAAACACGAGTCAAGAAGTTTTGTAAGCTTGGATTGATTTATGCCTAATCCAATGAACACAATCTCATTCCTGCGATCTCCATGCTCACCAACCATATCTTGCTTAATGAGCTTCTGGGTCTCAGAGGAAAACTCGTCGTACCCGGTGATTGCAAACCACGGAAGACCACCCCGTAAAGTAAGCATAGGACCAGCAGAGGACCATTCACCCCTAATGATGTGGCGAGATGCCAACCAGAAAAATCCCTTGGAACGTAATACGGGGCCAAGAGGGGTCTTTTTCCTGTTTAAAACAATCTCAGCATCACTAACGTCTTCATCTACTTCATCTTCATCTTCCTCTTCATCTTCATCTTCCTCTTCATCTTCCTCTTCATCTTCATCGTCGTCAGATATTTGGACTGTTTCTTTCTTCTCAGCATCTCCTTCCTCATCGGCAAATCCTGATTGCTCAATGATACTAAACTTATCTTTGAGGAGGTTGTAGATACGTTCAGGATGAAATGGTCTTCTGGAGGTATAAACGAAGTTGTTGATTCCATACTCTTCTGTCTCAGGCTTGGGGGTGAGCTTGTTGTTGTATTTCTCCTGCTTGGTCATTTCATGAAGACTCTGAAGCCACCCTACCGAATTCTGCACCTTTTCAAAGTCGAACAAACTAGTACCAACGATTTCTTTAATATCCACTTTTGCAAAATTAGTGGAAATCACTTTTGCATTAGGGTTAAGCACTTTTATAATCTTATAGATTTTTTTCTTTTCTTTCCTTTTGATCAAATTAGTCTTATTAACAATGATCACGTTGGAAAATTCTATCTGGTCCACCATTAAGTCACAAATTGTTCTATCTTCTTCATTCTGACCACTAGACCCCCACCTGTCTACCAAAAATTCAGTAGTCTCAAAGTTGTCCAGAAAAGTTTTTGCATCCACCACAGTAATGCAAGAATCCAACTTCGCAATTCTTGCCAATCCACCTAAACTTGAGATTTCATCCAATATTTCTCTAGTCTCAGGAGTAAGGTCATCTTGGTTAGCGAGATATACGTCTGTGAACTCCGTTGTAAAAGTTTCAGCAACCTGCATTGGCTCTGAAATTCCAGTGGACTCAATAATAATATGATCGTATGCTTTGCTCTTGGCGAGAGAAACGAGCTCTTCCAAAAGATCGCCTCGCAATGTGCAACAAATGCATCCGTTTTGGAGCTTGATTAACTTCTCTTCCTTTTGGGAAACTCTATGGGACTCAATCAAACTTGCATCGATATTCAACAGAGACATGTCGTTGATGACAACCGCTATACGAAGATTATGATTGTGGGTAAGAACATGCTCTAACAAGGTTGTCTTCCCAGAACCTAAAAATCCTGAGAGCAATGTTACCGGAATCGGTTTAGTGACTTCTTCCCCCACCATTCCTATGATTGGGTTGTTGAGAATAGAGTTGATCACCAAGCAGATACCTTTTTCTATTTATAGTATGTATAAAACACCATTGTGGTTACCGTATAATAAAAATACCAACTGCCTCGACAATGACAAAGCAATAGAGATTAAATTGCTTGTTAAGTGGCGAGTTTTTATTGGCTATGCAACGATGATAATGTACCTCAGTGGTCCTCTTGTATATCGGTACATACATTTTGACGGTCGATAGAGACTTCCAACATGTACCAACATGAGAAACTTTTCGCTTGTATTTGAGACAATCGCTTTCAAAATGCTCTTTTTTTTTCTTCACTTTCACATAAATTTGTAGAAAAACATAACAGAGGAACCACTTCAACATCTACAAGCTAGATGAACTCTTTCTATTAGACCTGCATACACCCTTGCGACAAAAAATTGATGCGTGAAAACTGTCTGCCCTTCAACTACTATCTACAAATGTCCGGACGTCAAGGTGGCAAGGCCAAGCCATTAAAAGCCCCAAAGAAAAAGAACCAAGAATATGATGAAGATGACGAAGCCTTCAAGGCTAAACAAAAGGCCGATGCTGCTGCTAAGAAGGCTATGGCCGAGAAGGCTAAGAAGGGAGGTCCTTTGATCGGTGGTGGAATCAAAAAGAGTGGCAAGAAATAAATAGGCAATAGCAAGACTCTCATTAATCCATATGTAAGCGAACCTAAAGAATCACTAACTTCTTAAAAAAAATATGGAAAAGGTGGTCATTGGAAAATGCAAAAAGAAACGACCCCGGTGAGGATCGAACTCACGATCTCAAGATTAACAGTCTTACGCCTTAGCCAGCTTGGCCACGGAGTCGCTTTATATATGAGGAAAGTTGTAGTATAGACTACAATATGATTATTGATTTTAGTGAATACATCTAATGCTTACCAGAAACTTATAAGACATTTGAATAGTGTATACGATTATTTGATTGTGTCTACACAGGGCTTTCGTAGGCCTCTTTTTTTATGTTGATTGGGATCAGACCCCATTACCGGTATATACACTACCTTACAGTTCGAAAAAAAAAAAAAACCAATCTATTGACCACCCGAGTAAGCCAATGCCAGCGTTAAAAAAATTCGATGCCAACGTGGCCCGCCACGTGAAGCTGATGAATAAAAACTTATGCGCTAATTTGATACGCCACGAGTATATTGTCACAGGAAGAACCAAAGCAAAGAGAGCCCAAGCTAAAATCGAAAGCTTCTTAGCCAAGGCTTTGCATGAGAACAACAAGCAACAAGATAAGCCTTTCGAATACAGATTTGCCAATAACAAGGCTCTAAACTACTTGCAGCCTCCTGATAAGAGGGAAGTCGGATCAAAAGTCATCGAAGAGTTGAGCAAAAGATACACAAGAAGAAAGCATGGCTTTACACGTATAATCAAATTGGAACCTCGCTTGGGCGAAGACAAGGCGCCTATGTCTGTCTTAGAATTGGTAGATTCTGAGTTTGAAATCAAGTTTTGGTACACTGCCAAGATTGTCGCCAGATTGGAGTTACAAGGCTTACCGGTTGATGCCTTAACGCAACATAATGTTGACAAGTTGACTCAATTCAGACCCCAAGGTGAAGAGAGCTTCAGGAAGGCTGTTGAAGAAGCAAAGGTCCAGTTTTTCAAGTATAACACTGAGACAGGAGAAGTTGAGGATCCAGAAGTCTTAAAGAACTTGGAAAACAAGCCTCCAAAGATGGACTTTTACACAGAGGGTGCTTCTTTTGGTGTTTCCAAGAAATATGGTGTGAAGGAAAGACCGCCAAAGGGGGATCTGGAACTTCCAAAGTCCCCATTCTTAGCATAGATTTAGAGGCATCGCCTGCCGCCATGTACATAGGTTGATAAAGACAATTAAGAAACACATTCATCTAGTTTTGATACGTCGTGCCTTAAATGTCATCTATTATCCATCTTGTCTGTATGGTTTGTAGTTGTGGTTCTGCATTCGACGATTTTTATCAATGGTCGACTGTATCTATCCTTGACCTCGCACCAAGATATCACTTCATATTTCAGCATGTATTGGAGTAAATCTCAATTTCAGCCACAAGGAAAGGTTTCCCTTATTATAGGAGCATCCCAAGGAGTAGGTGCAGACCTTGCTCTTCGATTGTATGAGAAAGGAGGTATAGTTATCTTGGTCGCAAGAACCGAGTCCAAGTTAAAGGAACAAGTGAATCGTATTGTCAAGATCGCTGGTGAGCAGACCAACAGTAAGGGCGAGAAAAACATTGAATACTACGTTTGTGATGTTGCAAACTACGACTCATGCCATCAAATGTGGTCACATTTGATTCACTCACGGAATATGGACCCAGACTTCATATTCTGTTGTGCTGGAACGTCTGTTCCCAAACTATTTGCCGATCTCACAGGGAAGGAATTAGCCAACGGGGTTAATATAAATTACATGACGGCCTTGAACACTGTTCATGCTGGGTTCAAGAGTGTGGTTGAAAAACATAAAGATTTGAAGCCACAAGAATTCAAGAAGAGACATATAATCTTGTTCTCTTCTGTTTTGGCCTCGTATTCATTTACTGGATATGCACAGTATGCTCCAATGAAGGCTGCGCTCGTGTCACTTTCCAATTTGTTGAGACAAGAAATGGGAGCTTTCAATTACAGAGTGACATGCGTGTATCCCGGAAACTTCGAGAGTGAAGGATACTTCGAGGAAGAGAAAACGAAACCCGCAATTACGAAGAAGATCGAAGGAGCCAGTAAACCCATTTCTTCGCTTCACTGTTGCGACATCATCTTGGACCAACTAAGCAAGGGATATGACTCCATCTACACAGATTTCATTGGCTGGGTTCTTGGCTGTTCATCATTGAATGTTAATCCTCGGAATTGGGGCCTTTTCCAAGTCATAGTTGCATTTATATTCCTGATCATTGCCCCGGTAGCGGAAAGTATCGTGTCACTGGATGTGAAGAAATTCTTTCAGGAGAAGAAAGAACCCTCCGACGAACAGAGTAATTAGTACAACGTAAATAACCTATGCTAATGTATTAATCCCTAAAGAAAATCGGCAGCGTTACTTCTTCTCTGCCACCAGGACAACCTTATCCGTCAACTTATTTAATTTACGGTCGATGTCGAGCCCAAACTGGTACCAGTTGATTGAGTAGACCCAGTTCGCGGCAGTAATGATTTCTTCATTCCAGATATCCTTGCACGTTTCCCAAACGGAAGGTCTGGTTGACCACAGAACACGTCTATTGAGTGGAGCTAGTTCGTCTTCGCTATTTCTGTCACTGAGAATTCTGGTGGTGATGATATCTTGGGTGTCGCGAAGGAGTTTAGAGTTGACTGTATTGAGCGAGCGCATGTATCCAACAGTAGTTGTTGCCAAAAAACCAGTGAGAGCTGCACCGGCAAAAAAACCTTGAATTCTGTTTCCCATTTCAGGTGACTTTGAAGTTTGTAGTTGTGGAGAATTGTGAAGGTCGCATTGTTTGATTGGCTTTATTCTGCGCAGGAATAGGCACCATTGAGCACTATTGATGGTTAATTATCAATCCAAAGTCATCGAAATAAAAATTTCCGTATTATGAGAAACACTACAATAGACTAAAAAAACACTTCTCGCGAGAAAGATATAGATTGTTTCGGTACCTTCGACCGGTGTATGTACATGATGAAAAATAGTCCGTTCAAAGAACCTGCTCCGGTGTAGCTGAAGCCAGATCAGCATCTTTCGCTGCTTGTAAAGCATTCCTCAAGAATGGGAAGATGTCAATCTTGTCGAGTTGTTTGCTCTGGCCAGTCTCCCTTAAAGTGTTGACTTCCTCCACAGCAGTTTCCACATCACGCAACAAGAAAGGAAGTTGCTCCATAATGCCGTTCAAAGGCAACTCCAAACCACCTTGACTGAGCCTCGTAAATCTCTGTGCCTTCAAGTTGGCGACATATGCAACACCCTCGACAAATTTGACCGTGATGTCTTCCTCCAAATCCATCTCCGAAAGGTTGGGTTCGATACCAAAGAAAGCGTACTGCAAACGAACAAGTTTTTCATTCATGTCACCAATCTCATGTTCCTCTGCAGCGACATAGGCTTGCTCAAAGTTTCCCAAGTATTGCTCTTGTTCACTGGTGAAAAGCTGCACTCTTTCGTATGCAACCTGCCTCTCTAATAGAGTTTGTTTGATTCTCTTTTGGGTCAACTTCAACTTGTTGTCAATCTCATCGTATCTCGATGTATTCATAAAGTCAATGGATTGTGCCAACCTAACCTCTCTGGCTAACACGTTTCTCTCCTTTAAGGTTAAGTACCAGATCTTGTGCAAGTCATCAAAGGATTTTCTGCGCAATTCAGACATCGTCCACGCACGTGAATCAGATGGTAATTGATCTGGTGTTCTGAAACAGGTGTCTGAGTTGCTTCCATCTGGAAAAAAAGCCCACAAAGGATGGTCAGGAGAGACATCGAAGTTCTTGTGTGTGGGAACAATTGGAGGCCGTAACTTGATAGACTTAAAGTCTCTGAACCGAAGAGGCTTAGTTCTCTCCAAGTTCCGGGCCGCCTGCTGGAAACCTCTCTGGAAGCTTCTCATAGACATGTTGTTATTAGGACGACAGCTCTGAACTTATGCTTGTGTGTATGGAAAATTTTCTTGAAGTCGAGAATTGAAACTTAGCGCACGTGACATACACTATTTCAATTCCACAATTATACAACCTAATAGACATAAGGACTAGAATGGTTTATAATCAGGTCCCCATTAATTCTTTTCTGTAAGTACATAGAGATTTGTTTCTCTCAAAAGAGTCTATGTCTACTCAAAAAATTGGAGTATACTTCCAGGAGATGCCAGTATCCCACTCATCTCTTGAATAGGTCTTATTGTTCCATCTATATGTACATGGAAAAATATCCATCAAACAATTCTAAGCTTTATTATCCGTCTTATGATAGAACATTATGAGCTTATGCAAACAATAGTAAGGAAATGCCAAACTCACAAGAACCAACCTGCATATAAACGAAGGCTCAACAGATTTCTGGTTCACAATCGTTTGAATAACTTCATACTCATGTCCAATATCCAAACAGGTGCACAACAAGAGGAGCCCCTCGATCTTATCCGCTATCAACTAGATGAGTCTGTTCTCGTCAAGTTGAGAGGTGCCCGTGAAATGAAGGGTAAGTTGCAGGGTTACGACTCTCACTGCAACATGGTGTTGAGTGATGCTCAAGAAACAATATATGGAGAGAACGAAGAAGACACAGTAGTTAAGAAAACAGAGATGGTGTTTGTTAGAGGTGATTCCGTGATCTTAATCAGCCCCTCAGAAGAGTAATTCTAGACAGTCTTTTCATACCAGTTCTTAGGATGGGAAAAATGTACAATACGATAAATACAAATAAAGAAAAAAAAATATATATTATACGAACCAGCCTTGTATTTAAACGTCGAGATCAATATCTGCTCCGCCATCATTCTCGAGTACCGCTTGCACCATTTCAAGCCTTCTAGCGTTGATGATCCATCTTTCTTTAGCCGCAGCTCCTCCAGCGACAAGATTTTGTATTTCGGTAGTCAACTTGTCAATATTTCTATTATAGTCATCGAGAACAAGACCAGATCCTCCCACATCTATAGAAGTGGACTTTGAAATATCATACGCATATTCTTCTTCACCAGCACGAGAGAACGCTCGACTATCTTGTAGGAGTTCATCCAAATACTTTTCAATGTTTATGGCGTGCAGAGTGTTTGCCGAGACATCTAAATTCTCTTGTTCATTTTTGCTTTCACCAACCTCATCCACTGTTTTGATGTTCTGGAGCTTCTTTTCAGTATCATCAAACAAAGACCGAAGCTCCGTTTTGTTGAAAACAGTCGAGGAAAAGTCAATAAAAGTGCTATTAGGATCGGGATTGCTACCTCTGCCAGTCAAAATGTAAGTACGTTTTCCTCGTTGTGTACTCTTGTTTGTGACCGTAATCCCCTGAGAATAGCGATCCGCTAAGCTATTCATCTTATCAACAATTGGCTTTTTGACTTGCCTAAAGTCTTCAATATCTGCTTCAACCTTTTCCTTAACTGAACTGAGATCCAAAAACTTATCTTCGAGACTATTCAAATATCGTGGGTTAACGTTCTCAGCGTAGTCTAATGCGTTTCCAATTCGTGATAGATATTGACGGTAAGTTTCCGAGAGTTTGTCATTCTCAAATTCAAGCTGTTGCAATTGAATAAGGCTCTCATCGCTTGTGGCTCCATTTGCTTTAATTTCTTCATTGATCTTAGTTGTCACTTCCAAAGCACTCTGTCGGAGCTTCAAGTACTGCCTTCCGATGTTATCATTGTTCTTAATATAGCTAGATATGAATTCGTCAATGAGTTCTTGTTGAGAACTAGTAACTTGTGACATAAGTGTAGTTCTAATGTAATAGGTATACACGAACTACGTAGAAGAGATAAAGTATCAAAACCCGTGCACCACTCATTTCATGGTTCTTGCCTATTTGCTCCAATAGCCCATCCTATACCAGAAACAAGTAAATTTGACAACTTTTCACCAGCTTGAGCTCGCGAAAGAGAAGCATCACCAACAAGATTTTTAATATTGCTCTGAATTTGGTTGCGTGTGGATTCTACTGCTCGTTGAGTAGTTTCTGTGTATCGCGCGCTATCCTCAGTATACCATCTGTGAATTTCTTGATTTACATGCCTTAGTTGGCCAATAATCAAGCGACTGTTGTCTACAGTCAAGTTTGAGGGTTTCATGAGTTTTAACGTTGACGAAAGAATTTCTCTCTGCTTGAGTAAAATCTCAATTTTCTCCGCGCTGATTTTCTCATCATATTCGTTAAACCATTCTGTCAGAATATACTTCCCCACCTGGTAAAAGGTGAGCCAAAACCTACCAAGTTGTTCTGATTGACCTCTGGTCACATAAAAATTAAATAACTCTTTCGATTGCTTGTAGGCGAAAGCAAAATTATCATCGATAAGAGAGGATTCAATGCATGCAGATTGAACCTTTGGCAAAAAGGAATCTGTGTCTTCAATCTCAAGAAAGAGTGCAAGATCAACTACGATCTTGTATAACTTCTCATAGGCAAGATATGATTTTGGATTTTGCTCTAGGACAGATGAAACCAAAGAGACGGGTGAAAGTGGCTCATCATCATCTAGGTGGTTGAGCCTGTTGAGAATTTGCTGCGGCGTGATGGGTAAATTCTTGTCTAGAACCAATTTGAAATTCTTGAGTTGGCCCAAAGCCTTGACAAAGTGTTTTAGCCTCATAGTCGTGTATCTTTTATCTTCTTTTATGTCTTTTTCTGAAGATAATACTGTCAATACATTAAGACATTCTGCGGCAAGCTTCATTTTTCCAATTCGTTCGTCAATATTTGATGCTGTCAGTACCAAATCCCAGAACTTTTTGACACCAAGATCAAAGATATCATTAGAAGAGATCTTAAACTCTTCGTTTTTGCTTTGATAATATTTCAAGACCAAGGAGAATAGATTTCCGTTGAATAAACATTCGATAATCAACTGGTCTATATCGCGTATCAGAGAAACATCAGTTCCAACAAACGTGCTAACGAATAAGTCAATGGATCCCAATACTTGTTTATAGTTTAACTCACTGACACGAGATAATATCTTCAAGATTTCTTGTTGTCGCATATCATAATCCACAGTTGAGGTACTCTTGAGTTGAAAGTACTTTCCCATAGTTAAACCATTCATAGGATATAATGCATCACAAGTCCGAGCAATAGACTGTAATGTAATTAAAGACTGTGTAACTGGAGCTTTCACTAACATCAGAATCTGATTTTCTAACCCGATATTTGAGGAATTGTTCTCAGTAGCAACTTTAGCGCTCGCCTCAAGAGTTGTGGCTATATTCAACGGAGAAACGTTTTCAATGTTTAAAGTAGTCACAAGATAGTTGGCAGTCAAATTTATCTGACTATAAGCCTGCGAAAGTTTGGAAGGAGACAATCCCGCTTCTTGCGCTATGGTTTCCTTGACGCAAGAAATGACATAAGCTCTCACAAAGTTCATACATGCATGGGAGGAAAATGATTCCTCCTTTTTGGCAAATGAAACAACACTTCTCAGAACCCTATCCCAAAGCTGAAGATGTTGCGTGAGATTGGTAGTTTTAGCAGACATCCATGACGATAATGGATCTAAATTGTCTCCATTATAAGCCAAAAAGGGAAGAATAACATTATTCAAGTACAGAGAGATGTCCATCGTTTCGCTATACGTCACATCTTCCTGACTATCAAGTGGTTCAATCAACTGGAAGAATTGGTCATCAGAAGAGAACTTTGACAAAAAATCACTGGTTGAGCACTTGAAGTCTCCGAGAGAGGCATAATTCCTCCAATAATATATATAGGGAAGAATTAGACCATTGAGCCATTTGGTAAACTGACTTGAATCATTTAATAAAGCGAATAATGGGTTTAGCTCACTCAAGTCGTGGTGGAATGAGGACAATTGTAATGTTTTGGCTTTAATGAACGAGAACAACAATTCTTGTGTAGTTGCGGATCCAAAAGCACCAACAAAGCCAAAAGACTTTGCTTTTAAATCCAAAAATGCTGTTAGGTCTTTTACGATCTGGAGTATTGCTTGCAGAGACAATTCATTGTTAACCGGAGACTCGCGAGTGATCCACATCAGTAAATCTTCAACGTCCTCAATTAGATCTGCCTCCTCTAAATGCGCTTGTCCATGATTTGATAGAAACAATTCATCAGCAACTGTAGCAATTTGTTCGGGAGAAATTGAGACAGGACTTATAATAGTTATAAGTATTCTCAGCAAGTTTGCGGGTGTGGTGAATGGGAGTTGGTTTGACAATGCCACCGGAATCAACTTTTCGAAGATTTCGGAGAAGCTTGATGGTTTTTCAGCAAGAGTTTTGCAAACAGAAAAAAATAACCATGAATCAGCTTCCACAAGAGCTGTTGACATGATCACAGGAAGTAGAGATAATAGTGTTCTTTTCATGTTGTATCATGCATGCAGTCTTCGTACAGGCCCAAATTTTCGTATCTCTTGTCGTAACAAGCCGATAAAACTTTAATCAAATGAGTGTACTAAACTCAATGGATTTTAAAAGTCCCAATTATGATAGAATAGGTTACTTTACTGCCAATAATTGCTCGTTCCAGTAACCGTTTTAAGTAAAGAAAGGATCGTAGTCACGTGACCCCCCAAAACCACTATCAGGACAGTTGAGAACTTAGCATAGTAAATATCCAACTGCTGTCAACTACACAAGTTGAGAAATTTCATGTACAGCTCTTAATCCTCCTCATTGGTTTTATGATTCAACTTCGATCTGCCCTACTCCACTCCACACGGCATCCATTGACATACACAATACAGAAACCATACTCATCGTTCATGTCAGTGATAAACAACAGAGATGGACATAATGTTATGGACCACCTCGTTCCTTCAAAGGAATCACTAGACAAATTGCATTTATTTGAGCTATCCTCTTTTAGTGACAGTCAAAATCTTGAAGAATACGACACGTCTTACAATAGCATTGGGCACAAAAGCGATGACCCCTTCGATCCTGCTGACTTGATAGGTTTGGTGGGTGTCCAACCTTTGCAGAACATTGTGAAGGATGAACCCGTAAAAAAAGAAGAACAACTACCAAAGGCATCTATCTCACACAATTCTTCCCAGCATTCATCGACCACCCTAGAA